AAACAAACTAATTATATCAACAAAGAAGATATTACTGTACACAATGAAAAATTTTATGTCCTAAGTGAAAAAAATAAAAAATGATGTTTTGTGTTGAACCAAATATTGGTGTTTGTTTATGTGAAGCAGGTATTCATGGACAATTTTGTAAACACCAATGCATAATTTATAAATATTTTAAAACAACTGGAATTAATTCTCCTACAATAAAAGTTGAAGATAAATATTTAATACCTAAACTTGCATTCGGTGATTGAGCTACGCCTCCAACGTTTTATAAAAGTTTAATACCAACAGAAACTCTGCATCAACAATACAGCAAAAACAGTTTCAATGTAATAAACCTAATCGCATAATAAAATGTAATAAAGAAGCTAGTAATGAAAATAATATGAAAACTGATAAAACAATAGTGGATATATTTAAAGATAATATGGATAAAAAAAAAATAATTTTTCATTTTGAAAGATATACAAAGCATATTGATTAATAACGTTACAAAGTTTGGGGGTTCATTAAAATTTAAAAGCAGATTAGAGAAAAATTATACCTGAAGGACAATTTAATACTTTTCTGGCAACTTCAAGGTCTAAATCAACTTTATTATAACGAAGATATGGTACAGATATAAGAGTACAACCAATAACCATTTCATAGAGAAAACATAGAATGACAAGAGGAAGTAAATGTTTACTTTAGTTACATTCTTCATGAAATACAAGATACTTATTTTTAAATGATTTACTAATTTTATTGAATTAAAATATTAAAGTTCGACCTACTTCAACAGAACACAGTAACCAAAAAGGAAATCCAGAAATTTATTTTAAAATGTAACTGATTGTGTACCAAATGCAAAATCTCATTAAACTATTATAAATGTTTATTATTATTTGCAACCTTTCAACCATTTTCAATAATCTACCATATTACACAAAAAATGAAATGAAATAGTCAAATAAACCGTTTGTAACTAATTTATTAAATATTTTACCACCAGCTCCAGAATTATCCACTAAATATAATATCATCAATAGAATATTTCAGTAAATACTTTTCTTAGGTAGAGTTTGAAAATATGGCCAAGTTTACAAATATTTATGTCAAACAAAATAATTTTATAAAGCATGTGGATACTACACCTTCAGAAATGAAAGTGTTTGTGGGTATACATTTGATGATTGGTTATCTAAAACATACTAGAATGAGATTATTATTATTAATGTTTATTTCTTCGAAAAGAAGAAATTGACGTCACTGAACAAGTTCGTGTAGGGGCCATTATAATAAACTAATGAGTACAGAGTTAACATAATTACCGATAATTTGTCTCGAAATCGCTTTTTTCAGTTCTAACCATACATAATCATATAGCTACCATATATTTTTATTAATGAGTTATACTTTTAATCTGTAAGTATCATAATTACATATTATTAATTCTATCAAAAAGAGTGTTGTTTATTTGTTTTATCATTTATGTAAATGCAAATACTGCAACATACATAATCATTGTAATAATGTTTAATATGTATTTATATTATATGTCTATTATTTCTTATTGCCTTTATTTTATATTCATTCTAATTTTTAATTGAAGAATTCTAAAAACTTTTATTTATTATACATATTTTGTTTTTATGTATAAAGATTATTCATATGATAGTGTATTGTACGTTCAAGCTAAATTGCCATTAAAATAACAACGTAAGTAATTATATTTAACGCCTGAATGCCATTATAATGAAAAGTCACCATAACCCAAGTTTGGATTGTTTGAAGTTTCTCTTAATTTGAGAATATTCTATGAAAATAAATGAAATAATTTTTTTTTTTTCTATCAGATCGTAATTTGGGACTGAAAGGGTCAGATTAATCCTGCGTAAACTACTGCTCAGATTCATGGGAAATAGCCTAGATGATAAAATATTTCATAGTTCTCCCGAGAGACTAACCCAGCAAATCAATTGTGCTTAATAACAAGCTTCCTCAGTCCTTTCTTCTGTACTTTTTAATATATATACACACAATCTCCCAGAAGCAATCTCCAAAAAGTTCGTATACGCTGATATCTGACTTGCAACACAAAACAAAGAATTTAATGCAATAAAGCATACGTTAGAAGACTTATATGCCCTTATAAATTATTCTAAAAAGTGGTGTTTAAAACTTAATTTTTCAAAACTCATAGTCTTCTCATTTGACTTTAATAACAAGATAGCGAAAAAAAAACAGTAAACTTCTGTAGTCAACCAATGAAACACGATCCACTACTGGTTTATTTGAGTGTCATTCCAGACCACACCGTGTCATACAAAGATTACCTTAAGAAAACAGCTTCTAAACTGAAAACCCGCTCGTCTTTAATATATAAATTAGACGGTACAATCTGGGGTGCATCTGCTCTTATCATTTATTGAATCTATTTTCTTTTAGATCGCTTACCAGTACGGCTATACATATGAATAAGGATATATTTTAGTTGATGTAGATTGTAATCATTTTATTTACGGGCCCAACATAAGGATGTAGACATAGAGGAAAAACGTTGAAATAAATTAAACTCCAACATGAGTTACATAAATAAATAATATTTCCACACAAAAATACAAATAACAATAGTAATGCGAAATCGCTCACATTCGATCGTAATGAACTCATCTGATTTGACAGTGATTTGGGCGGCGTTATATATGCTCCTCTAGATAAAACTATATAAGTTCTTGTTTGATTCTGACGTTTATATGGTGTTTTTGTCGGTTCAATTATTCTTCATTCTTTGCGTGATAATGTCATAGTAACTTTTTTACATGGTATATTATCGTTATCACCGTCAGTGTTAAAATCATTAGTATTACAATTAGCTAAATAAATAATTTAAAGTAAATGAAGTTGAGTAAATGAAATTTTTTTACACTTACAAATAATAAATATTAATATTCTATTCAAAGTTCAAGTTTTACTAATATTTTGTGCATATTACAGCAAAAAGAAATTATTGAAACAAAAGAAACAATTGCAGTAAATTTATCAGTTTTTTCTAAGTTTTTTTCATGGTTTTCCAAAATATTATAAAAGCTGCTTGGAAAATCAAAAAATGACCCTTTTATCAATTTCAAATGTTAGCTAAGTAATACTATTAACTACATTTATTGAATTATTACTATAAACAGTAAGCTAGTAGAAGAAGACACATTCAGATTTAGTTGTTTAGTTATGCTTGGTTAAATTAAATAGACGTCATATCCAGTGTCTACTAATTCCTGGACTAATTTTTCGTTGTCATTAATTTTAACCATCTTAAAGTAACTAGATTTACTGGGTTCCGCATTGACAAAACTCACTACTGGTGGAGTTTTTGATTTACAATACTTCTTTGGGTGACCCTGCTGAAAACAATGGACGCACTTAAGAGGCCTACGAGGAGCAATACAATCTCTACTAATGTGCCCGGTCAGTTGATAATTAAAACACTTAACTTCACGGTTCCCATTCTTCGTATTCCTTTGGAAATTTCTAGACGGTCGTATAACATGTTAGTACTAGATGAACCTTCAGTATTGAAAACTTGAGTTTACCATTAGTACCAACATTTCTAAAATGTACCTGGCGATCCTGTTGTATCCCTTAAAGGCGACAGATTTCTGTCAACAACTGTTCTTCTTTAATGTGCGCATTTCTCATCAATGATATACACAACCATTATGATCGTAATCCAACACAAATTATTCTTTGGTCTCCATATCATCAGACTTCAGCTGACTACGGCATAGTTTTATCTTTTCATGAAAGTACTAGTAGGTTATACCTTGTATCCACCTTTGTAATTTCTTCCAATAAAATATTATTACCCATATATTTCATATATGGTATACAATATAATATGCATTAAAGTCAAGTTTAAAATGTTTAAAATTTGCTCACGGTAGTTAGTTAAATTATCTACGTACCATATTACCTATTAACCAGTTACATCCAGATATAAATAGTTTATTACGATAAAAGTAAGAAGTAAGAAGTATTGTAGTAGTATAGTATATTATAGTTATAGTATTGTATAAGTAAAGTAAGAATATTCTTCAAAATTCTACACAAAAATTTGCAAACAACGAAAACGGTACAGAATAAAAATGTATTGTGATAAAAAGGAATCTAATAGTATACAGATTGTCCCAAAAAAATATACACATTGTAATATCTTATTTTTAGCAAACTGTATCCTGATATTAAAAAATTGTGAAACATTAATCTGGTAGTTTGCGATTCAACTGCAAACAAATATCTTTCATAGAATGTGAATTACCTTCTCTTGAAGAAATTGTAACGTGTTCTAGTAATAAATGTAAAAGTAAGAAAAATATTTTTGTGATGCATATTACATATTATAACACTACAGTAAATTTAAGTGGTCTACAAAACTATATTTTATCAAAAATTGACACAGAAAGATAAATATTTAGACACACAGATGGAAATGATTTATGCCAAGACTTAAATCAAGAACTACTACATCAAATTTACATCTCATAATAGAAATACTCTCAATATTCTCAGAGATACAACAAATTACATGTACACAATAACAAAACATATACGTTATTCTTTTTTTTGCATTTTAAATATTTTAAACTTACCTATATTAACATATATTGTATGCCGTATATAAGATATATTGTAAATATTTTATAAAATCAAATGAATTTATTTTTTTTTTAATTTATACAATTTATAAATAGTATCTTTTTCTCCCGTCCCACATAAAGAAAATTGAATTTCCGAATAAACCAATGCCGCGCAAATTTTAGAAATGGTCGTACAAATTTATGCAAATCACGTACTAAATATTTGTATAGACAATTTTTTTAAAATTTTAAATGGCTGGGGCTGGAGATATTTAATTACATAGTCGGGGGCAAACTTCACGTACGTGACGAAAACAAGCACGTGAATAAATAATAGCAACGTCATTCACCGACAGATATTCATCCTATTTCGGGTTTTTAAAATGATTTATCGACGGATTCAATGGAGACACACGGAGTTATGAGTTCCAACGAACGGGATCGTTGAAAATCACCGTTATAATTATTATAAACGGCTGACCCGTCGACGACGGACAACGAACTCGATGACGTTAGCCTTGTCCGGCCGTCTGTATGATAATCGCAGACCAAAGTCGCGCATGACGACACGCGAGATACCGTGCATTCCGGACTGTTATAGTCGCCAATCGATGACGATGACGAACACGGCCGCTGTTTCTCATTCCGAAATTGCTGCCGTTGCGCGTTTTCCTCCTCCGTCGCCACGGTCATCGAACCGGTGCGTTGACGACACTCGTCCGCGGACCGCAGCGCGATAAGTTTGACGCCCAACGTTTCCTCGGCTACCCTACTTCCTTCTAACTCGGTCGCCAGTCTGATGTTGTCTGCTACTATCGTAGACACGCACCTCAGCGTGTCTATCGCACCGTCCATGATGGGGATCACCGTCTCGTCTAAGGCCTCGGTTTTTCGCTCGGTCGTCAATCTCAAGTTCCGCACATCCGTTCCGCCATCGTTCATCAACTCATCCGACATTCTATCTACCTCCGTCCGGATTTCATCCTCGTCCCTGTCCCAGGACTTGATCTGTGCCGATTCGCACCCAATCGTAATTAACGCTTTCACCCTGTTCCTCAGATGCTCTTCATCATTCTCCGACTGAGCCAGCAAGGCTTTGACAACGGCCAGTTTTCCTGACACTTCTTCAGTCAGATTTTCACACGCACACAGGTTGTCCATTAGCTTTTTTGTGAATTCCTGTTTTATTTGAATTATATTGTACATTAGTTGTATTAGTAAGCCTTTTGAACGGGAAATCAAAATAAATGAGTTATATGATAAACAAAAACAAAATGGTATGTGGTATTTTACATGAATCAATGTAGCGTTAATGCATTATATCATTTGAAATTAATACTTTATCAGTAGGTATTGAATATAATTTTCAGTTCGTGAGTTATGTATCTATGAAACTTATTATTTAACTTTATTAAGTACATAATACTAATTTAAAATAATTTAAAGACAAAATAAAAGGATAAATGATGGTTTCTAAAATACGGCGGTTAATCGGTATAATGACCGGAAAACATGCTTTAAGAAGGTAAATGTTCCACAATTTTTACTCTCACTGAGTCAGTCTATAATTTTTTTTATTAAAATGTTATCTGACAATAAAAAAAAAAAAATCATTAAACCATTAATTGCGGTTTGGTTTTCGGTAATTTAAAGGAAGCATATTCTTTATTTTCTAAATTGTCTTAATTCGATTTCGTTTAATAAGATAAATAAAAAATAATTGTTAACTATAAATGCACGAGTAACAAGTAGCATCACGAAATTACGATGAATTAAAAGATAATGGCCAAGATAATTTGTAAATAATAACCGTAGAGTAATAAAGAGGCGGCGATCCCTATGACGGTCGTGTAACAAAATTCAACCTTCAACTATTGACACTAAAAAGGTGTATATTTACGAAAATTTGTTCCGTTAGATCACATTGAACTTAAATAAGAAGTAACATTTTTTCCTGGAAATACTATTAGTTACAAATAAACTATTTTATTAACCATTCTATAACTGTAAATTAATTATTAATACATTTTAAAATTAATAAATAAATCATAGAATTGATATTATCATTACGAATTTGGAGTTTATAAATTTGTCACCCTGCTCCTGGATAAGGTACAGTATTTATCCATAATCAGTCCGTTGGTCGATAATAATCTTACTTCTGAATTCGGTAATAGATTAATTAATTCTAAAATTAAGTATAAACTATATCTAAAAATGATTAACACTTAACCATAACCAGTGGCCATATAAATGTAGTTTAATTTATAATTTATTTTTCTTTATTATCTATTGTTATTTATTTTTAATACTCTTAAAAATTTAGAAATGTACAAAAGCTGCTTAAAATACTTTTAAATATAATTAAAATTATTAATGTATATTAGAATATAACGTTCTTTTTGTGATAGCTGCATAATAAAAATGGGAATTTTTATATTTCAAAGTTAGTACTCCTGCTTTTTCGGGTGACCTTGATTTAAGCGCTTGTTGTATGAGATAAATATGGCTGTTATCTCGCGGGGCCGAACTGCAAGATGCCCTCATATTGTTACAGTATTTCAATTTTGGTAAAATGATAACACTGAAAAAGGAGTCTATTTACTCTTTAATTTTTATTCAGAATGCTGCATCTATATTACTTTTGGCAAGATAAGCCAATAAGGTAAAAATATCTAAAGAATGGAACAACAGACGAATTAGATTAAACTGATAATAACAGTGATGAGTTATCACTGGTAACCAATATCACCAGTAAGATGGTTAGGCATGTATCGTTTTAATTATCAAAAACTAATTCAAGAATACCAAAACCGATAGTTGTGATATTCATATGATAATTTATGAATATCACACGTAATAAATTATCACAGCAATTCAAGAATAAGGGGCCCTAGAGACGTTATACTGAATGAAATGATACTATTTCCATTTGCATAGAATTGTATGTTTTATTGATTTTGAGAAACTGTAAATGCATATTACAGAATAATAATATTGTGACTTTAAATCAACTATTATACATATGGTGATCAGAAGTACTATTTTTCATAGAATAGTACTCTTTATTGATATGTTATCCTATATCCTTGACAATAGTGTTACGTATATAAAAATTGTACTTTTTTTTTTGAAAATTATAAATAATAAATAAAAAAAATATAAATATGTTGGTAACATATATTGATAAAGTTTCGTATTTATTTATTTAAATGTTTACCTTTAAAAATTAATTTAAATATGTGTACTTTAATTATACCTGTGTACGTTAAGATGACTTAAAGTTACTTAAATTTATAATTATTTTCATCATAAAGACACAGACCAAATGAATTGTCATTATGATTTCAAATAATTAGTTTTTAATGTTGATAATTTAAAAAATAATAACATAATAATCAGATAAAAAAAAAATATATATAGATGGAAATAAGCTATGGGTAAAATAGGTAGAATAGTATACACAATACACATGGGCTAATTCTTTCAAGGGAGGACCTAAATTTTAAAATGTACATTTTTTTGGATTTTTACATCTGGTCACAATATGGTCGTATATAAGTATATCGTTTTATGTATATCAATATATAACGTACCTATTGCGTGCGTTTACTTTAGTAAGATCATTTTTTTTATTTTCCAAGCAGTTTTAGGAAGAACAGAACAATTTACGAAAATAATGCTTTTATTATTTTTAATTTTGTTTTTTTAGGTAATAATTAATTTCAAAATATTCATAGGAACTTGACAGAAACCTATATTCGCTTTTTCTATACGTGATACAATTTACAAGACATTTAGCCATTTTTGAATTTTTCATAGACATTTTTAATTTTGTAAGATTTTACGTAATATTTATTTGGTAAGTACTCTGTAAATAAAATATTTATACTAAACAGAAATGATTGAAAATTTGATAGAAAGTTCATTATAATTCATACTAAGAAGTAAAAAAAAATTAAATTTAATGCACTTTTTTTTTATAAATTGTAAGATAGAATTTTGTAAAAATCATAAATTTTTATGCCCTTCAAAACTTGGATAATTGAATTTTGATAAGAATCATTTTTTAAAAAGGTTAAAGCCTGACCTAACCTCTTTCACACTTTCATAAGGTATTCCATGCAACTATCAGATTGTATGACTCACTTCCAAACTAGTGGCGTCGTCACGACCATCGTTACCATCGCAGCCATCTGGAAACGATACTGGACATAATATTTTGTCACCATATCCACTGGTCAGTAATTTTTCTAGTTTTGACATCAAATTACTGACGGCTAGTATGAGACGCTCTATTTCAATATCGCTCACTTTCAATTTATTTTTTTGTGTCTGGCATTCATTCATTTTCCGATGATACAAATTCAATAAATTTCTGTAGTGTTTACTTTCTGTAGAATTCCAATTCTCCTCCACTATCAAATCCCTCAAACAAAGTTCTATAAAATGTTCCGAAACATTTTTTGACTTATTAGATTCCTTCTTCGTATTGATATCCCTTATATTATCCATAATGTTATGTCGTTGTATTAATTTGTGGGACGTATCTGATAAGGATTATAATATTGGTAAAACCGTAAATTAAACAAAATAATTGATAATTACTAATTAAATAAAATATTTATTTATATACTAAACATATTAAACATAATAATTTGTAAATAATTTATCAAGCCAATGTATTAGTTTATTGTATGTAGATTATAATAACTGTTGTATTTCATCTATATAAATCTTTTCAAATGGTATTTTATTAGAAATAATTGGTAAAATGTGTAATTTATATTAAAATAATATTTTGTACATAGTTTTATGTTTTACATAGTAATAACTTTTTTTTATTTAGATACATGTTCCATGTTCGTATATCTATATTTAGATAGATAAATTAATAATTAATATGTATCTTTTATCTTCATCTAAAAAACTATTTGAGCAACTATCTCTTATCTTTCTCGTAGCTTAATATCTAGACATAGTAAATTTTATCGTTAGACAACACTAATTATAATTTAATTTTTGTATAATTTAAATAATAATAATATTATGACGTCAGATAAGATATCGACGTAACAATTAATTTTTAGATTTGAAGAGTAACGAGGAGTCCATATAGATGCCCCCTACTTTGAAAATTACCTTTAATAACGAAAATATGCACCAGGTCCTGTAGTTGATGCACTAACCGAGTTATTCTGAAAAAAAATTAGGAGAGGGACTATTTATTAAACATCTTTTGATATTTTTACTTTATTCCGTGCATAAATCAATTAATGAACCTTAATATCCAGTAAGTCACTTTATATTCAACCTACTTTCCGTTTATTGCCGGGTCTTTTTCAATGAGTTCTGGCCGGGATTTAATTAAATTCGTAATTTTTCTAAGGTTCCCCCTCCAATTTCACTTTATGACTGAATTAACAGACATTAGATTTTTTCAGTCTCACTCGCAGCGTATGTATATCTATTCGTGACAAGATGCATATAAATACATTTATTATATTACACTGGTATAGAAAATATCGACAACGGCAAATGATTTCAAATCGAAAATACTGGGTACATCCTATTCTAAGTCAACGAAATGTTTTAGGCACTTTTAGAACACTAATGTGTCAATTAAGAATGGATGAAACAACATTTTTCAACTATTTTCTTATGTCGATACCCACTTTTGATGATCTATTGAGAAGAGTCGAAATGAGTTTGATAAGGCAAGACACAAATATGAGTAGAAGCATCAATCCAAAAGAATAATTAGATATCTACTAAAGGTAAGTAATATAGTTTTTATATAAAATTAAATTATTTTAATACAAATAGGTAGTAACTTATACTAAAATAAATTAACCTAAGTAATTTATAATAACATGAAAATTATCAAAATTTTAACTTTAACAACTTTGTATTTTATATACTTAGTTCGAAATTAAATCGGAAAAAGTATATTGTTCAGACCATTGACTTGTGTTTGTCTCCGATACTGCTGGTGAAGTTGCACTCTTGAAGACTGAGCTAGCCATTGGTTGGTCTGCCGTTCTATTATTAAAGGTCTGATGAGATTGTTGAAACGGTTGAGGGTAGTATCCAGAGTTTGGCCATCGATAGTTTTATTGCATAAGTGGTGTTAAAAATTGATTTTGAATATCATAGTGGTTAGATTGTGTGGTATGGTGTGCAAATTGTGAAATATTTTTTTAAATTTTTTGTAACGATAATATAACGCCAGCTTGAAATTCAAAAGTTTAATCTTCATTAAGTGAAGACATGCTGGGCAGAAGACCTTTGAAAAATGACAAATGGTGGTTTTCTTCATTTCTCGGAGTATAAATTTGGTTATCAATAAATTTGGAATCCAATTCATTCGTCGTTTCTGATTTTTGTTTCCATTGTGTAACAAAAGCACCTGGTTAGTTAGTTGGTGATTTAAAAACTGTACGGTCTTGTTCATCCTCGTAATTTTGGCATTCTTCTCCACTTTCGTCAATTCTATTATCATGTATCAATTCTATTATCATTCTATTATCGGTGCTTTCTTGGGCAGTTTTTAAGTCAGTTATTTTTTTCAAAAGCTCATTTAAACACGATACACATAAAGTCTTGATAGCTTTGTAGAAGATCAGATCTTTTTTCGTTTTTTTGTTTTTTGATTCACTTCATCCAAGAATCCCTTGTTTGAGTCCATTTTTTCAAAATAATTTTACTTGATTAAAAATATATTTTAAATAAATATAGTGTTAAATTTTTATAGAAACATGTTTATTTATTTTAAATTTTTTTCTTTTAAGTATTTAGCGTCTGGGTGTTTATTTAAAAATCTTCATTATTCCTACCGAATCAACATTTCAGCAATCAGCTACATCATCAGAGAAGTCACAACAAGTATATGAAACAATCTGCATACCGAATTTATACAATTACCTGCTACACCTGAGGGATGGGAAAAAATATCGAATGGTTTTCAGGCAAGGGTCAATTTTCCACATTGTGTTGGTACAGTTGATGGAAAACATATAAGAGTAAAAAAGCCTTCGAATAGTGAATCAATGTACTTCAATTATAAGGACTATAGTTTAATTATATTATTAGCCGTTGTAGATTCGGAATATCAGTTTATATATGTAAGTGACGGATCGTATGGGAAAGACGTATTATTCGATTTTTAAAGCGACAACATTTTGGAAAAAGTTAACGAAAAAGGCATTGAACTTACTGAGGCCTTTAAATGAACATTTAAACACAATTGTTCCTTTTGTGATTATTGGAAACGAAGGTTTTGCATTAAATGACAATTTATTAAGGCCTTATGGAGGGACACATTTAGATAAGGACAAATTAATTTTTTACTATCGATTGACTAGAGCTAGAAGGAAGGAAGGAAGGAATGCGCTTTTGGTATCTTATTAAATAAATGAAAAATATTCCATAGGTTTTTGGACTTAAATATAGAAATAGCTATTTGTATAGTAAAAGCATGCACAGTACTACATAATTTTCTTTGACAAAAAGATGGTTTTGATTTCGAAAGAACCCTAATAGAACCAGAAATAAATTATTTCCCTAATATACCAAACACACAATCAATAAGAGGAGGCAGTTCAGCAAACTCAATCAGGGCAACATTTACGAACTATTTTGTCTCTGAAGCTGAATCAGTTCCTTGGCAAGATGAAGCCATAGGTACTTAACTTCAGTCGCAGAATAAAAGTACGCCATCTATTACCATTACTTTTTTAAAAATTAATTGTATTAATTATTTCTTAACTTATTATCATAATGTGAAAAGACTAAATAAAGAATTATGTAAAATATTTGTTTTGTATTAGTTGAAATTTGCAAATATTAAAACATACAAAATTATAATAACCTACCAAAATCTTGCTTTTCTTTCTATTCCAACACAGGAAAGTTTTAATTTAGAATACTGCATATCTCTTATCCATGCATTTTTTTATTGGCAAATCAAATATTTTAAAATAAAATTTCTTAAATAAATATTTATACGATTTTTTTTATCTGAATTTTTAGCAAAAATGAAAATAACATGCATAATTTATATATTATTCTATAAATTAATTTGAAAAAATATTAACAATAAAATAATTAAATAAATAAATTAAATAGGCTACGGATTTAAAAATGTTGTGAATACGATTTTCTATTATATATTTTATCAGGTACGTCACGATATAAAACCCAGCAGTAGTCTAGATAGGATTTAGATAGGACATTTGTCTTTAAGATAAGAGCACAACAATGTAAATAAACGGCTAAACTATGTTCTGCCCTTATTATGGCTTGTACGCCTTTATAGGCCCCACGTATTGGTGCAGCACCATCATAGAATTGTCCTCTAATTTCTTCAATTTTGAGCCTATTAATTTTCAACACTTCTTTAATTAAATCAGTGAGAGATTCTCTATCTGTTGAGTTTGTACTATAAAATCCCAAAAACACTTTTTTTGGTTCTACATTATTTACATACTTTAAAAAAAAAGACACTTGCTCGTCTCGACTTAAATCTTAGGTTTCATCAATAAGAATCCTATATATTTCAGCTGACATAATTTCTGATATAATCACTCATTTAGGTCAAAAATATATTTAAATATACATAGTTAAATGATTTTTCTTTATATAAATAATATCATTGAATTATATTGTTGTTTTTTGCCCGAAAAGTTAATAGATAGCTCAATAAAGTTACTATTATTTATTGATTTAGAATCCTCTTCATGACCCCTAATAGCTATTTCTTGCTTAACACAATAAAGAAAAGTTTCCAAAATATTCTTTAAGTAATTTCGATTATCAGATATTACTTGACTAAGATTTTTGTTAATTAACCCAATTATATTTCCAGAATTTGAATTAATGATTGTTTATATCCAATTACTTTACAAAACACCTCTTTATGTGAATTGCTTTTTTTATGAATGGAAAATCTTTGAGTTGCTTTCCCCCATTTATTAAATCCACATGGAATAAATGCTGTTTCCATATCAACTGTAAGAAAAGCTCGACAATAAAAACAAAAAGTTGAATCAAATTTTTACTATACTTCCACCATTCATAAAACTTATACCATTCTAGCCTAAATGTTCTACCAGAACTACGAGGAGATGTAATATTTACTAGTTGATATGGACCCAATTGCATTGTTAAATTTATATAAGTTTGTTTTTCACCTTTTGCTAGGTCACGTTCTACAATATTGCTTGATGAAGAGTTTAAAACATTCTGTTTACATTTGCATTTGCTCCTATAAAAATATACATTCATAGTTATACATTTTAGGTTAATTCAATATATTATTTTGTGAAAATGGTAAGCTCTATCTAAGAAATACAAGAAACGGAAAACCCGAACTTTATAAAGTTTTCTCTCATAACTTTAAAACAAAGTTCGTTCGCCTTTTTTTACATTTTTAATGTACATGTAAAACCACACATTTTGAAAAATAAAAAACTGAAAATTTGCGTGGCTGCTAAACTAGATTTGTTCTGAATAGTTATATTATTAGGTATGAGTTTTAACAAATAATCGTCTACATTTTATTTATAGGTAATTTTTTTTTAATCTTTATTAACTCATTAGACTTAGAAAACTCATCTAATATTCTTAAAATGTATTACAATTTATTAAATATCTTACAGTTTTTAGTAAATAGATAGGTATATATTTAAAATGTGTATACATTATAATGTATAACAAAAATAATAAAATATTACCTATATCATATTAACATTTAATTTTCACATATTATTTAAATCTTAAATATAAATTATAGAATAGGACCGTTTGAAAAATATGTAACAAGTTTAGATACTTAATATATAATAATTTATTGTTTTAAATTATACTATAGAAGGTAGGTATATAAGTGATAAAAGATAACATATAATACAATTAAAAGATATAATAATAAACTATTAAAAGGTATTTTTTTATTGACCTTAAATTATAATCTATTAAAGTTTATATATTGACATTTAAAATTTAGATTTGTTCTACGTAAAGTTTAAAGCATTGTTAGTTATAGGACAATTCTCCCCAATTTAGGACAGTTGGTAACCTTTATTTTGATATGTTTTTCAAAGAGCCACAGATTGCATGTTAAGAAGCTCTCAGCCCCTTCTATAGATGAATGTAATCTCCTGCAAACTTCAAGAATGTCGATAGTAAAAACTATGAATCTAAGTACATATCACCACTTTGGCTTAGAAAAAGTTCTAATCAACTTTCTAAGAAATAATTTTGATTTCATTAAAGTAAAATACTATGCATTTTAGAAGTTTTAATCAATGTAGATGGCTTGCCTTTATCTAAATCTTCATCAAGTCAATTTTGGCCAATACTAGGAGCTATCTATCAATATAATTATGGTTTTTTAATTGGACTCTATCATAGTAAAAGGGCAAACTTTCCAATGTAAAGAGTTTTAGAGTCTTTTAGATTTTATAAATGAAGTGCAACATTTAATTGAGAATAGAATCATTTAATTAAATTTAATCTCGGACTACACAGGGTCTCCCACGAAAATTTGACAAATGCAATAATTTTTATTCTATTCAATATTTTTGTTATACATTTTTTTTTTAAATAATTAGTATGCCTCAACGCTACAGTTTGTACAATTATTCAATATATTATTTTGATATCGTTAATCAGATACCTATATTAATACATATACAACATACAAATATAGTCCAACAATAACTACACTAAATAATACAAATCACCAACATTTATGTAATATAAAAATATACAATTTAAGTTATCTGAATCAGTTAATAATAATAATTACTCAATAGTCCGAATGAAAAAAATGCTCGATTTATTTTTCTTAATCAGACATTAATATAAATAATATATTATACGACAAGCTACATTATTATACTATTTTAGAATGATGCATACAACATATTATTATTTATTAAATATGCCATCAATAAAATACTAATGTGCTCTGTTTAAAAATGTTACGTGAGTTAAACGTGTACAACCCTACATAAATAGTATATAGGCATACGCATTGATTATTAAATCAAAGGTAGGTTTAAGCAAATACTTTAATATTATAATAAAATAATATTTAGTAAAGGTATTAGTATGATATTAATGACATTAATCAATGAACAATATACATTTAATGTACTAGTGTGATTTACTTAAATATGTCAGTATGTACTCAGTATTTACTGTCGAATGTCCGGTGACCTATGTGGGATTTATATTTTATAACTGTAATTTAACACTTACTCATGCATTATAGTTATATACGAATTTTACCCGTTTTTTTTTTGGGGGTTTTTCGCATTTGATGAGAAAACTTGAAAATATCGAAAAATAAACCGCTTAAAGTACCCCCCCTCCACATCGATTTCCTTTCAAAAACGGTGCTATACGTAAAAATCAGAACAATTCCTCTGGTAGCAAAGTTGTCCACAGAAAAAAATAATAATCTTTATAAAACCATAGTCTTCTTTGCTCCACTAAGAATCTTAAATATATTTGCCCTATAAAATTAAATTTAAAAACAATAAATTTGTTTATTGTTATTTATTTATAGATGATTATGAAAAAGCATACAATATGATGATTAAAGCATATATAAAATCAAGTGAGTCAAATTTGGAGTCAGATCTTGAAAAAAAGAGATTGAGGTTTCCGAAATTTGGAAATTTTCTTCTTCGAGACTATTTCCAATTGATACCAGCAAAGAGGGTGGTAATGAAATAGATAAAAGGTCTTTGAATGGCTCCCCTGAAATCTCATTACTAAAAACCAGTTCTTCAATAATATTTGACTATTAGTTTCCTGCACCGTCATCTATATTCTTAACCTCAGCTAAAATAGAAAAACGGATTTAATAGTAGATGCCCTTGCCGTCATCTACTTCAAACTTTTCTTCTTCTGCTACTATAAATTCTCTGGCCTTAAATGAGTGTTTTAAATCTGTATTTACATTGATTGGTACTCGCTATAGTAATAATGAATATCAATGTACTTCGTCAGAATTGTGTTTCATTTCTGATGAGTTAAAATGGTTTAATTATTGTTTTAATGAATTAATTAAAATTATATTATTATTATAGCTGATATTATGAAATTAAAAAATACTGTTTTTTATATTAAACACCATTTAATTTATAATAATAAAATTAATGATAAGAAAACTGTAGTATTACCTAATTTTGAAATGGACAATATATTTCCTGTAAAATATGAAGATGGATTTAAAATTAGAGAAATTATTACAGAAAATAAACTCGAAAATCTTGAATATTTTCATAAGCTGATAATTATTATATAGTTATTATATTAAATATTTTTTTCATACAAACATTAATGTATAATATTACTAACCTAAGTAAGTGTCCACAATTTCTTTTAGCATTGAAGAAATAAATAGTTTGTCTCAAAATGACAACAACTACTATGCGAACAATGTTTTGGTACTGATGAATTTATATCTGACTACAGTTGGAAAAGACAAAAAAAATGTCTAGAAACAAGTCCAATTCATAGAGTAATAATGTCATAAGGGCGAAGTACATTTGGACCAGGAACGTTTGGGCCACTAAAAAACTACAACCCATTTGGACCAGGATTTAGTGAACCCGTTTGGACGAATAATTTTAAATTTCTATAAAGACTAGTTAAATAAACGTTCAGTTAAACTACGAAAACTAATTTTTAAATTAAGTAATAAGTAATTTATTTAGTTTTACATATAATTTCTATGTATCAATTTAATTTCAAAACATACCAAAAATCCAGTTATATTTAATACATACCTATATCTTTATATAATAGATATTTGTGTATCAATGTCTTATATACGATAAGATAACACAGATACAAACGCAATTATGAAATAATATTAATATTTGCCATTTGGGTTAGCACAAGTATATAGTATCACCGTTGTCGAAATTTCGTTAAAATGGATACGAAAATCGAGAACATTTTACAAATAAACAAAACGAGATCAAATATGTATAAAACTATAGATAATTTTAAATCGAGTAAATGTAATGTTTTAAAATATAGTACTTAATTTTCATTTTTGGTGTACAATCGTTCGTGTAATGTGAATATTATAGTTGATGAAAAATTAAATGAAATATAATGAGAAGGAAAATGCTGGTCTCTAATATAATACGACACTAAAACTACTATATAAAGTATCTCTAAACGTTCAGTTAAACTAAAATAAGGAAAAATCTGGTCTAAATGGATCCTGCCCAGTAATAATTGGTACAGAATCTATTTTATTATTATAATGTGTTTTTTTCCTATCTATAATTACAATAATAGTCGTTTTATATAATTGTAAATTTATGGTAAAATTGGTTTTAAAAAAACAATGGTACAATTTAATTTTTCATTAAAATTTATCAAAATATGTTATCCAAACATTGCTTATAATTACACTGGTCTACAAGATAAAACTTTTTTTTAATCATCAGGGTTGAATATACATTTTTCCAAACCAATTGTTTGTGCTGATTTCAAATCTAACATTAGATTTTTTCTATCACCATTATTTTTTTACTTAAAGTTATTTCATTTTTATCTGTAAAGCATATATTTTAAAATAAAATTACTAAATTAAATGTTTATTTTACTTTTTTTTTTTCAATGATTAAAATTACATGAACTTATTATGCTATACATGAATTAAAAAAAATATTTATAATAAAATAATTAAATTAAAAAAACAAATAGTTTACGTATTTAAATATTTAAAAATGTTGTGAAAATTATTTTTTATTATACTTTTTATCAGTTACGTCACGATATAGCATCCAGCAGTAGTTCACTAACACACTTTCATTCCAAAAACCCTGGTAACGAGTTTCCAACAACTGGATGTCCTGATGAAATCGTTCGCCTTGTTCATTACTTACCGCACTTATTTTTCCGGAAAAAATTGAGGTGTAAACGTAAAAATGAATTTTCAATGACATTCGACATCGTAATATCATAAGTAAATATCATAAAGATAATAGTATAGATTAGATTATATTTTAAAATACATTCAGGTATTTCGATACAATATACGTATCTAAATTCGTATACAACACACACTACACAGTATAATACGTATTCATAGAAAAAAGTTTAATCAATCTTATTTTTAAAAATTGTATGTGCTAAAAATAAATGGAAAACAGATTTGAAATCAGCATAAAAAAATCTATTTTCTTCAGTTTAAATCATGTCTGATGAAATTTGTCTGTAGACCAGTTTTATTTTTTGTTGGCAATGGTTTATCATTGTATACAGTATATAAATTAATGTATCTTACCTTCGCAACTTCCCATTTTAAATAGTGGGTAGGCTGACAGATACCTGTAAATAATATGTTTCTATACGAATATCTACTTAATTTGTTGGTAATAAAAATGTCAATAAAAATACACTTTCTATTGAATACCTAATAAATTAATAAATTAATATTATTATGGGTTAATTAAATCAGATTATATCTTAAAACAGTTTGTAGATTTATTCTATATTAAATTTTACTACTTATCCAGTTTATGTATTACGCCTATATAATATATTATTTTTATTAGCTGCCATACAAAAGAAATATCCAACAACTTACAAAGGCTGATATTGTCAAATACGTAAGACCATCGATGACTTAATGAGTAACACTAGAATTAAAAAGTATTTTATTTTTAGTTGTTAAATATTTACATTATTAATAAACAATCATTTAATTATTTTAAAATTAGTTCATAATTATATTTGTATTTATTAATAATAGAAATGCAATTGAATTATTTTTAACTATTGCAACCTAAGTGGAAGATACTGCCAAAGTTATACAATTTAAAGATTATATTATGACTACATTTAAATAATATTGTAGTTTTTTTTTTTCATATTAAAATAAATGTAATATAATAAATGTATTGTATTTGCATATTTAAAATATTTTAAAATTAAAATTAAAACATATTTGAACGACATATTTTAAGTGTTCTTTTTTAAATTAAAAATCAGCTATTATAATTTTGCTTTTTAAGTATTTGCAAAATATTATGTATACATTTTAAATTCTATTTAAAAACGTCAAAAACATATTTTTTTAAATTGTATAATCATATATTTTAAATGTTTTTCAAACTTTTTTTTATGAAAAAGCGATTATTATAACATTGCTGTATATGTTTATAAAACATTATGATAATAGCTTTTTTATATTTTTAAAACACTTTTTAAATGTTTCATGACTTATAGGATATTTAAATGATTTGACTTACTTTATATATTAGGATTCACCATTTAATTAATTATATTTTCTCTGTCATCGAAACATATATAAGTTTTAATATTATGTTCGTGTAATGTAAATTATAATATATATTAGTTCTTAAATAAAATGATTTTTTTGTATGAACGATTATTGAAGACATTATTATTTAATTAAAAAAAAACGTTAGGATGTTGAAAATTATAAGTACCTTTTTTTCTAGCGGAAATGGACTAAGGATAAAACGGTATTTTATATTTAAAGGGAAATGGTTCCACCCATTATAGTATTATATTGCATTAAAAGGATGCCAACCCCGACCTAAAATCCAAAATACCACAACCATCACGTTCGACGCCCCCTCCATTTTCACAATGGACCATGCCAACGGAAAAAGTGGAAAGTTTTCCATATACAGGGTGGTTATATTGGATCGTGAGCCGTCATCGATAGTCTATATCAGAGGTCCCCAAAATGGTCTATATCGACCTCCTGGGGTCGGTTCTAACTTGCAAGGGGTCCATACTAACGAAAAAGAAAATTGGGGTGCATGAGGTGTAAATAGGGAAGATCCACGATAGTTATTAAGTTAAAAATGCGTGTATCATTTTAACACGGTTGCCAATCTTTATACAAAAAAAAGACACAGATTGAAAATCACTGGTACAGGAGATTTAAGGTTAAACTCGACTAATCTGAAGCCAAATATTGATAATTTACTACCAAAGCATCAGACTCATCCTTCCCATTAAAGATATTTTTATTTTTTTTCTCATTGCATTGAACTTGGATTTCCTGTCATTTCAATAATTAAAAAATTAAATAAATATTGTTATTATTAAAGAAATAAAGATACGAATAAAATAAAACCTTACATGTTTTTTATTTTAAAATGTTTCACTCCATGGTAAACCTTATCCAAGTGAGTAGCTCCGTATTTGCTGTCAAAAATACATTGATGAATTTGTAAACATTCAATATTTGGGGTTTATGAAAAACAGAAAAAATTGGCACGTAGTCTACAGGGAAAAAAAGTTTGGAGACCTCTGGCTATATAATATTATAATTATATGCACATAATATGATGGTTATCATATAGGTATTATAGGTAACTTTGATTTTGGGTTTTTGAGTCGTAATATTATTATAAATATAATATTGCAACCGAGTGAAGAGTTGTAAATGTCATATAATTTCCGTGATTAGATTATTCCTCCAGAATTAAAAAATGATTTAACTTTTAAGTCATGATCAATTTGAAAATTAATTAATTCGATGTGGCGTATTTATGAACGGCACACGAGGAAAGATGGTAGGTACAATAAATATATCACTGCTGTCGGTTAAGGTTAAAAGTAAAATAATAAAATAATAAAAAAGTACAATGATATAATTATTATTCCTATTGAATCGAAACTATGTATGAAAACTGGGGGGACCAAAATCAAATTTCACTCGAAATCTCGACGTATAATGTGGATTATTATATAATCGCTGATCGTGATAATAATACACGAAAGAATCGGTCTGTATAAACATTTGTGTTGGGTTGTGTGTGTGTGTGTGTGTGTAAATAAACACAGAAAATAATGTTCATTTTCCACATCCAATAATGCAATTTGGGATGTACCTAACCCTCGTCCCTCGTCGTGCTATCGCCGCGCCGCGCCGAACTGCCGACGGCGACGCCGACGACTACGACGACGCCACAGAGGCGGCGTGCGGCGGCGGCGAATTTCCTGTGAAACGGTATAGATTCGTATAATAATATATTTCGTACTTGCTTGCCATCCGCCTGTGCACACTTTTCGATTCATTTCAGATATTAATTTCCGTTTATACGATCGTATAAATATATATAATACGCGCATCGAACGTATTATTATTATTATTATTATTATTCCCTATCGCATCATCGGATCAGTGTAGTTATTATGCGCGTCTAATACATCTGTCTAAAACGCGATTGTCACGCGTGAAAAGTTCCAACGCGTTCGAACAGAGTCAGGCCAATATTAGTAGTAGCGTAAAGTATACCGATGATACGTTGCGACTGTTTGCTAATACAGCAGCGCGTCCCTAGACCAATTTGTATTGGAGGAGGGGCGCTAACTAAAATTTTAACCCTGTCTTTTCATTATGTTTAGTTTTAAACAACTTATAAAATATATATTTCACGGTAAATGTTGTGTTTTAAGAGATTATAGATAGACAATTTTAAGTAAAATAATATTCAAATAACGAAATGTAATACAGAGTGTCCTACTGCGTAACCTTTATAACTCTGTCAATATTAATTTTATTTACATTTTTTTTGTTTTCAAAATTATGATGTATTCACTACATTATGCATTCAATGATAATATTTTAAATGTTTTCACAAAAATAATTATCGGAGCAAGTTATCGAAATCTGCAATCCATAATTAAATGTTACAAAAATGATTACTATTGTAGTATAAGAACAAAATTTATAAAAATAAACCTACGGCTGTACCATATGTATAGCATACTTCGGTGTCGTTATCACTACACTCTGGATAACGACTATTCGATAAATTGGATTTCCAAATCGCTCACTGATTGTAGATAACAAAAATTATCCAAATATAATATCCCTTCTCAAATCTATGAGATTATTATAGGCTACGTTTACGCACTCGATAATCACGTTCATTTTTATAATACTATATATAATATAAATCAACTTTTTTTCTACTTCGTTTTAAATTAATATTATTATTATTTTTTTTTTACTAATTGAAATGGCATAACAAATAATAAAATCGAACAAAAATATGGAAAATTTTTGTTATAATGACCACGTACAAAATATTACAGTACGTTAATATATGATGTTATAGGAGATGCTCTAAAGCGTCAAGTTTTAAATGTCCAGGGAAATTTAAAACATTGAGAGAAAATCCTACAGATATACCAATAATCAATAAAACACATAATTATCTTCCAGACACGCGTGAAGTTGAAGTCAATCAATGCTTAGGACGAATGAAATATAAGGCAGCAACTACGTTAACAAATCCAATTGAGATTTTCTGTGGAGAACTTAGAAACTTGGATAGTGAAACTGGAACTATGATGCCATCAAAAACAATTACTAAAAGCACTCTTCGAAATCAACGATCAAAAAATAATTCAAAAGAACCCAAATATTTAAATTACTGTATAATCGAAGGTAAACCGAAACACACAATATTATTATACTATTATTATTATTGGAATGTAATTACGGGAGAAAAAAATGTATTAATTATTTTTTTAATTTAAGTTATAGGTAACTGGGCACTCACATAGTATAGGTATAGATTATTACTAAAAGTTTAGATGATCAATTTGAAGATAGAGTTATCATTTTCGCCACTGACGAAAGACTAAAACATCTTACCAAGGCGGAAACATGAATGTTCAATGGTAACTTTGCAATGGCAACTCTATTTTTCAACAATTATACGTGATAAGAATCAAAATTAATGATTTGTATGTAACTTCAGTATATTGTTTATTAGAAAAAAAAAACGGAAACTACTCACGAATTTATGTTGCTTGTAAAAATCCAAATTTATTTTTTTAACTATTCTTATTTAGAGTCATAAATATTTAGATAATTTATTTTTTCCACTTGCTTTTATTTCCTAAAATCGTAATTTATAGGTAATCTGTTAATAATATAGGTTATAATATTATATGTTAGTAAATTGTACAAAAGTTACTGATAAATCAACAATAAAAAACTAAAACCTTGTTTAAGGCTGGGATCATACGGGCAGTATTTATCGCGCGACATTTTACCGCACAAACATACCTCACAACTTTTTAACTTGGCGATTTGAACAAAAATCCTTCAGTGTGTGACATGTCAACAATGGCATACGCAAAAATTATTTTTTTTGGGGTTTATTTTGTATGCTTGATCTTGTTCAAAAATCATATTTAAAAATCCATCTAATCTTTTTTGACCCATAGTACTTCTCAACTTTGATTTAACAGTATTCAGTTTTGAGAAAGACCTTTCATTAACTGATTTAATTATTTTCATTGATAAAAACTGTAATTATTTACTATAGTAATATGTAATTATTTAAAGAAAATGTATCATAAAACAAATAAAATAATAGTGTGAGACCCACTCGTTATTTGTATATAAGAAAAACTGTTCAATTTATTTAGCATTGAGACCTAAGTGCAGATACAAATGATTAGATTTTAAAGTATTAACTGTAATATGTCAACTTATCAGATTTAGATTTAAAGAAATCGTGTAAAGTTTTCGTTTTTAATTACTTTATACTCATACTGTCTACTGATGAATAATGATGATATATTAATAATGACAATACATATTATTGTTTAATAATAATCACTATAACAAACAGCAGCATGGATTATAATAAATAAAAGTTAAGAATATATAAAAATTCAACAAAAACTGCAGACTCGTGTCGTATAATAATATAAATCTAAATAAAAATCTATAATAATATTATACATTTCCTTGTAATAGTATAATATTATTATTTTAACTTGGCGGTTTATCATTTGACAACAATTTTCTGACGCTTAAATTGTATTATCGGGTCTGACTGACTGGTTTATTATTAATTATTATCTACATGATCGATTGTGTAGGTAGTTGATATTATCATAAAAAAAAACCAGTAACCACACTTGAAGCTATCTTGTCATATATATATATATATATATACTATAATATTTTTACAGGGGAGGTAACTGCCTCCCCTGTCTCCTGCTTCCCCTGTGCGCATGCTTATGATTTTGGGGTCAATAATTTTCTGCTTGGTGGAGTGTATAGTGGTTGTAACTTTTTGTGTATTTTAAAAGGCCATAATATTTACGATTTATGTCAAAATTCGATTTTAAAACTTATAAAAAAAATTTAAAAAAATACTACATTACACTCAATTTTATTTGTTGATCACAAAGTATGACATTTAATGAACCTCCTGTTAAAGTTTCAATAATTTCTGTCCAGTCTATTAATTTTATCCACACAGTACCTACCGAATAAACATTATGGGAAAAACTCGCTTTATTAAAATGTATATATAATTAGCTCAAAAATGGCTCAAATTTTACAACGTTTTTATGAATAATATATTAAACTAAAAAATAGTAAAAAAAGACTTCTTAGGATAATAGAGACGTGTGCAGCCACTGTTACAGGTAATTTAATGTATCTGTAAGCGACGATAAACCATAGCTAACGATCTTTTTTATCTATGAACAACTTTTCTATTAGAAATCTTGCTCCGATTTACAATAGTAACACTGTTTCTGGAAGGAAATCTGACTGGGGTGGTAGTTTAAAGAGGTTATTTTTTGATTTTCTCAGGAGTTTTTCCAATAAATTGGAAAAACAATAAAAATTGAAGGAAAACAAGAAAAACGGGAAAATAGATACATTATTAAAGAAAATATGTAACGTATGTTTAATTATTTTACCATAATATAACGTATACATTGTTGACAAAGCAACACTATCATCAACTGAACTCTGCTTAAGATCGTTTTTTCGTTAGCAATGGTTAATCATTGCTTACAGATTTACATTAAATTACCTATAAAAGTGGCTGTATTCGTCCTTATTATCCTAGGCCTACAGCTTTTTATACTGTGAATACAATTTTTCCAAGAAAGTTTGCTCCAATGTATCAAGCATAGTATCTTGTATGAAAGGAATTTTATTTTGTAAGTTCTTTTAGAGGATAATTTTTTGATGTTCCAAGCATTTTTCAAAATAATTAGGAAAAAATATAAAATGAAAACCGACATATTTACACTGTTACTATTTTATTATATTAAATTTTTTTGCTTTATGTTTTCTACCAAAAATTTTGTTCCAATAAAAAAAACGACAGGAAATTATTATTATTGAATTTTTTATCTAGTTGGTGATATCGGTTTTTGATTGTCCGTGTAATTTTTGAAATAATTGAGCAAAATCGAAAAAAGTAGAGAAAAATGACCTCCCTAAAGTACCTCTCATTTTCAATTTCCTTTCTGAAAAGGTGCTACACTTAGAAATCCATGCAAGTCTTCAGGTAAAAAAATTGTTAACAGATAAAAAAAAATAAGAAAGAGCTGATACTGGGGATAAGAGCGGCCACTGTTGTAGGTGAGAAATTGGGAAGGTAGGATATATAAGGTTATTTTATTTATATCTGTAATCAACGATAAACCATTGCTCGATGAAAGACGATTGCAAGCGCAATTCGATAAAACATAATTTAAAGTGCCGTAATTTTTTTTTGCGATTTTCGTTATTTGATTTCAAAATGCTTATTAAAAAAAAAAAGTCGTCCTATAATTTTGAAAATTTCGCCACATCTAAGTAAGTCAAATATAAATATTATTACCAAGTTTTAAGTCTTTACGTGTATTTATAACCGAATCACAGAAAAAAATTCCTTAAAAGCTCAAAGTGGTTCAAAAGTTTTGACAATAGTTTATTGTATAGTATAATTACTCATTATTATAAATATTAAATATATATTATATGTATAACTTGTTAATATCGTTAGTAATTAGACATTATTTTTTTCGGACATGCTAAAAATGTTAAAATCTTTGATAGAAAAACGTTGTCATTCGACCCCAAAAAAATTCTTCGCCCTTGTTATAGATTGATGGGCAACCGTAGTATTTATAATAGTGATTATTATATTGTACATTTGACACAATTGTACATAATACTCTTGAGACTTTATATGGGAAAAGAAATAAATGTGTTTCGCAATATTTTGAGGTTTTTCTTTTATTATACGTATATACGAGCCCACTAAGTATACAAAAATGTAAGACGTTCCTTTTTCTATACGCGAAATGCATAGTATTTTTATATAGAATTAAGTGTATCCCTTAACATATCATTATCGTATTATTAATTATTACCATAGGTGTTGAACACAAATTTATAAGACAACAAAGCTGATACTATTACTAAAGGCTATCGTGTTGTGTATGTTACGGTTAAAGTAGGAATCCGAGTAACATGCACGTGGGTTTGTGTCCGAACATTTTGAAAAAATTTTTAACACCACAATTTGTCCTTCATTGACAGAACACTGTAAGAGAGTGCCCGGGAAAAGTGTACCTTGCCCGGGATCAAACGGGCACAGTTATTTCGATTGGTGTTTATACGTAAAAATTACCTATTCCTACATATTTATAAAAAATAGACGTACTTTGGAGCACTGTTACATTTTATACACCGATAATATACTATTTTTTTCGATACCAGTGGCGTATTTACGGGGGGGGGGTGTCTATGGGGTCCGGACCCTCCCCCCATTGACCTCATTTATACCTATCTAAACATCCGTGCTAACATAAGTTGAAACTACATAAACTGTTATATTTTTATAATTACAAAAAAAAAAAAAAATGTAATTATAATATTGTTATATTAACGTATCTTTGATTTTATTAGACGTGATAATATTTTTACAGTTTACAGGGACAATGGATAATTATATATTATATTCATTATATATTGTTCGAAATATTCTGGAGACATGAAACTATTTACAGGCATTTGGCATTTGGCATTTTCAAGTTTTTTTTTTTTTTTTTTTACAATGAATGTACTTATTAATCATATAAAGCGAAAATATCATTGTTGACAAGACGCACTGCTATAGCGTCTCACACTCCTCGTCTGGTGAGCCGCCACTGGTATTTTCGGTCGCTGATGATTGTGCTTATGGCAATAAACATTTTGTTTTCTATTTAGGCGTGCCGTAGTAGTATAGAACACAACGCACTTACTCGTATTATAATATTTTAATATCTTGAGAGTTTATAAGCAAGTGCCTATATAATATGATTATAATATAATGCTAAGATGTGATAATATTATAATGTAGGTAGGAATTACACGGAACACACACCGTCGAGTTGCTATTACAGCGCGAGTCGCTCTGTTCCCTCCATTGTCCGCGTTCCCGACCGAGAACCGCCGCCGGCGCCGCGTCCGTACACGTCATCCCTTCGCGGGGTTCCCGGGGGACGACTAAATACGCGTTTGTGTAACGCGGCGGCGGCGGCGGCGGCGGCGAACTTACGGCGACGGTGGCGGCAACGGCGGCGGCGGCGGCATTAGTTGCGCGAATCAATGCTAGGTGTCGCTCCAGAGTCATTCGACTTTTAATCAATGAAGGCAAATGGCGACCCACAAAAAAGAAAAAAAAAAAAGGAGAAAAAAAGCGAAACGTTCTCACGGAGAAAAGCACATTCGTAACGCATTTCCATTCGCGCGCGCTCGTCGTCGTCGTCGTTCGTCGGTCCGCGGTGAAGTATTATAGCAGTACATACCTATACTATAAACTCCACCCGGCATCGTGTCGTAAATTCACCTTTCATTATTCAACTGCGGGCTATTTTGACAACGCTCCACGCTTGTCTACGGTATTATATTTCAATTATTATCACTTGTTTTCGCCGCGAAATATTATAAAATTATAATATTTTAACTTTTTTTTCTTTCCGTGTCATTCGCCTGAACAATCGTATTGTTTTCTCGGTACCTACCTACGTGTATTAAATATTCGCGAATTGTCGTCGCCGCTCCGGTATAGGAGTATTTTTTTTTCGTTAACGATTTTTGTTTAGTTTTTTTTTTTTGGCCCGACACGATCGTTTTATAATCCACACGCGACACCCGACAGACCCACAAGGCGAGGTGAGTATTATATTATTTTATAAATATATACGATATTATTATACACGCGTGCTATAATATAGATAGATAAGTACTATGGTAAAATCGTCAATTGTTATTGGGTAGGTGTTATATTTTTGACCCAAGTTTATTTTGTGAAAAAAGTTATTTCTAAAAATCACTAGGTATATTGCAGTACCTATGTCGTATAACGCTCGTATCATCGTATTATTGTGTATGACCGAACATTTTTCGATTAAACGATAAATATTCGAGTAGGTACCTACATATACGGATAAATTATAGTTTTTGAAAAATAAAAAATAAAATATGTTATGTATGGTATCATTATTGTAAAGTCGTATGCGGGTGTACAACAGCGACCATCGCGAATCGCCGCGTTCGTCTTTTGTTCGTGGCGAGTATGTATAACGTACGATTAACACTGTAAATTATATATTATATATTACAAAAAAAAAAAAATAAATAATAATAAATGTACACTTTATCAGGTGCGTATACCTACAAATCGTGGGTGAAAAACTTTTGAACCCTTGTAATTCCTACAATCCTTTAAAACCTTGGGAGATTTCGTACAAACAATAATTCCCTGAAATTAGTAATTGAGCATCGAAAATTATACTGACATTTTTTAAATAAATCTATGCGAGGTCTTCCATCAGTTTTGCCTTTCAATTTATTTCATTATGAAATGCTTGTTCTATTTAATTTTTTTTCGATGATTGACCTTTGTGAACATTTTTTTTTTTGTTTTTTTGCAATTTAATATTTTATAATAAAACTAATTTGATATATATATATATATACATATATATTACATATTTTTCTTTTTTAAAAATGCGAAATTTAACGATATTGAGAGGCTGGAAATTATAAACTACTACTTTTTATATAATCGTTATTATGCCAGTTATTGGGTGGAATGCGTGGACTTCTGCGACGGTTTTGACACTTAAACATAGGTAGTTAATTCAAAATATCTATGTATTTATATTTACATAAATTAAGCGTCCAAACATCTATAGTTATTGGAATTATTATATGATGTACTGGTGCCCGATCGGGATATTCAAATTAACTGGGTACTATAGATCGGATTTGACGAATTCGAAAATTCGGGTCAAGACGTGCGGAAAACCATGCGGAATAAAACCTCTGTGATTTCATAGGTACCCACTATATCTTGTATTCCTGCAAAGCTATACTATCGTGTGATTGGATGTAATCAGTGTAATTGAATAATACAAGTAAAACTCATCGGTTAGATATTTATTATTTTGTTAGTTAGTGGTTTCTCTCGTTAAAAGAAAAAAAAAAAATATATATATATATATATTTTTCACAATATATTATCCGACTTCGCCACACTCACACATATATGATGAGTATATATAGCCATATAGGTACCGAGTAATGTCTAGCTGTCCGTGTTTAATCTCACGTACAACTGTTACCGTGTTACCGGAGTTCGGAATAGTACAACATCGATCGTTAAACGCGAAAAGAAAATTTAATTTTTTCACTCCGAACACGTATACCGTCCACTTATAGTGGACGTGTATAATAGTCGTTATTCGCGATAAATAGGTACCACGTATAATATATTGTCATCTATTTAATTCTACAGAAAATTACCTAGTTACGTTGCCGAATTTTATTATACCCGTTCAATATTTTACGTCCCGCGTATTTTTATAGTAATAATAATGTAAGATTACGGCAGGTCGTATTCGCTTATTCGCTGCAAGTGGCGGGCGTTATACAAGATTTCCTAGCTATTGCGCGAGGATTAGATACAGGTGCCTATAAATTGGTGTATAGGTGCTGGACATTTTTATTTGTGCGCAAAAATCTTTTTGATATATTTTATAATATATTTATTTTTTATTTTTCAAATGTACAATAATAATACGAGAACACTTTCTCTAGTGAGAGAGAGAACGTCGTCGTATATATTGATACGCCCCTGCAGTATTCTTACCTATACATTTAAGGGGTTAAATAGATAATATCATTACAATCATGTAGGAAATTGTCGAAAAAAATACAAATTAAATCCATCGATTCTATAATATATTCGGATATTGATAAAATATTAGTACCTCGTTACCTCGTATCATCGTTATTACAAGACATGTTGAAGTATTTATTTCGAATAGTCGTGGAATTTTTTTCGAACAAAATATTGTAAATTATGCAAAAAAAAAAAAAAAAACAGTTGTTGTGGTATTTTACGTTGATCTGTATAAAGTGGTGTAAGCGTGAAAAGAGAGGTTAAGATTTAGGTGAGGTAAATATTATCTTCGATTCGTTCAAATAGTTGATCTCGAGGTCTGATCCAATATTGTTTTTGTTGTTTTTGCCTCTTGTAGTGGATAACTCACTGTTATTGTTAGCGCTACGTTTATGTTACCATCAAGGTTCACCTGCATCACATTGAAAATTTATATCAAAAGTGTGTTTTCGTTTTATTAACGAATTATAAGAAGTATATTATTATTATATTACTTAACTGTAATATTTTTAATGAAATACAAATATGTACTTTCGATTTTCACACGTCATGTATGTACTTACCATTACCTATATAAATTTAATAATATAAAATCAATTGTAAAAAAATTTTAAATTATTTAAAAAGCCACAAAATGTTATGATAGTAATTCATTATTTAAAAATTAAATAGAATATAAAACGATCATGAAATCAGTAGGTAGGTATTATTATTTTTGTTTTTGGGGCTCCGATATCCAGGAATTTTTTTGCTTAATAAAATACCTTTGGGAAAAACTTTTATGCCTCGAAGAGTGGTTCGTTTTCAATAGTTATTTTTTATTGGAAAGACAAGCCTTTCTGCATCCCATATTGAATTCCATTTTTCAATATTTCCAACTCAAATTTAATAATGGAAAATGTTTAACTTTTTTTATCAACTCTTTTATAAATCATTATCAAATGACAAACCACAGTTCAATGCGATCTGTATAATATGTTTGTGTATCCAATTAAAAGAAAAAAAACGAAAGGAATATTTGACAATACGTAATTAATAAGATAGATAATTAGTAAATTATTGGAAAAGCCATATATTTACGGTCGTCATTAAAATGTCAAAAACAATTTTATAATTTTACAAAAGTGGACAAATTTGGTAAACTGGTAATGGATTCCTTAGTTATAAAATAAAAATATATTTAACATTTTTTAACTCGTTGAATTTTTTTACTGTAGAAATTATAACAGGTATATTAAAACTTTATATGGTTTTTTTTTTTTTAATTGAAAATAAATTAATACTATAATATTGTTTTATAATTTTTAACAATTTTTCAAATCAAATGATAAACTTTATATAAATACCTGTAATCTGTATTATTATTGTTTTCAAAATTTAATGGTTTCCAACATAATATTATTCAAATTTGTGGAATATTTATTTTGGACGATAGAATTTTAAGTTATGTTAATATAAAAGTCTTGATAAAAATCTATAGCATAGCGAAAAGACAACGCAGTTACTATATATTAATATACTTTCCCCGAGGGCATTTTTCTTTGTTTCAATTTAATGTTAATAATATTTGAAAACAAACAGCGGTGTCCTATTTATTCGACTATATTTTTTTGAACTTCCGACCGTTATTACTTTTATTTTCCAAATAATGCATTTCTGATAATATGTCGTATCTTTATATGAAAAAATCAAAAAAAAAAAATCATATTTGATAAATAAATGTACCTAAATAAAATTAATAAATTAATTATCTGACAGCGAGTATATTTGTTTATTAATTTAATATAATTAAATAGTAGGTATCTATGTATTGAAAAAAAAAATGTGTTGGTTTAATTAAGTATGTTATTATACTAAATTATGAACACAAATATACTTGTTATGGTTTTTTTTTTTTAATTTATACGAAAAAAAATCATATTACAGTGATTTGCAACAAGTCTAGTATTTTGTGTTAGAAATTTCAAATAAGGTATTTATATCTTTGAAATCCTAAATGTGACTCGTAGTTCATTCTGAAAACTCATATTATTACTTAAAAGATAAAACAAAGTAAAATTTAAATATTATTCAGACGTTTTTAAGTTATTTATAGTTATTTAAAAAGGTTGAGTATTTTTAGTTTTAGTCAATGCAATTTTTTGGCTTCTCAAAAAAAATCTAATATTTGTTACAAGGTTTGGCATAAGTTTTATTTTGTGATTAAAAAAAAAAAAACAAGCCTAGAAAATCATTATTTTTTTTAAGTGTTTTATGTTCAATTTTGTGATAAAATTTGTTTAAAACAATTGTAATAATTTGTTTTTTTTTTTGTTTTTTATATCGCTTCCCCCAAAAGATGAACACTCAAATTTATATTTTGTAGTTGTTTTTATAGAAAAAAAAAGTTTCTTGTAGATATTTCAATGTGTGTTCCAAGTAATAATAATTGTATAAAATTCTCATTTTGAAATTGTTTGTTTTATTTACTACAGAGTTATTCGACAGCGACCGATTATTATTAACACAAATAAATACGGAGGAAAATAATATAACTGAATTTATATCGTATAATTTCATTAAAATTCTATCAAAACTACTGCGCAGTATTTATTGTTTCTGTATCAAATTAATTAATGTCTATGTATATATATTTATTTTTTTTAATCTTACAAACAGATATTTATTAATGCATTTCAGATTAAATTTAGCAATGTTATTATGATTACTATATTTTTTTTAATAATTGTATAGGGACGCGTTTTTCCTTTCAACCGATTTAAATTAGATATTATAAGTATTTTTTAATCTCGTTTGATTTTATAATATTTTTTTTCTCGTTTTTAACTGTTTTCCTTTTTATACCCAGTTAAAACTCCGGTGTTAAAAAACACATAAAAAATGTGAAATATTTCTTTCGTATTGGATTAATCAATTTATAAAAAAAAAAAAAGTAATTTAATTTGTATTATATATGTAATACATTTTTTTTTTTTTGTATATTATTTATTTTTAATTTTTCGTATTTGAGATGAGAGCGGTCTATGATAGGAATTGAAATAAAATTAAAAAAAATCTGTAGGTTTTAAATGCTTTGGAAAATAACTGTTTATAGTTATTTGTTTTCATTGAATATAGTGAAAAATATTTCTTTTCATCTAAGTTTTTACGCAATATGGTTTTAGATTCCCAGTGTAGCAAGGTCATTTTTTGATTTTCGGGAGAAAAACGTAGGAAGGTTAGGTTAAAAAAAATTACTTCAAATTATGTATTACCGAACTGCGCTCGGAATCGCCTTTTGTCAAGAATGGATTATCGTTATTGACAGATATGAATGAAATAACCTTATGTATCCTAATTTCCCAACTTCTCACCTACAACAGTGGCCGGGTGCGGCCGGGGTGAACGGGTACGTTCCCAGTATCAGCTCTTTTTTTTTATTATTATTATAACTATTTAAAATTTTTTTTTTTTATTCTATTTACCAACGCCAATATAAATTTGTAACTATAAGGATTCTTTTCAAATTCGTAACAAAAATATTTGTTTTGTGTGTAGTGACACTAAACAATTTTTTGTACTTTTCAAAAGCCAAATGTATTATAATTGATAATTGCGTATTTTACATTTTTAGATTATAAATTCATTTTCGTGGGTTTAATATAATAGGTATAATTTTATTAGTATTATGTTAGACTATATAAGTTATATCCGAACCTGGGCGTTAAATATAGGTGTAAAGTAAAAAGTTACTTTTACTAGTAAATTTTAATTTAATCAGTTACATGGTATTTAAATTTTGAAAAACATTATTTATAACTTATTACCTTATTTTAGATACCTGATAACTTATTTATAATCTCATGCGCTAAAAAAAAATATTAATTATCATTTATCTGCTTCTTAGCTAATGAATTCAAGTGCATATATGCACTGAAGTGGTGATAATAATTTTTGGTATAGGTCTAGAAAATGTGCTGCTTTTTTTAATTTATAGTTTTTCTTGATTGAAATTTTCCTAAGAAATTAGTGACTTCACTGCATAACAAGAAGATGATTCTGAAATTCTAATATTCTAATATTATTTAGTACTTCCATAACTTCATGTATAACTGGTTTATCAGTTTCCAGTGAAATAAGGCCAATAACCAGAGGCATTTAAAACTCTCCGGAGGCGTTTTGTTGTTGCACTAAATTAAAATCTAAAAATCCAGACATCTCTATTTGTAAGATATCTCTGTATATAATAATTGGGTTTACCTGATTGTCGCACCAAACATCAAATTTTTAATCGTGTCAAAATATGTCGTCTAGCATTTTTAGTTTGACATCTCTAGATAAACTTTTTATTGAGTTACAGCAAATGCTTGCAATGATCCTTTGATATTTGTTTTTAGATTTTCTAAGTCCCGTTCTAATAATGTCCGGTTAAGTGTCGATTAGCGCTAACCGGCAGTTATACTGAAATTTAACCGACAGTTGGTTCTTACAAGGAAAAAGTCTCCGATTACTGGAGGTTTTACTGGAGGTTTTTAACCGGCGTAATTCTGCCGGTTATCCTCCGGTTGAACTAAAATCTCTCGGATTGTGTTACCAATAGATACCTACTACTAGGTGGAATCGGAATAGGATAAAAAAAATACACATCATTGTAAAACCAATAGATCCTTTGTTATGCTTCATATCTAATAAAAATTTGACTTAAAACACAAATTTCTTCTAATTAATATTCTAACCTAACTAATGTTATTCATTTTATAAATTTAAAAACCAACTTTCGATTCTATTTGTGTTGGTTTGTTGTTATATGATTTTATTTTATTTAACTAACAGGCTTTGGATATATCACACACCTATCTATTAAATATTTATGTACTATTATAATTTTATATTTAATATTAATTAGTAGGTAAACACAAAAAAACAAATTATTAAATGCTATTGTACTTAATTAGCTATTCTACACAATACCTAATGTAATAAAAAAAAATTGGATGGGTCACATGAAAATAGCAGGAATAAGGTAATTATCCACTAAAATTATATTATATACCATTATTATGTAGTATTGTACGTTGTTTTTAAAGATGTCGATGACTCGTACTGAGTATACACTTTAACTATACGACCCAAGTAATTACATTTAAAATTAATTATTTTTTCATCATATATATATATGTACACAATTTTGTACTTATTTTGTACTTCGTAAAACAGATTCGAATTATCTATGAATAGGTACTTTAAATAAAATTAATTTCGGTTTTTTCATTCATTAAATTATACAGATACTCTTGTATAATCGTTTATACAATATTTTCAAAATATTACTTTTATTCCATGTACCATAAGCACAAATGGAACTAAATTTCGAAAGGGCATATATTTTAAAAAAAAAATGTTGACATATGATGCATAATACAAATATTGGATTCTGTATTTACCTACCATTTTATGAATTAGATCTGCTTAAAATTTTAGACCGGAGGGTTGCCATCTAAAAATGGACACCAAATATTTTATTAAATAATATTATAATACTAATAATAAACTATTTATTATATTATATTTTATATTTCAAAATTGTGTTAAAGATGGGTGAAAGTTGCCATTCGAAAATTAGAAGTTAATACTCGTTTTAGGTTGTATAAAGAATAGTGGTACAAATATGGTTTTTTAACACCAAAATTAATCCTCACTTAATAATGTATATAAAGCTTTAAATTTAAGTTTTTTTTTTAATTAACAATAAAAATAATTTTGGCTAAAATATTTTTCATTAATTTTCAAAAGAATTTATATGACAGTAATTTATGTATTTTAATGTTAGTTGATTTTATATGGATTTATAGAAAGATTTTTATAATATATTACGAGTAATATTACAATATTATAATAGTTACAAATGAGTTATAACATATTGGCATTGATCGGGGGTTAATCGGACAAAGTCGGGGGCTACGTGAAGTAGGCTAAAACTTTCAAAGTGGCTAAAAAGCAAAGTTACAAATTGTGTAAACTAAGTTACAAATAGTTACAAATAAGTTAAAAAATATTGGCATTGGTCCGAAGTCGAAAGTCGGGGAGCCAACTTCTCGTACGTTGAATATAACGTATAAAAAAAAAAAATTAAACTCTATAGCGATTAGTGAAAATTACATAAATCAAATGTATATATGTAAAACCGTCTGAGAATATTGCTGGAGCTTGATAAAAGAAACCATTCTATATATTTACGTTGGTGTATATACGTATTTTCTACAATTCACTTAATAAAATCAAATGACATTTATAAACGATATTAAAAATTAAATTAAATTGTATGTTTGAGAATTATCTTCTTATAGTAGGCGAGATTAAATCGTTTAAACTCTTTAGAGAAAGCCGTAATAATTAAACTTATTTTAAAATGGTTTTTATTTCCTTACAATCGGATAGTTTTATTTTTCTTCTTCATCCGTATAATTTTAGTGTTTTAGTCAAGTAAATGTCGTTTTTATGTGATTATTTTTTTATTTAAATGAAACTCTAAGTCATTTTTTTCTGTTTCTAAAATAATAATTAAGTATACTCACGATGCCAAATGAATTCATTAATTCAAATTTTAAACGAAAAAACATTATTAAATTATGTATTTATTAATAAAATACCAATATTAACCTTTTCTAAACTTTGAAAATATTATAGTGATTTTTGATTGATTTAAAGACATTTAACATGTTCGTATTAGCTAGTTTTTATTTAAATTTATGTTGATGTAATTTTTTGACCGAACAGAAATACTTTTATTTTGTTCTTTGGACGATTTTGTTCTTTTTAACATAATATATAGCCACTGACAGAGAAAGTCATTTTTAGATAGTTCAAGTAGTTTTTATAATAATTGGGAAAAACCAAAAATGACGTAGAATATAATTTTTTTTATTTAGTAGGTACCCTGTGAAAAAAATTATTAGAATTTACAAAAATACTTCAAAATTTGATAGTAGGTTATTTATAACTCGTACTTAGTGGTCAAAAAAAAAAATTAGTTTTATGTATAAGTATTTATATTTTATAAAAATTTTAAAATCAAATTTATACGAAAATTGTAAATATTATGGCTCTTCAAATTAGCTATAACCGAACTTCAATCAGAATTGTTTTTCGTTGGAAATGGTTTATCATAAAGTTTTAATTGCAAACTATGAAAATGTATTTAAATAAATTAAAAATTGTTTATTCATTTCATAATTTAAATTTCGTAAATCGTAGAAGCTATTTTTTTAAACTCATATGCATTAATAAGGCTGATTCCTTATTATTTATATTTGTAATGTAATTTATATTACCACATAAGACTAAATCTAAATCTAGAAAAACTACTTTTAGCGACCTAAGTATTTTATTCTAAATTGTATAAACTGTCGACCGACAATAAATATTATTCTACAACAACTGTATGAAGGTAAATGTAAGGCTAAACCAGTTTTGTAAGTTGCTAAAATAAAATTTTCTAACGGTAAATTTCCAATACCTGTAATAATTCAATCATATCAGTTTATAGGCTATGGAGGGTAAAACAGGTCAACTCTCAGAAAATCGATAAATTTTATAAATGTCATGCTTTTTCGAAATGTCAATGTTTTCATAATGTATTATATATTTATACGATTATGAAAGCTCAATTTACCCGTTATAAGTGAACAAACATTTTACTGGTGGCTTTTTATTTTTAAAAAAAAAATTTTATTTTTGCAGCAGATTTGCAACATATACCTAAATCTCCGAGTGTTTTATTCTACTAAAATCAAATATTTTATTTTCCGCATACTTTTTATTATAATCATTGGTTTTTGAACATTTTGATTGTGTTTTTACATGCAATTATAATACTATTGTTATTAATTTATTTTTATTTTTTAAGCGTAAAATTTTATTATTAACATTTATTTTGTTTATGATAAAAAATGATTTTATAAATTAATAAATATCATATTGTTATAAATGCAAGACTGTGAATAATAATCATATTATTTGTTAAATCGTTGGTGAATGACATTAAAATTGTAATAAAAGGTACCGATATTTATCCGGATTCTGAATTTGGCAGTCATAATTATTTTGTGTTTGTCGTCTATGTACCGTAATGTTAAATTCAATTTAAATATACCCTCCCTGTTCACCTTTATATTCGAAGCGTGTGCAGGGCTAACTATTCTTATTTTTGCTCTCCGCATCTTTCAACTTATTATTAATTTGTCTACTCCGCATTCATCTCATATCTTGGAATTTTTCTTTGGTCGCCATTTTCCCCATATTCTATACAATCTATCTGTGTATCTATTGTAATCTCACCTATCTTCTCGATCAGCACATCTTTCTCATTCTTTTTGAAAACGTGCTCACACATCATCTAAATCTGTAATATGTAATATTCTCACCCATTTTGATTGATATGCCTGCAACTAACCATTTATGATTCGTTCTTAATCCAATATCTATCTTTTTTATCCTACAAATTACACCATCTCTTATCCAGCGTGATATTTTCATTTCCACTTCCATATTTAGTATTGCATATTATCATATTTAATTCAATGACCGCAGAAATAATCAGACCCATACATCAACGTTGGAGGCCTCAACACAACTGTTTTCTCTAAAATGTCCCTTTTATCATTTTTGTTGTGCAAATAAATAGTAAAACAATTATGATATACAACAGAACATTATCTAATAGTATCGTCTGATGATTTTGTATAATATATATTTTATAGGTATTTCAGCAAACCAATTTGTAACACATTACTCGGGCGTTTTGTGTAATGGAAAAATGATGCTCGGAGGATGGGGCCGAAGTCCTGGGAGCAGCGGATCCGTGCCGCCATCGGGCCAGCGGACCGGTCACCGGCTGTTACCGTTGCCTTTCAACAGGACTGGAGGTGGCAGTGGAAGCGGCGGAAGCGGTGGCAGAGCAGCGGAAGCCGAAGACGTCATGGGACATTACGGACGGAACAAGCAAGGCAACGTGAATAAAATACGTACGGGCCTGTACTATTCGCCGCCGGGCACGTCGTACACTATACTCGAAAAACCACCGGCTTCGTCACCACCGCCGCCGCCGCCACCCAGGGCCACGTATCTAAGAGAATCGTCAGCCGGTATGTCCGGACCCAATCACCCGGGTAAGTATATTGCATTTCCAATGACGTTGCAGGAGAGTGGCGAAGAGATTTTTTTTTAAAATAATCCGTATTGAAATTTCAGTCATCCCAAACACCAGCCGGTTCATATAGCGATAAAAATTGTTTTCCCTGAATTTTAAAATATATCAAACTTTAAATAGTATTTCATAACCAACACCGAATTGTATTCGATAAATTTATCAATCGTAATATGTGCTTACGATTGATCAGCAATTTCTATTGCAGTTTTCATTATATATATATGCCTCCTTCGTAATAAGTATTTAGCTAAAGACAGATTACTGATACATTGTTTGAAGGAGTAAATACCAATAAGTATGGTACCAATTTCTACCTGTATACAAGTATATGTTTAATGATTCTATACCAATAAAAATTTATATTTAAATTCCTCTCCTCCCTCTCACCCAATATTAAAATGCTGATCACTATTGTCTACTTGCCTTGTCGTAACTAAATTGGTGTTGGTTTAAAATTAAAAAAAAAAAATTAAAAATGATTGTACTTTATGTTTTTTACTTCTTCGTAATTGAAAATCGTTCTTTTACATAAATTAACGCTACGTTTGTCATGTCTGTACTAGCTATATTAAGTAATAATAATTATAGTTCAAGTGAAATTAACCAAGTGCGCGAGGTGCAAAAATTGCGAGTCAGGTTTTTTTTTATTTATTTATATCATCCAATGGCTCTTTGAAATATAAAATTAAAAAAAAACCTTTTCACCCATATTAAGATGTATACCTTCATTTTGTTTTTAATTAATTTTAATTTTTTTAATTTTGTTTTTTGATTTTTTACATACAGGTGCCGGTAGCAGTAGTAATCGTTCCAACAACACCAGTTCGCGCGGGAATTCCGGCAAAAAGAGACCCATCTCTCCGGAACAAGTTCTGAAGATGTTCGCGGCACCCAACTATAATGTATCTACTTCGTATCATGTATCTAATTCTAAAGCACAATCGCCACCACCTCACGGGTCGAAAGCTCCACAATCGCACAACACGTCATCTAAAGTGCACAATGACAATCTCACAGTACGCACGATATCCATGTCGAGGCCAAACGTGACATCGGGAAGTCCGTCCAATCAGGGTTTTGGCATCTGTGTCAAAGGAGGAGCAGACGAGTCAAGTAAGTGTCAGAAACATTTTTACGTCTTTAGCGTTTTTTTTATATAAAAACTTTTTTGAGAGTGTTTGACCTTTACATATTTTATCTCAATTAATTTATTTTGCGTGTTTTCTATAACATTTAATGATACCCTCTCTATCAAATTAATTCGTACATGGATTAAACCTATTTTAATAATCCTAATTCTTTGTGTACAGTATCCACGTCTAAGAAAACAAAAATTTTAAATTTTAAAATCTTTTTTCTTAAAATACTTAAATTGTTATTATTATTATTATTAATTCATTGGTATGCAATTAAAAAATAAACTAAAATAATCTACAATCATTTAAAACAAATATAGTTATTTTTAATACAAAATGTGATATTATTTTTGTCTGCATGAAAGGTTTTAAATTAAATTTCGATTACTATAATTGTTTAATTCTTAATAATTATTTTTAATTATAACCTACTTAAAATTAAAATAAAAAAATAAATAACAAATAACAAATTGTTTCTTGCTAATTATTAATAAAATACTTAAATTGTCATCAATTCCGTTACTGTCTTCTATTTCATTACTACTATCTTTAGATATTTGTTAAGATCCAGACATTTCTTTATCATTTATTTGATTTGTATTTGTCCATGAATATTTTGAATTTATATGAATTTGAAGGAGCAAATGTTTGTCATTGCCTATTTCTTCAAGATTAATTTTCCAAATAGTTGTAATTACCAAAGTAGCTTCTACAATACCAATTACTAAACTGTTTCTTGATTTTGTCCAATAATTATTCATTAATAAAAATATTATTTCTATTGCATTATTAGATCCAGGTAATGTAAATGTAAATTCTATCAATTTTAATATCATAGAATTATGTGTTTATTTCTTTGAACAATTTATGTATTAATATCCATTTCCTTTTTCAAAAATTGAACTATCCCATTTTGTAGATTCTCTATCAGCATCTTTTCTTGTTGTTCAAAAAGTTCTTCTTCATTCAAAATATTATTAAATTTTGATTTAACAAAATGTAGAACTTAATATAGAACTTTCATAAATTTGGTCAATTTAATTTATTTCTTTGCAACATTAAAATCCATGCTGTGATTTGAAGTCAGCTATTTGATGCTGATTAGAAACACTTCAATCATTCAAATAATTTTTTATAAAAATTATAAAATGTAGTACAAATGTCTGTAAACTGTCTTATTGTAATTTCACCGTTTACTTCCAAATAACCAAGTATTTCTTCAATATCACTAGAAAAAAAAATATCATCTTTTATTCGTTATCTTTTCAGTTAATTGGTCCATAATTGATACAAGATTCACGGGACTCCATTTTTGAAATTCAATTTTTTTTTGTAGATGTTAACAGTTTTCAGTTAACTTGAACTTGACAAGAATTTAAACCACAACAAAGTTTAATTTTTAAAAAAATGTTTGTACAATTTTTTCGGGATAAAAATATGATTTGAGTGTAATGAACATTGCTATTATTCTTTCAATCGCTGGTTGTAAACATAACTAGTATTTGAATAAGATAATATTTTTACATTCTTAGTGTAGTTACATAGATGTTTATTTGTTTAATTTTTTTTTTTATGTGAACACTTTTTCTACCAGTAAACTTACTCCGATGTATATGATGTAGACCGTTTTCTGAAAGGAAATTTTTTTGGTATTTAGTAATAATCTTTAATAATTTTTTCGATTTTCTCGGAAGTTTTCTCATCAAATGAGAAAAATAGAAAAAAAAATGGAAAATGCACGAAATATATTAGTAAAATATTACAGCCTTTTTTTTTTTTTATCAGCAATTTTGTACCGATTTATAATGATAGCACTTTTTTTAAAACTAAATCAGACTAGGAAGGTATTTGAAGAAGATTATTTTTCGATTATTCCAAGATTTTTCCATATGAAAAACCAGGAAAATCGGTACGATATTAAACAAATATTATTAAAAAAAATATATAATGCATATTTAATTATTTTACAATAATATGGCATATATATTGTTGACAAAACATCACTATTAAATGAGCTCCGCTTAGTATCGTTTTTTCGTTATCAATGGCTTATCTTTGCTCACATATATATATTAAATTCCCTTTTGTATCCTACTATCACAAGTCTACCTGCAACAGTGGCTACACCCGTCCCCATTTACCCAGGACAACTTTTTTTGTACAGAATATTAACAAAATCATAAAATTACTTAAGGGTAGGACCCTTACGGTATAAATATGGGAAAATCCGAATATTTTATAAACAATTGATTCAATATCAATTGGAAGACTATCTACTGCATATTGAATACTATTATGTACTATGTGTGCAAAATTTTTTTGACTTGACTCACGGCACCCTTAATTATTTTCTAAAAATCCGGAGGCACCCTATGGCCTATATTCTATACTGAATACGCAAAATAGTAATGTATCGTGTATTTAAATTTATATTTTGTAACTTCGGTTTTATTTAGCTAAATGCCTTAGTACAAACAAAAATAGTAGGTATATACACTTATTATATTTTATAAAAGCAAATTATTGTTCAATATTAATATTTAGGTTATATGAAATCTTGTTTTCATCTAACTTTCGTTTTTTAATAATACATTTTTCCATTTTTTCAACTAAAATGTAATTTTATTATATAAAATATCTAGAAACTACCGAAATATGTTTCGTAGCGATATTTAAGACCAGACTGATTGTACTAAAATTGTTAGAATGTTATACGATTATTTATTATTTTGCCGGTACATGTTAATAATAAATAATAAAGGTAAGATAAAGTCACAAGTATTTCACCGTAAATAAGTGGTAGAGTGATAACTTTGTAACAGTCCGCATCAAAGCGATAGCAATCAAACCAAAATTAAAATAAATTGAATATCACAGTAATACTATGTACAAATTATATTTATTATATAATTAATATATTAAATTATATTGTATATGATTAATTATACACAATAGGTTTTATACTACAGAGTATAGTACTATAGTCTGTTTTATAACTCACAGTGCTATAATTTTCATGAAGTATTCTTTTTTTTTAAATATATATTTTAAATAATTTTACGGCACCCTAGGGTGAATAGTAGGGTGCCGTGGCACTCTGGTTGAGAACCTGTGTCCTAGACCTAAAATTCACTGATTTTATGTATTTTTTAGTTTAACATAAAGATTATTTTTACCATTTCTATAAATATTTCCAAAATAAATATTTGTATTGTCTCCTGAGTGGCTGATTATTTTTTCTCTAACTTCAAATATTAGCGTATTTAGCTACCGAAATTTCAGAACATATTATATTTTCTATAACGAAAAAAAAGAACACGTCTTTATTTATGTCGTAATATCGTTTTATTTTCGATAGTTCTACCATAACAATTTTTAATAAGTTAATGGAAAAAACGAACAAAAAACTAAAAGTTTACTAACGTATGTCTTTAATGTATTAATTTAAAAACAAAAATAATAAACACGCTATAGTTTACGACGCAGGTAACGTTCTTTTTTATGTGTTACGCAATTTTGGTTATTCTGTAATAAATGTAATCCCAGAAAAGTTGTTACATATAAAGGTATATTATAATAATTTACCTATTCTTAAAAAACCATATTATTACTATCGAAAATGTATTATATCGATTAAAATTATCGATAAAAAGTATTAAGAAAAAACCGTGCAACTTCGTCCTTGGGTGGGCCACTGTTGTAAATGAGAAGTTGGGAAATTTAATGTATATCTGCAAGCCGCGATAAACCATTGCTAACGAAAAAGCGATTCTAAGCGGAGTTCAGTAGACAGTATTGCTTTGTCCACAATGTATACGTTATATTCTGGTAAATAATTACATATCATTATACATTTTCTTTAATAATATTTGTTTAATATTGTACCTATTTCCCGTTTTTTCATATTTTCCCATGTTTTTCTTATTTATTTGGAAAATCAAAAAATTACCACGTTAAAGTGCCTCCTCAATCAGATTTATTTTTTTGAAAAAGTGCTATCATAGTAAATCAGATCAAAATTTATGGTAGAAATTTTGTTCATAAAAATAAAAAAAGCCTTTAATATTTTTTTAAACTATTACCTACCTTCGTGTTCGTACATTATCCCGTTTCTTTGATTTGTTGGGAAAATTCCCTTCGATACACTCAGAATCCAAAATTAAATAAGGATATTTTCAGTCATCACCGTATTTGTAATAAAAAATAATTATAGACGTTTAATCTCGAAATTTGTTATGATTCGGGATCTATTATAAGTATAGTATGTACCTATGAAACATACCATTTTACGACTCGTACTGTTATAAAAATAAAATATCAGGACATTGCACGAACACAGCTCCGGATCATATTTCGTCCGTTATTATTACGTACTGCAGTGTTTGTTGGCTGGTCCAAACGATGACATTAACCACTCTCATAATATTTGGCGTTGAAACTATTATCATATAAGCGGCTATCATACAGTGATGATATGTAGTAGAAAAAATGATAATGAAGTGATGGATTTCTATACGTGATAGCATGGCATTCAATAAAGGTAGTAAGAAAATAATAATAATCAAACTTTAGATTATGAGTGGAGTGAGAAATGTATTGGTTTTACAATGATGTTAATTTTTTTTCTGCAGTGATTAAATTTTTTACCAGCTCCAATTTGCTCCAATTTTCAAGTATAGAACAAGGATATCTGACTGGGGTTTTACTTAAGCGTAGTAATTTTTTGATTTTACCACGGGTTTTCCTAATAAATGGAAAAAATCTGGACAAAATTTGGAAAAATTGGGAATATGTACGAAATGTATTATTTTAAAATCATAAATATATTGGCCTTTCAAAACATGTATAACCGAACTCTGCTCAGAATAGTTTTTCTTTAGAAATGATTAATTTTTGCATACAGATATACTCTAAATTTCTTCTCTAGCTTCTCAACTTTTCACCTACAACATCGGTGGCCTACCCATGGTGCGAAATATGTCTGATTGTTGTTTTTTTTTTTTTTACTAAATACAGTGGAAACTTGGTATCACGAAGTCTCAAGGGACCGAAAAAAAAATTCGACATATCGAAACTTAAAGTTACCAAGGGAATTACATCTAATACTGAATGATTGTGACCGAAAAAAAAAATTTGACATACAGAAACTTCGAGATACTGAAGTTCCAGATAGCGAGGTTCCACTGTATTGCGTGTGAATTGGCGTGACAATTTCTAAATTTACGTGACACCCAAACAAGTTTAAAATTGAAAATAACGTAGGAGAGCTGTATAAACGTTTCTACAGCCCACTCATCTAAATATTGAATTTGATGGAAGTTTTTCCTTTCAATAATTCCGATGCAATTAGTGTGAATTTGTGTGACCTATTTGGAGAACGTACACCTACAGCTCCCAATTACAGACAAGCTCCTCCTTTTAAATAGCACATTTTGCTAGAATAATTTTTAGAAATATTGCGTTTTGGTAGAAGTTTAACTTTATAATTATAAAACACATTTTTATATAAATAATTATATTATAATATTCAAATATGGGCAAAATAATTAGTTGTGGCAAATTATGTTGATTTAGTTAAATTGCTATAAGTTAAAGTTAACATAGAAAACATTTAACTCGATAAATTTAAAGTTAATATAGTAAAAAAATAGATAATTTAATGCATACCTAACCTGTAAGCAACAATAAACCATTGCTTACAAAAAAACAATTTTGAGCGGAATTTAGTTTATAGTGATGCTTTTTCAGCAATATGTATGTCATTTTATAGTAAAATAATTAAATAGGCTCTATGTATTTCTTTGAATAATATTTGTTTAATGTTGTACCGATTTTCCCAGTTTTCCTACAATTTTCCGGTTTTCCCATGTTTTATTCCGGGTTTTCATATTTACTAGGAAAACTTTTGAGAAAATCAAAAAATGACGTCTCTAAAACACCTCGCAAGTGAAATTTCTTTTTAGAAATATTGATATCATTAAAAGTTGCAGTAAAATTAATAGAAGAAAAGTTGTACACAGAAAAAAATAAGACGGTAATATATTTTAACTAATACCTACATTTCTTATATTTTCCCGTTTTTTTTTCGGTTTATCAAATTTGATGAGAAAACTCTTGAGTAATATTTAATAAAGTTCGTTATATTTACGATTTTAAAATAATAAATTTCGTAAATTATCTCATTTTACCGCGGTTTTTTAATGTTTTTTTTTATAAAAATCTCTAGAAAAATTAAATATTGGCTTCCTACAGTACCACCAAGATAAAATTTATTTTCAGAAAAGGTGCTACATATGAATATCGGAGAAAAATGTCTGGTAGAAAAGATGTTCACAGAAAAAAAACAATAATATCATTGTAAAACCAATAAATTCCTCGTTCCATTCAGAATCTAAAATTATACATTTATTTCGTAATTAACAATTTTGAAAAATATATCTCAAAGAATAATCTTTATGAAAAATACATTCTATAATATTATACTTAAATATTGACGACGAAAGTGAAACGCTTCGGGGCAAAACGCCAGAAAGTAAAAATCTTTAATAAAAATAGTAGGAGGCCTGAGAAATGGAACGAATATTGAATTGTCCGTAAGCCAACATACGGACAATGAACAAATAATAAATAAAATACAATCGAATATTAATTAATTAACAAATTAACCTCATCGAATTATCTGTATATTTGAGTAAATAAAATTTACATACAACGTAACCTAACGTTTAGTTTATAATTGTTTCTCTTTTATTCGTATTTTAACTTTATTAGTTATTTGCACAGTTATGTATTTTAATAACACAATTCAATAATATTATAACTGTTGTAAAACTTTTAATATATTGAATAACTATACGTTGATTTCTATATAAAAAGTACCTATACTGTATACTGATGATAGTAATTTCCTAAATTATATTCAAAGTAGAAAGTACGAGTTAGACGGGCGTCGCCCATTATGCCGTAAAAACGATTAAAAAATACATGGGGTACCAAATTGTACACGGATCATTTTTATTATACACAAGACGTTTATGGAATTGTCCAATGTTATCGATTTATTTTATAATTTAATACAAAATACATAATAAAATATTAGTTCAGGTATTGCACAGTACCTACAGGCGTCTTTTATTCACGAAATTATTTTTTCTAGATTTACAAAATATTCTATATTACATTTTTAAATAATAACTGATGGAATCAAGGAATATTTTATCTTGACATTGGAGTCGAATATAATTTTCAATATTTTTTAAAATAAATACAATTTCACGAGTATTGTTAGCTGATTAAAATACTTGTGTTATATACTGATTTTACTGACAACCATGTTTTTAATGTAAACCAATATCATTTTAAAAAGTTTATTTACTACTATTATAAAGAAAATACGGAAATGAGTGTGTCAATATAGTAGGTGGGCAGTTAGAAAGGTAGGTTGTATCAAGTTTTTGAACTATATCTGTAAACAACGATAAATTATTGCTAATGAAAAATGATTTTGAGCGAAGATCAGTTAAACATGTTTTGAAATGTTATGATTTTATGTAATTTTATGATTTTCGTCAAAATGAGAACTTAAATGCTTCTCAAAAAACCTACTACATTGCACTCAAACTTTTATTTCCATTAAGTACAACTTACGAGCATAATGAATTTCGTATTCAATATTCAAGCATTTCTGTTAGGCTAAACAATATTAATATAATAACTATCAAATGAAAACTAAAAATACTTGAAAATGTTAAATACCTATAAATAGCCCAGAAATTAAATAATGTTGAAGAATTTTTGACTCAAGAATGTTTAAAAATGTTATCACGTCTAGAAATAAGGCAGATATATAAGTATGCAAATTCTAGCTCTCTAAAATTATTTTAAACTGATTTACAGCAAAAACCAAATCGAAAATAATGCCGCATACATTTCCATTTTTCCAGCTTTTTCTTAATTATTAAAAAAACTACATAGAAAATCAATACATCCTAAAACTCCAACTGGACAGCAGTTCCTTCAGAACTTTCCTTTCAGAAAATGTGTTATTATTGAAATTTGGACTAAGAATTCTTGTAGAAAAAATAATCGTAATAATTCAAAAAAAAATAAATCTTTAACGTTGTAAATTTGTCTTTATTTCCAAGTAGTTTTAAACCACTTGGAAAATTAAAAAGTTACTTATCTAATACCCCAACTAAATTCAAAATGCAACACATTCTGTCATTTTTTGATTAGAGCATTATTTCTGGTAGAAAAGTTGTTAGTTGAATCTACAAATTATGTTTGTAATCTATAAAATGCATTTTTAATTCTGAAAAGATGACGGCATTAATGTTTTTTTCACATAATATTAACTTATTTCAGAAAATCACTTTATCTCTCGAAATGAATATATGACGAGTTTGACTTTTCCTATTTAAATTAATCTAATATTAGATTTATTTAATTTTGTTTAGAATTTTTATTTTCATTATTAAAACGAAGATATTTTTTATATGACATACTTATGTCTTTTTTAGGTTTCATCATATTATATTTAGTATTTACTTACTTGTGTGAAGTTTGCAGAGTTTGTTGCTATGGTTCTCAAGTTCCATACCACAAACATTTCTTCGTGTACGTTGTTTTTTTTTTAAAACATTTCATATTATAACATACGACCCACCTACTTCCAGACTATTTAAAATCAAATATGAATATTGCTTTTTTTATATTTTAAATATTTTCTTGGCTATATAATTCAGTTCTCAAACTATTACGTCATTTCGTTACTACTAATATTACACTATACTATGTTATAACATTTTCACTCTTTATTGTATTTCTTAGTTGTCGTTATGATTATTAATTTATAGTTTATAGCTAACTTGCAGACATACCTACAAGCAATTTATTTTAAATACATTTTCCTATAATATATTATATTATTACTAAAAATTATGTAAAAATAAACTAAAATTATACTTCAATTTCATATCACTATTAGAATAATAAAACAAAATTAGCTACCTGTATTGTTACCGATTTGCGAGATTATCTTCAATTTTAGCGTTTACCACAAGCTTAGTTAGGTGAGCTATTAGCTAGTGGATATCTATAAACGTATTTATAGTTCTTGAATGGGAACACTTACAAAAGTATAGGAACATTTAGTTATTATTTAGATAAATATTTGGTGTCGAAAGGGCAAGGAAAAACTTATTCATACCCTTCCCTTCCCTTCCCACCAGACTTAAGCCCAATTAGCATAAAATCCCAAGTTACGCTTATGGCCTCTATACAAAATAATAAATTTCCAATTTAAATAAAAATTATTTTATTCAAAAAGCCTTTTATGAGGATGAAAGTTGCAGGTCAATTTCCATAACATATACGTTTTTTTTATTAATACTTGTAAATAATAACACAACAATAAACCAACATTATTGATATTAATAATACAATTGAAAATTTTAATAGATGTCGGAGTATACATATCGCGCGTGGAAGAAGGAAGTATAGCGGAGAGCGTTGGCCTTAAGCCGGGAGATTCGATTTTGGAAGTGAACGGCAGACCGTTTTCAAGTATATCGCACGAGGAAGCGTTAAAAGTATTATAAATTTTTTTACAATATTAATTATGATTCAAACTATACTGTTTTTTGTTTCTTTTTTCTTACTATTTCGCAGATTTTTAAATCATACCGTCAGATTACAATGACGGTGAAATGTCCATCACCACCACAATCTATGCCAACCATGCACAAAAAAGACGACGACGAGAATACTAATCAAGATGATTCGTGGAGGTTGACCAGGACGTACTCATGGATCAATCGCAAGGGCCAACCGGTTTCTCCTCCATTGGAATATGCCAAACCCATTTCACCTTATTCCAAATGGTCCTATACTCGTTCGTCTAAAGACAAAATTCGAAAAGTATGCGTAACATACCTAATAATAATATTAATAATAATAATAATTTTTTTATGAGCGTAAATTGTTTTTTTATCTAATAGAAATATTATTATTTAAGGTGGAATTGTTGATTGAACCGGGGCAAAGTCTCGGTTTGATGATACGAGGTGGAACCGAATATAATCTGGGAATATTCATCACCGGTATTGATAAAGATTCCGTTGCCGACAGATCTGGACTTATGGTAAAAAAATAAAAAATATTACAATATATTATTATCGATATTCCAAATGTATAGGTTCTTTTTTTTAGATTGGTGATCAAATTTTAGAAGTGAATGGACAATCGTTTCTAAATTTGTCGCACGATGAAGCGGTGAATCAATTGAAATTCCAAAAACAAATGACTCTTACCGTAAGAGACGTGGGAAAAGTACCGCATTCATGCACTACGTACAATCCGGAAAGTTGGAACCATTCTATAGACAAGTAAGATGAATATTTATTAAAATATGTATTGAAATACCTATTATTATTTATAATCGTATATAATATATTATATTTTTATAATTTTTGTAGTTAAAAAAAATATATTATATTATATTATTAATATTTTTTTTTTTTTTTTATGTATCTTAAGTCAAACTTTATATCATATTATATTATTATCTTAATAGTTCTAATTTATATAGCTGTGAATAGATTTATTATGAGTTTTTTTACTAGATAAATTATAAGTATTATTATTATTATAATTAGTTGACAACGGTTTTGTAATAACATTATATACTATTGCAGTTAGCTTATTCATTTTATCAATAGATTCCCATATTTCTAAACTCTATAATATAATATTGTATGTTATTAGTTTGAAGTGATTCTGTATAGTTTGATAAGTCTTCATAAAAAAAAGAGTCATTTAGCATTTTGTATAAATGCATTATTCATCCGAGGTTTATAAAAATATATATCACATCAAAATATAAATAGATAAAACATAGCATATGAGTATTAAGATTTGAGTATAGGGTGTTTCAAAATATATAATATTGGTTACAATTTAAAATACTCTATATACGATCAATAAATTTTAAGCTCTCTTCTGGAAAAATAAATCGAAACAAGTGAAAGTTGTGAAATAGTGAAATGTCTGTATTGTATTCAATAAAAGTACAGGGGTGTTATTTGAGGAATTTACACTATAATTTGTCATATCTATATAGATTTTCGTTTCCCTACTTGATAATTGTACATAGTTTAATAGTAAATTAAAGTTATGTAAAAATGTAATACAATTTTGTCAGATTGTAAGTGTATTAAATTATTTTTATATTATAATCAATGAATTTAAATAATAATAATAGGAATAATAAGGAGGAAAAGTAGGCTACCAATAATGAACCTGATGGCATCCGTTTTCAACACAGTTTTATTGACATTCTCGTATTATCATTTATAGATTTGGTATAACCAATAAATTCCACATTATGCTTAGAATAAAAAATCAAAAATTGCTTTGACCTCAATAGAACCCCTAAAACATAAAAATAATTTAAGTCAACACCATCTAAGGAGGTGTTGACTTAACGAGTAAAAATTTTAATTACATTTAAGCAATTAAACATGATCTGTGAACATAATATAAATATATTATATTTAACTATGTTTCAAAATGAAATAAACAATTCGTTTTAGTAAAATTAATTAGATGGTTTTAATAATAAACTATGATATTTAAAAAAAAAAATCTACCTTATCTGTATTAACCTAAAAATGTAATATTTGTGATTATTAGAATAATTAAAAGAAATAATTATACATATTACCTATAATACTATTTTAAAATATCAAATTCTAAAATTTCTTAAAACTCAACAAATTTTGATCTTTCGCTTAAGAAATAATAATAATAATATTTCTTTCTTCTATATTACATTTTCATAATTCCTCTTCGAATCGAAATTTGTTATGAATTCGAAAATAATTTAACCGATCTATTGAAATATTATTATAAGTGTAAGGAAAATTATAAAAAACAGCACATCGATAGACCACACTATTAGATATATATAGTTTTAATATTTATCGGATAATTATATATATCTAACATGTCGGATTAGTTATAACTTATATTAATATGAATATAATATTATGGTAAAATGAATAGATTTTACTAAAACGTAATATACCTAGCTATACTACTAACATTACACCTGTCATTTTTATTTTTGAATTTAATAATATTAGTTCTAATTTTTGTTTTCAAAATATCCGTTTAAATTAAGGGAATAGAACAATAATATCACCGTATAATATTCATTATATTATTTCTACACTAACCGTAGGTACACATACTATTATGTTGTATTAAGCACAATAAGTGTAGGTGAATAAAAACAAAATCTAAACATTTGATTTATACATTATTTAAAATTTATTTGGAAAACGTATCTATAGTATAACTAACGTAACTATATATAGAATCTAACACTTAGTGATATTAATTTTAGTGCTGACGGTGCTTTGAAGTTAGGTACATCGGCTGCGTCTCAGATGGTAGAGGAAAAAGCTCGAATTTTGCTGACGAAAAACGAATTTAATACTTTGCGGTATTATTTGGACGAATATTCGTGTTCTCGAATGTCTATTGACGCGTTTATAACTATACTTTTCGAATTGCTCAATACAACTGATAAGGTGAATAAAGAGAAATTAAATGTTTTTAGATTTTTATGAAAAAAAAAAAATACACATTGGAATAACTTAAAAATTATAAAGATATTAAATTATAGGAAATTAAAATGGAACAATTTAAACACATGCAAATAGTATTTATAATATAGTTTCAAATTAACTTTTTGTACCTACTTTGTAATATTTTTTTTTGGTGTTTGAATTGGTCTTTTCTTGCACTGTTTCTCGTCCCTACCAAAGTGGTCACGATCTTATGTAGTATCAATATATTAATGACGGTCTGATGGTTTTTTAGTTTACGCTGTTGACGGAATTGCGCGAACTAATAGGTCCCTCGGATCGAGACCGTTTTGATCAATTGGTGTATAGAAGAGGACGGGAATCCAGAAAAACGCACTCCCGAGTAAGAATCATGTCATAAATACTTTATTATACCAACCTACCTAGTAATAATAATATATACTATGACTCAGAGGAAACAAAATAAATGCCTATAATATTTGCATATACCTATTTGTGTATATTTCAGAAACTAGACAATTTTAATTCAAATATACCTGGAGGCCAGAGTAAAGGATTCGATTTTCCTAATGAAAATTCCGGGATGGATATTGGGACTACCGAGTATTCAAATTCAAATTATAGGACTAGGTATACTTAATATATTACTATTATATGTTATGGCACAAAAATACTACTCTCAATAATAGTAAAAACCTAATTATTATAGAATATTTATATTTATTTTATACAATATATTATACATCCCTATAATACCTAAATTACCTAATATTATTTATTAATGAAACATTTAACCTTACCGTTTACATGAAAACTCCGCGAAAATAATAATAATATTAAAAATTATCATAATTTAAACACCGTATATTTACACTAGACGATTTATAATTCGGATAATAATATTAGGTCAAGTGTTAAAAAGCCATAATATTCCATAGGGCGGTCTATACTACTATAGGTAGTTAAATCAAATAGTATAAAAATCATAATATATAATACAAAATAAATTGTTATGAAATAGTTATATAAATTTATTTTAATTAAAATTGATTCAATTTTAAAATATTATTCAAAATTGTTTGAATATAATGTAAAAATGTAATATACCTTATTTTTACGATAAAAAATAGCAACAAAAATTTTAAATTAGAGGCAATTGTTTTTTTTTTTTAAATTTATAAGTATTATGACATGTGGGTCAGGACCATATGAATGTTCGTTGGATAGTGAAAGAAAATTTATATATTTTTGTATTTATACAATAATTTACACTTTGAAATTGTAAATCAAGGTTAACTTCGAAACGCACAACATTAAATCTAGTGTAACACTGTTATCTATTAATAAACTATAATTAAATTTTATGAAATATGCTGTTATGACACTTCAATTTCGAACACTTGACATGGTATAATTTATATTTTAACATCATTACACATTATAATTTGATTTTTATTTGATAAAACCAAATCTCATATAGTTTCATCTATTAACTGTATTTATTTATTATGTATTTGTATAATATATTGTTTTTTGGTTAATTCGTGGTATAATCATATCTTCAGTAGTGTGGATTTTATACATTTTTAGATTTATTTACGTACTTAAAAAAACATAATAATAATAACAATACATCATAAATGTTTCACGGTATCAACATACATACATTCATTGTATAATATCGAACTCATTTTAGATTATTTTTATTTAGGTAAATACGTTTCTATCCTACAAAATCATTTCATACACTTATATATTAACTTGAAATTTCTTGTAGAACTATTATGCTTATATGTTGTGCAAAATATACTTTGCCAATCATATTATTTCTATATTTATAAGTGAAATCGATATTTCGATAATTAAAATGAATTAATTGTCATGCCTTTTGAATAGATTTGCGTATATAATATTATTTATATTATATATTGTTACAGTCGTAAAAATGAATTAAACAAAATTCTTCAGTAGTTATTAAGTATTATCTATACTGATTTATTTTGTAATAATTAGATAATAAAACATAATAATACCCGAACTATATGGTTTATTTTAGTGGCAATAAAGGCAAGGATTCTCCGATGAAAACTAACGACCAGTCTCAGTCTCATAGAGATATGGAAGTGGAAGAATTCGAATACAGCCATCAAGTAAGTGATACGATTGCATATTTATGTTGACTACTATCATTATAGATTCCTTTGATCCTTATAATTCTTTATTTAGGATTACGGTGACTTGGAAACCGAGCTTTTACCACGAAAGTATCATAACGATTTGATTGATGTTGGTTATACTCATCGAAATTCAGGCCTTTATGATGAATCTAATATGACTAGGTCATCGGTAAAGTACAATTAATAATCATAAAGTTTATTACCTAGTTAATTATTAGAATCGTTCAATCGAATAAAAATGTGTAAAACTACATATATATATATCTACTTAATTATCTGAGTTCTATATATAGTCGCGAAATAGTTTTTATTTTTTTTATTATTATTGTTATTGATCGAATGATGCTATAAACCTCTAGATTTTGATATTAATATTTTGCAGTTAGAAAGAACTATAATTTAAAAAAAAAAATTATTCTCTATAGATACTTAGTGTTCTTAAATAGCATTACACAGTATATCTGACAAATTCTCAAACTAAATTTCTGTGTTGAATATAAACAGCGTTATTGTTCGTACAAATATTAGTTAGATAGTAGAAATAAATTCTAATGAGTACCTAAGTATACACAGTTTAATGAGTACTAATATGTATAAGTATCAATACGTTTGACCTCTTCAATCACGTGTTATATTCGGCTGGGTAATGTATGCTTATGTTACTTTGTACGAGCTTGCAACATGGAAAAAAGAAGCGCAATACAATTTTTAGTTTGATTTCAAAAATCGTTTGTAGAAACTTATTCTTTAATATAGTTAGCATTTCGCCATGAGCTGTACTCGTACTGCTGCTGTTGTTTGAACAACCTCATTTTACCTTTCGGACAAAATTAGAAGAGCCTAACATTGGTAAAGACGTGATACGTACATTTATACAAGTAAAACCTAATCACCTAAAGGTCTGTTCTTGTTTCGATCTACGATTCTTGACCGAAAAATAAAAACAGACATGTCTTTCTTACGCCCAAGACTTCGTTTAAAATTCAGATAACGATCCGAGTAGCAGCATGTCTTATTTTTAATTTCCAATACTGAAGTTGAAGATAAAAGGCCGCTTTTCGACGATACCAATAGAGCTTATACGAAGCAGTTAAAAGCGATTTTAGAAAATTCAAATTCCAGAGCGTTTGAATTGCTTTTCTACGCCATAACTTGTGTAATTAAGAGTTCTATGTAGAGGGTTGATTCATTATCTCTAAATCTGTGTTTATTTAATTTGGTTCCGGAATTTTTCAGACATACTGTGTATTATTATAATATTCAATATTTAGTTAAATCAAGAAAAAGTATCATCTTTATATCTTTAGACATATAGTTGTCATAAGTATAATTTTTAATTTTGTGCCTTTTATAATAAATGCAGTAGGTATGCGTATTATATGATTTTTACAAAATATCTCTACGCATAAATCGTTCATCATAAAATAAAAATATCTATTAAAAACTTTCGAATATTTCAAGTCACGTAATTATTTGATAGCAAAGAATTATGCCAATCCTATAAATGAAAAATCAAAATCGTTATGTATGTTAAAATAGGTATCTGATTGGTTAAAATATACCAAATGTGTCATTATTGTGGTTTCGTGAACATAGTTGGGTATTTTTTTTATTGAATCTCCCATATTATAATATCAAATATGAATTATTATCAATATTTGAAATCATAATTACTTCAATTAATGAAAAGGCATGTTTGTATTTGCATTTTAGAAATAGAGTATACTAATATATTGATATCCAAAACCTAAAAGACACACTGCGTGTAGGTTTGACCAATGTGCTTTTATATTTGTATATACGTAGTGAAAAATTAACATACATTTTATACAATATCCTAAGTTGCATATATTTTTGATACTCTTATTATATTAGTACCAAGTACCCTAAAATCGTCAAATCAAAAAAGTAATACCAAAAATTAAGAAAAATTATGTAATATTATTCCGATTCCCAAACAAATTCGATGGCCGAGTAACTTCGTATAATTTATAACTGGACATCCAGACAACTCTTTACTTAAGTATATTTCCAATAAAAAGGTAGGATGCATCAAGTTATTTAATTTATAAAACCAACGACAAACCATTGCTGACAAAAAAACGATTCTGAGCAGGATTTCGTTAAACATGTTTTGAAATTCTGAAGCTTTTAAAATTCTCATTAAAATTTGATTTTAAAACACTTGTAAAAAAAAACTAGTACACTACGCTCGATTTTTTTGACCGCCAATTCAGGGCGTCAGTTGTTTCCGCTAAAAAACTTGATTTTCATTTCCGCCAAATCTATTTAAACTTACTACTACTCTGTAAAGTCAGTATTTTTAGGGACCAAACCGGACTGTCAATTTTAACAAAGGCCTGAAATAAGATCGAATCAATTGTTAAATTTTTTTTGTCTATCTATATGTACAAACTACTTTCATATTTTTTTTAAGTATAGATTGTAAACAGGACACCATGGAAACAAAACTGTTTCTTTTTTATTGAAACAAAAAAAAAAAAAACGTTCTATGAAAAGCATAATTTCTCAGATTTGGTCATCAGAGAAAAATACAGAATCTATGAGAGATTTTAGATTATTTTAGATTCGATTTGAGTATAGTACATAAATGTGTATTGTAACGTAATGTAAATCTGTGTAACGGCTAATATCAAAAACTATTGGATTAATATTTTCGTGGATTTTTGCAAAATGATCCGCGTTGTACAGGGAAAGTTAATAGCTGTTGAAATCCATCCCCTAAAATTCGGTTATTGGGTATTATTAAATCAATTATTTTTATGGATTACCTTAGTAACAAGGATGAAATGAAAAAAAATTTAAAAGTTTGATTAAAACGTATCTATGGTAACTAATATAAATACAAATAATTATAAAAATCTATGTGCCATATTATGCAAAACAATTTGTTTGTTATAAACTGTCTTTACGTAATTATTTAATAAAAAATTTTAATTTTTGAAATAAATAATACGTAAATCATAAATAATAAATAATTCTAACGCTGTTACTCGCGCGTAAAAGGATTCACTCACGCGATTCGACTACATAGTCGAAAAAATACCAGTTTTTCTGCCAATTTTTCACTTATATCCTTTCCAATTGCTATTTTCCTGACAAAATGCCCAAAAAGAAATCCAATATTAGCCGCTCAACATGAGGGGCAAAAAGATTAGCGAATAGGGATCGATGATTAGCTATAATACGGTACACGCGCGCGTTTCCTCGTTGCCGAGCGTTCCCACTTCCTGATAGTTTAATAAAGACTTCACTTCTTTTGAAATCCATAAATTCCCCTCGCCCCCCCCCCACAAAAAAAAAACTAAATTCGGGGTTTCGATATTTTTCGTATGAAAATCATGAACAAATATCATAACAGAACACGTTTAAGTCCGCCAAATGTGGACTACCCACTTTCCACCTATTTGTTTTTATTCATTACTGACACAGTCAAAACCAAATAGGAATATGGGTAAAAAAAATGAAATTTGCACGGGCAACGCCGGGCGAGACAGTTGGTATTATAATACTATTCATTGTCTCCCTACTTTTATACTAGCTCATGTTTTATACGAAAACGCTATACCTACTTGTGTAATATATCATTCAAACTCGTAAGTGGCCCGCTTGGCACTTATCAAAAATATTTTTCGGATTGAAGTATAGAATAATAATATTGATCTAAAACCTAGATATTTATTAGATGCGTATTTGTTTATATATTACTAATTAATTACATACTTATTGTAGGTATAGACCAGGGATCTTCAACCCACGGCCCTCCTTGTCATTATTTGTAGCCCCCGATTATATTTAAAATATAGCATATCTTTTCTATTTCGATAAAATTAGAACGGCCATAGGCCATTACTATCGAAAGAATTGGAAAACAAGCGATAAGATAAATTAAGTTACCTACTTTTTTTGATAGTACTTACACTTGTGATCATATATTTTCACGAATGAAAATGGTCAAGTCGAAAACTAGAGCTCGGATAACTGACAAGCACTTAGAAAACTCGCTGATAATTACATCGTCTCAGATTCAATCAAATATAGAAAATTTAGTTAGTGAAAAATAATGTCAGTTATCAGTTGTCACAATAAATATAAAATAAATAATTTGTAATTCAAAATTGAATTATGTTAATCTACAACATATGTTTTAATAATAATAAAATTTAATTTTTGTATAAAATATACTTGTTTACTACAAATGCGGCCCGCAAGATGTATAGAAAATAATATATAGCCCGCTATATAAAAAGGTTGAAGACCCTTGGTATAGACGATTAGTAAGAAGTTATTTGAAAAAAATATAAATATAAGTAATCGTAGGTATGTTTGTTATTAGAAAATGTTTGCAATTAAATAAATATTATATAGGGATTAATTATATAGATTTATATTTTTTAACGCTGAAAAGTTATAGTACGCATTTAGATAATATGAAAAAAAAAAAATTATAATTATGTTATGTAGAAAGTAATTTTCATGTTATTATAACGTTTATGTTCATATAATATACAGTGAAACCTCCCTAAACGGACACCTCCAAATAGCGGACATTTTTTTCGGGAACAGGGATATTTTTACTATTTATGCGTAGGAAAATCTCTAAATAACGGATACTTTTTAACATTGATATTAATAATTTTTATCGTAGATTAAGAATAATTGTAGAATGCCTAAATAAAAGTCTACACTATTAAATTATTTTTGAGTTATTTTTTATTACTATGTATGTACATTATATACTGTATATGTATGTCTTATATTATCCGTCCAGTAGTTGAAATATTGTCACGTCGATGAAATGTTGTAACTTTATAAGATGTATCTAATTAATGTAAAAATAAATTAAAATAAAATTTATTCAATTTAATAAAAATACAATTCCTCCCTCTAAATAGCGGACACAATTCCAGAGATCGACAGTCTCCGGTATTTAAAGGTTTCACTGTATTGTTATATATTACTCACTCGATTTTTGCTAATTAGAAAAAACAACGTTGCACATTCAAACTTAAACATTATAAATTATTTTTCATTAAGGGGGACCGGTGCCGGTTTTTTAAATTTTCTCCAATTTTGAAAAATTTTAAAATTACTAACTTAAAGATAAGTCTTTCCAATTGATCTTGTACTCGATACCTATTTAGGAAAAAGGGGTGATGCCGTTTTTACTGACGAAAATGATTTCACGGAAATAGTGATAACTCATTGTCATTAACATTTTTTTCAATGGTGCACAACAGCATTCTACAGGCCGAATTGAATTCTGACTTTTCAATTCAGATTTCAAATACTGAGAAAAAAATTGGTAAAATAAGCTTAAAATTTATTTTTTTTTAAAGACTCATAATAAATGTTGAAAATAAAATATTCAAAAACGGAGTTAATGTGGTCTGTAGAATGGTTCCCTCTTCTAACTAAAAAACAAAACAAAATTATATTTGGTTGTTTCTACTGAACAATATCACTATTTCCGTAGAGTATATTTTTGTGGACGAAACGACATTGGCACCAGGTGCCTTAAACCCTAAGATTAGCGTGTACAACCTAAATAAAATAAAACTCAATAAATTAGTAGGTACCTGCCTGCACCATATAAGTTTAATAGTAGGTTTAAAAACACGGTTAATTTATTTACATATAAATGTAATAAAAAAAAAAAAAAAATGATTTGCTATAGAAAATTTAAATTACAAACACTACATATATATATTTTTGAAAAAAACCCACGGAGTTTTTAACGCTTAGTACAGAATACAGACGTACGCAAGGGAGAAGTTGATTTCCTATAATACAATTAATGTTATTTTAGTTTATTTGTTTGGTTTTAGTCATAATTTACTTATTCTTGAAAACAAATAATTACATTGAAAAAATCATATATTTTCGATAAATTAAATCCGTTTTGGTATGTAAGTACTACGTATACGATTATTTTCATGTCATAAAATATATTTTTTAGATTTAGTTGTATGTGTATATGTTACGGATAATTTGATCCTAACCGGGCAATTTGAACCACGAATATAAACAAGTTAATTCAACGATCTAAATCGTTAATAATTTTTTTTTGCAATATTTTTTATTTAATTTATTATTAATTTTTCTTCTTTTCCTTCACCTTCATCCCACATCACAATGCGCACCATTTCCCGTAACATATTCATCAATTGTATTTGGTATTATGTAAACATAACAAATGATAAATAATTTAACTTATTGATTAAAATGAAATTAATAAAATAAAATTATCGTATATAAATTCAAATCATAAGCGTACTATATACGATTCACGCTAAGAAATACAACTAAATATTTCAGTTGGATGACCTAGTATTGAAATAGAATTTTCAGGGAACGATAGGAGTACCCAAATACGCATTTTTAGACAAATTTCAAATTTTTAACTCTTTTAGTACTCGCGTGTGCAATACAACTTACTTTTTTTTAAATAGCAATACCATTTTTTTTCAACAGGTTTGAATAGAGTATTTTGTTTTAAACAATTTTTGTAAAAAAAGTTTTTTTTGCAATTACAAAATTGGCAAAGTTATCGTATGTTGAAATTTAATATTTACGAATAATCTGTAATTCACGAAATTTTAACTATGTTCAACTATACTAGAATATCGAAATGATGATATCTCCGATATTGTGAAATACTTACAGTTTTTAGATAGATGAGACACAAATAAACACTTCAGTTCTTTTTATGGGGGCATTTAAAAATTATTGTATACATGGATCTTCCTAATAATATCCAAGTTTTAAAAATCAAATTACGAGTAGCATATAATAATTTGAAAGAAGACCAAATAAATGCTGCCACATCAAGAGAATTTTTAAGCCGTTTGGAATAATTTTTGGAACACTGAGGCCGAAACTTTGAACAGTTTATTTGATAAAACTATAGTTACAAATATATAAATCTTAATTTCAAATTCATGGCATGTAATTTTTTATAATATTCATTATCTTTAATTTATTTTGAAAGAATAAATGAAAAAAATAAGACTAAAACGAAAACAAAAAATGTTAATTAGTGTCTTATATCTATCTACAAACAGGTATTTCAAGATATTGAAAATATCATTTCGATTTTCGTGTATAAGTTGAACATGGTTAAAATGTTATCAATAGCAGATTATCCGCATAGCAGAATATTAAATTTCAATATATTTTAACGTCGCCGATTTTTTAATTGCAAAAAACACTTTTATACAAAAATTATTTTTAAAAAAATACTCTATCCAAATCTATAAAAGAAAAAGTGGTATTGGCATTAAAAAAAAAAGTAAGTTGTATTGCGCACACGCGAACCAAAACAGTTAAAAATTTGAAATTTATCTAAAAATGTGTATTTGGGTACTCCCTATCATTGCCGAAAATTAATTTCAATACTAGGTCATTCAACTGAAATATTTACTGGTACCTCTTAGCGTGAACATACTGTATAATGTATATATTTTTTTTAACGATCGGTTTTTTTCGATTAGTTTCGATTTGTTTTAAGTAAATGTTCGCACATCATCGATTATCCATAATGAAAACAAAAAAGTTCATGTACGTTGTATTATAATAATACATGCATACATTTTGATATTTTTAAGTTTATTTTAAATAATTCGTCATAGTCTGTCACTATTTGTATTCGTAACAGTACTGTATGGTTAATGTATTTTTATTTTTAAGCATAATTTCAAGTATATTATTTAAAATTTAGTTACCTACGTCTCGTATAAATAGTGTAGCCGATATTGGCGATAAAATAATCGGCCGTGTAGCCGTTTTAACATCTTACACACATACACTCTCGTTTGTTTTCTCTCTATTTGCGAGGTCAATTATTTCTGCAAGAATTTCCGTTGTCGTTTTTCCTTATTTATGTTATGTATATTGCATATACAATCCTCGTTACTTATTATACAGAACGTCCTTCAACCCGAACATAATAAATTATTCGTGTTTTTATCAAGTCATAAATTTACACTAATAATAAGTAATACTATTATCATGTATTATACGCGTGTATAGAAGTGCACTTGTTTTAATGATATCCCGACTTTCTCATGGATTTATTATTACTTATTACATTAAGAAGACGTTATACCTGCATCTACTGATTCAGCCCAACTACTGGGTAACATGCGAAAATAATGCTTGCGCAGAATAGGTACAACTACCTTAATTTTGATTTTAGAGTAAAAGTACCTATTGTGAAATTTATAGAGAACAATATTTTGGAAGGAATTTCATAGGTGTTTTTTTGGATTATGAACTATTAAAAAAGTTACAGTTATTTAAAAAACAAAAAAAAATAGTTTTTGTATTTTTTATATCGAGCTGTGTATTTTAAATAATACAAAAACCATGGCATTCCCTCCAAAACAATGTTCTCTATACATTTCATAATAGAACTTTTAATCTAAAATCAAAATTAAGCTAGTTTTATTTGTTTTACATAAGTATTGTTTTTGCATGTTACCCGGTAGTTGGACTGAGGCAGTAGATGCGTGTATAACGTAGTCCTCTTAAAAACTGTGGATATTGTTAATAAAATAATAATTCCTTTGCGTAATATTATTATTTGTCTACTTATTTTAATCGTGAATCAATGATAATATTTTATTTCGTTTAATATTTAATACAATATATTTATACAAAATACCTACTCGTGGATATATTGTAATATTATACAATTATACTTACCTGTTTTTAATCGAAAATTCTACGGTTTCGTCACGATTTACACTACGATTGAAGAAAAACATTGGTCTTGAGTAGCGCGTCCATTTTAAATTTATTACTGTTCAAATTCACTATTGATATCAGTAATAAGCACTAGCGCATTTGAAATTTTGTGATGGGTCTTGAAATACACTTATTCCGTAAAAATAAAAAAAAATATATATATACATTTATTTTGGGTAAAATGTATAATTTTATTCCTATAGGTATTTTTATTTTTTTTTTTACACAAATAACGTTGCTGATGGTTTCAGAGTGGATACTTGGAGGGACTGCGATCCCACTTAGGGGGATGGACCCAAAAATTGAAATCCTGGTACTATGGAAGTTCTCTAGTAAGTTTCAGTTGATGTTTCAGTTCCATTTAGTTTTTGTTATGTGAACAAAGTAGTTAGATATATATATATAATATGTTATAAATGTTTTCTTTAGTTTTGGAACACCGTCTTCTATATTTTTTTCATCAAATAACTAGAATTTTACCTTATATAATAATATTATCTTGTTTACTGCTCTGTGTTCATATTTATATTTTTTTATTTAGTTGATCTATATATATATATATATTTATATTATATATGTATATATCTCATTTTAGAGCTTCTAACGAACAGTAGTTTCAATTTTTATACTCCTTTTCCTAAATGTATAACAAATTTTCTGTGTAATTAACCCTCGAATTGAAAATCTGGCATGTGTAATCCTTTAGTGTTTCAGCTACTTAAGACCATGATCCGAAATATTATAACAATTATATATTGGTAAAAATCAAGTTAGCAGTTTGTAAATACTTAATGTAAGTGCACTTCAAAATTAAACATATTCAACGGCTTCTTTTATTAATTGTTCATACTCACACATTAATATATGTATAATATTAAAATCACGAATTTAATGTTTTTCTTAATCGTATTATATTACAGGCAAATTTTGTAATATTTTTAACATGGTTTTTCTTTATTTCACATAATAATAATAATAATATTGTATATGACGTTAATGATCAATATTTTGGTTTTTCTTTCAAATATTTTATAATAGCAGGGTCAATGAAGTAAGTATAAGTTTGTTTTTGGAATAACCTATATGTAGGTACACAGGTCAGAGTATAACCGACACCTTAAACACCTACCTATAATATATTCATCCAATATAATATAAATTGCCCTAAATATTTTAAATTATGTACAGTATGTCGTTTAAAAATCTAAAATTTAAATTTTTAACGAAAATGTTGTTATACGATATTATATTTACATAGCATTTACATATTTTACAAATATAATCAAAAATATCGTTTCCCTCACATTTAGGTATTTTAATAGTTTTTGACAATACAGTAAACATATTTCATAACATTTATAATTTATGACAATAAATAATTTAAAAACCGAAATCAAAAACTCAGTAAAAAAAATAAAATTCTTCGTAAATATTAAAATTTATTTATACTACTTTGTACACAAATTGTTGACGGTAATACATCCGTTTTGCTGCAGGCAGTCTAAAATATCACCGCAGTATAATTTTATTTTAGTATTGTTTATTTGTTCTTCATATTTTGCTTGGTAAACTCTCATCATAATATATTTTATTATACCTAGTTTAATAAAAATATAGTGTTTAGTGTTTACAATATACGCATATTATTATCACCTACATACCTAAGCATGAGTAGTGTCATTGTTGTCAAATATTGGTATATGACCTAACATCATCACAATAGTATTATAATTATACTTGTAGTTTCATTGTTTTATCATTATTATTATTATTACTTTTTTTTTATTCGAATATTATTCAGTGCCGTACTAACAAGTGGTGAAGCAGCCCGTGTCCTGATTTTTTTTTTTTATAAGTGGCCTTTTTTTCTTTTTATTTTTTTTGGTACACAATTATATACTATAATATTTCATAAATATACTTTGTGTACGTGTATAATATGAAAAACCGTGAGATGCAACGTGAATCCACTTTAAACTTACACACACCTTGCACACCGAAGGCCGGTGCTAAATCCGATGTACAATTTATACATTTTTCAGTACATATTATACCAACTTACTCGTTTGAAGTACTCATCTAAAACAATAGCTTTCGTCGTTCTATAAATAATTATTATTAAACAGTAAAAATAGATTGTAGTTTGTATAATTATTAATTCGATCAATTTACTGCAGTATTAAGTATCAGTGGCAAAACAGCCACCGTTAAGTAGTTTATATATTTTTCATAGTTATTAAATTCGTATTATTCATTGAGAGTGGTGGAATTATATTTGATATAATAATAATAATCGAAATTCAAATCTTTTGAGCTGATATATAAATTTGTTTAATTTTTTTTTAATAAAATAATTGATGCGTTTTATGCATAGGTATCTTTTGACAGACATTCGGCGTTCCTTGGAAGTTGTATTCATTCCCCTATTCACAATATTATTAGTATTTGAAATAGCGAATCATTTTAAATATGTTTATTCTTTTTCACACATACCTCCGGATAAGAAACGTTTTATTATACTTGACACATCACATAATTATCTATTTAAATTTTACAATATTACATCAAATATGATTGTTTGATGTTAAATTTGGACTATGTATCTAACCGAAATAGATACTAACCGTTAAACGAATTTTTTTCTACAACACTTTCATTTAATTATATCACATCCCACTCCATTAAGATGCCGTAAGATAATATAAGTAAATATATGTTTTATAATAAGTTATGGAGATTTAAATTATGCAATTCAAAACTAAATACAATAAATGTGATGTGTATATAATTTATATAGTATATAGATACTTAATGATACTATGCAAAATTAATAAAAACGATGTATACTAGAACCAAATTATATAATCATACAGACGTAAAGTTGATGGTTTAGCATTTACATTTATCATACAAAATAATTATGATTAATAATTAAACTAACAACTATTTTTTGTAATTTTAAAGCAATTATCGAACAAACACGGGAGGTCGTACGACGGCAAAAATGAACTTCTGGACGAAGATGGAAATTATCGAAGAGAGAGCGGTTTTATAGAGTCTTCATCTTCTAATCTGCAAAACGATTCTCAGGTAAAAATCATAATATTGCATTATTCCATTTAAGTTTAGAAGAACAGTGGAGTGAAGTGTGTATAACTAATTTTCCGTGTGATAATAATACGAATTGCGAAATTCATCAGTGGCGGTTCGTGGTGTTAAAAATAGCAGGAGAGATTACTAATAACTGTAATAATAATAATTTAGAAACAATTTTTTATCTCAAAATTTAAAGCGCTTACAAATTTTACATTTTAAAAATCATATCTAACAACAATTATAACATAAACAAAATGAGAAATGGCTTTGGGTTAATTATAAAATGTATATTTTAGTAGCACGAAATACACAAAAATTACCGGTGCCGGCCCGATAGATTTCGGGACCCAGTGCAAAATTTTGTAGTGTATATTATCTACACTATATAAATTATATATACAGTGTATATAATACACCATATATTTATATATTTTATTTTCTAACGGACTTAATTTATTAGATTGTGAATGGAGCGAGTAATGTATTACAAAAAAAAGGCTACCCTATATTATAACCTTGCTAAATATTTAGACTTTCTCATAAAAAAAAACTAATAATACTTCTATAAAAAAAAACACTTTTTATTTAGTTGAAAAAACTAATAAAATTAATTTTGAGCCAGGTTGCAAAATGATTTTTCTTGACGTCAAAATATTTTCATACATTCATTGCTAAACACAAAACAGTACATTTAAAAAAAAAAAAACTTACCTGTGGTCATAAATTCAATGGAAACGAAGAACAAGAAATTATTCATTCAATAAATGTAATTATTAATCAAAAATAAATCCAATATAATAATAAATTATGTTCGAAAAAAAAAGAGTTAGTTGTGGGTGGACCTTTAAGTGCTCTTTTATCTGAAATTTGCATACAGAATTATGAAAACAATAATGTTATTAACAACAAAATATAAAGTCCATACATAAAAGCATATTGTAGATATGTTGATGACATGTTCATTTTATTTAGAGGTACAAATAGACAAGCAGGGAATTTTAAACAAAACAAATAAAAACATTCAATTTACATTTGAAATACAAGTAAATGATAAATTACATTTCTTAGATCTTACAGTTTCCATAATAAACAATAAATTTGAATACAGTATTTACAGGGAGCCTACACAAACTGATTCTATAATACTACACGATTCTAATCACCCTTATTCTAAACAAATATCATTTTTTAATTCATTATTCTATAGGCTTGGACGTATTCCACTAAATAAATATAATTATCAACACGAGCTCAATATTATCTATAATATAGCCCATAGTAATAATTTTAATTTAAATACTATTAAAAATCCATAAACGTATTAAAGAAAAAATAAAACATAACTCACCAAATAATGCCGTTAACTATTGTAGTATGAAATATCAAAATAATTTGTCTAATAAATTCACTAAGCATACGTAATGACTTCCATAACCACCAAATGATCTATATTGGCGGATCAAAATCTAATGTAAAATTCAGGATTAGCTATAATTTCAGATTAAAATGAACTATTCAAATTTTCCTTATTTGAATATAACTCTATATTCACCATCGAAACCCTTGTTATTCTGACAGCGCTTGAATTAATTAAACGGCATAGGATAAACCCAGTAATCTTTAATAGCCAGTGATTCCCTCTATCTGTGCTATACAAAACCACGGGTCAACAAACAAAATTATAAACATATCCGAGAATGAGCCACTTCCATATCCCCTCCATAACCCCTAATAATATAAGGTTTGATGTTAGTAATAGAGACTAGAAATATTAAATACTCAAAATAACATTTACATTAATTAAGTTTTATAACAATTACACATACACAATGAAAAAAAGAAAAATAATTTGAAAAGTATTGTAATTGTACAAACCGATTTTAAAAATAATATCTTATATCAATACATTTCAGATAATAAATAATAATCAAATAATTTATATTTCTTAACATGTCAATATTAAACGACCAATTTGTATAATTTTTTTCTATGTATTCTTTCATTTAAATTTAGATCTGAGCGTAGCGAAGGAGCTATTGGTTTTACAATGCCGATATTTCTTTTTTTCTTTGTTCTTTCTTCTAGTCTGTAGACACGTTTTTTCTAGTAAACTTGCTTCTATTTTTACGTGTAGCAACTTTTCTGAAAGCTCAAGTCGTCTTATTGGTACTTCAAACGGGTCATTTTTTTGATTTCCGATGACGTTTTTTAAATAAAAGCATTAAAGTGGGAAAAAACGTAGGAAATCGTACAATTTCACGATTTCACTGTTTTATAAAAACACAGACGACCTTTTCTACCAGAAATAATGATTTGATCGAAAAAATACTAGATAACTTTTTTAATTTTTTTTTTTTTATTTACTTTCTTACAGTGTTACTGCCAAAAATTTTGAGCCACTTTTGAGCTTTTGAGGAATTTTAATTTTTAGGAGTTTTACATACAAGTAGAGACTTGAAACTTGGTAATAATACTTATATTGGACTTACTAGATGTGATAAAATTTCCAAAATCATCTGACGATTTTCACTTTTTTTAATTTTTTTCAATGATATTTTATTATTTTATTTTTTTTTTTATACTTTAGACCACTTTTATCCTAGAAAACTTGCTCCAATATATAAGTGTGGCACCTTTTCTGAGAGCTAATTTTATCTACTTGGTAAATATACGGGGAATTTTTTTGATTTTTTTAAACGGTATTTAAAATATAAACGATTAATCGGAGGATAAAAATCGATTTTTTCACGATTTCGTTGTTTTAAATAAGTACCTACCACGTTTTCAAGCACAAATATAGCTCCAATTGAAAAACGACAAGAAACCATATTTTTGTTGAATTTTTTTTAATAAGCGTTTTGAAATCAAATTTAAACGAAAATCGCAAAAATATGACGGCACTTCAAATTATGTATTACCGAACTGCGCTCGGAATCGTCTTTCGTCAGCAATGGTTTATGGTTGCTTACAGGTATAAATTAAATAACTTTATGCATTTCCACCTACAACAGTGGCCACACCCGTCCCAAGTATCAGCTCTTTTTCATATTCAGTCTCATTTACATTTTGACTGTGATATACCTGATGATGAATTTTTAATTCAAAACCGGTCGTATAATACACTTATCATAATACTCCACGCATTTATTTATTTGTACATACAAAGTTATCTCGGGTGTGACATAATTATTTTCAATTTCCATGGATAAAAAAGTAGATATTCAAGATTAAAAAGTGACTTATTTTTAAAACTAAAATCCGCATAGACTTTTATAACAGCCTATTTTAGGATCTATAAACGGTTTATTAAATACATATTTTATATATTTCCATATAAACTTTCACGTCCCTTTTTAACGAATTAGGGGTTGCATTTTGAAAAAACCTTTCTTGAAAATCATAAGTGCAGAACAATAATTTGATTTACGTAACTATCTTTATATCATCCCCTTCACATTTTATGAGTTTTTATGTTAATTGTTTGATCAATATTGTTTGGTCGCATAGGCGTGTCTACCGGCAGAGTGTTGCTATAAATATATTGTACACCGCGAGCACTACTTGTATATTTACATTTAGGGTTGGCAGAGGGTTCATATATATTATCCTTGTTTTGTTTTACTATTTTCGTAACACGATATTCAAAGACACTGTGTATGCTCAAATATACTTATAATACTCATACATCACATCAAGTATTCTTGTGCCGTCGTCGAAAATCGATTAAAGTGGATAGTTTTATATAATATGTAAATAAATTAGGACATTTTAACTACTGCACCCGTTTCATATAATAATTGTTTATAATTTATATTTTTAAACTTTAAACTAAAAAACGCTTTTTCACTACACTATCAGAACAAAAATAAAAAGTAATAAATACGGGAAATCGTATTTGTTATTTTAATATCCATTATACATAGATGATATTGATAATATCAGGAAACAGGTAAATTGTATTATTTTTTATAAATGTCCTATTATATACGTGAACAAATACATATACTTAATTTTAATGCCTAAATAAATATGAGCAATTTAACCTACTAAATGTCTATAAAAAAGTTTTTTTTCTTAATCACTATCATCTGTACATGTTATATGATATTTTTAAAACAATAAAATATTAAATTATAAAATACCAGCTGTACTGCGCCCGGCGTTTCCCGTGCACATTTTTTATTCTTTTTACTTTTATTTTAATTATATTTTATTTATTATTTAATTTATTTAATTTATTATTTAATTTATTTTTTTTTTTTTTGTCAAAAAGTACAACTTATAATGAACCTCCTATCGAATTTTCAGGCATTTCTGTGTAGTCTAACAATCGTATTCACAAAATACCTACCAAATAAAAATTACGTGAAAATTCGCAAAATTAAAATGTCTTTAAATAGCTCAAATATTCTGAAAGTCATACCACGTCTAAAAAAGTAAATATAAGTTTTCTGTCAACATATTAAGAGACATAAAGTTTCTACAAATATTTTAAATTGAATTACATAAAGAAAAAAAAAAAATTTAAAACATCGAAATAATTTTTTTTGTAAATTTTCCCGTATTTTTCAGTCATTCCTAATTATTAATAAAACGACAGATAAAATCAAAAAATGAATAACTTTATCATAAACTAGAATAAAAATTTAACAAGAAAGGTATCTTGTCGTTTATCTATTGGAACAATTTATGGTGGAAAACACAAGACGTAAAAATTTTAAATAAAGATATCATTGTGCCGTAATTAGAAAAAAATCATATTTGTTTTTCCAAATTATCATGAAAAATACTTTAGATATCGAAAAATTACTCTGTCAGTGGCGAAATATTAAAAAGAACAAAATTGATTTGATGAAATGTCATCTTTGGATTGGAGCAATATTTCTGGTATAAAACATCGTGTTAACAACATAAAAACAATGAAAATGATAATGTCTCAGCGTGTCGTATATATTCGCTGGTTTAATTTTCTTTCGAGTTGTTCCCAATTATATCGAAAACCTTTTGGAAAATTAAAAAACGACCTCCCCAACGCACCAACGAGAGAAGATTATCTTTCAGAAAAAGTACTATAGTCAATACTTCGGAGCAAACTCTCTGGTAAAATAAAAAGACAAAATACAGATTACTTTAAAACCAAAATATCAATAGAACCCTGGCTACGCTTCGAATTTAAAGCAAAAAACTAAATCTCTTACCTATTAATAATTAATATACATATATATTAATTTCAGATAAAATTATTTGACTTAGATAATATTCTCATTTAAAATTGATAAAAATAAAGTTTTAACTTAAAATTTAAGGAATAAAAGGGACTCTTTAGAAGACTTTTTTAGGACAGCGGTATTTAAATATTGGAAGATTTCGTATGTAAGGGATGTATAGGAAGATCCCAATGCAAATGCGACAAATATTCGTATACGTTCGACGTTCTCAGTTTTTAAACATTCTCATATGAGAATTTGTAATAACACTAAACTACTCTAAAATAATTCATAAAATAATTAATTTCATGAAAGCGATACAAATCCGAAATATTTTTAACAAATAGTCAATTAGAAAAATTATCATAAAAAAAAAAAAAAATCAGTTAAATTTGACAAACTGAATCTGTAAAATGTGTGTAATGTGTAATTAAAGATTCGAAATGATATGTGGAAAAAATAAAGAGAATTGCAATTTATTGAAATCGCAATAAACACATAAATGCATAAGATACCAATTGTGTGGCCTATACTTTTTTAATGTCGTATACAAATATTACGTAGGTACCTAAAAAATTCACGATAAGTTTCAATAAATATTCATCTTAGAGGCTTTCACTATATTTTTCCGAGTTTGTAAATTATCACTTATACTACATATTGTAAAACCGAAGAAAACATCATATGCCTATACGAGGTGATCAATCTACTATAAGACACTCATTATTTCGGAAAGTATAAACTCTTTCCGGAATTTATTTTCAAAACATTTAAGAAACAAGCTGCTCTACAATCGTATATATATGTTATTTTCTGTCACCTTTATTTTTAGAGGTAAAACCACAACCTACTTTTGATTTTAAAATGGTTACCTATATTAAAAATGTAATAAATAGGTGGATTATTCTTTAAAATAAATTTTTAATGTCGAAACTTTTGATTTCCAACGAGATATTCCAGTTTTTAGTTTGGGTTGGAAAAGAGAAGTGGAGTATCATATGTGTGACGGTACAGCACGCGGCATATTAATAATGTACCTCCACTCTTCCCCAACCCATACTTAAAAGTAGAATATCTGGTCAACAGATTGACCGATATCGAAAATTTCAACACCAAAAGGTATTTTAATTAATAATTCGTCAATTTATGGAATTTTTAATATAGGTTACCATTTGAAAAACAAAATTAAGTAGTGGATTTATTCCCATAAATAGCAGTGACAAAAAAAAAACATAATTATAAAATAATAGAGCAGCTTGTTTCTTAAATATTTTAGGAAACAAATTCCGGAAAAAGTTAATACTTTTCGAGATAACTAGTGTCTTACGATAGATTGATCACTCTGTATATCTATATTCGTATATTTTATTCTATTTCTGAATTTAAAAAAAAAACATTATTATTTATCTACTATAAAAGTTATAAATAATATGTTTATTTTAATTTATTCTTATTTTTTTAAAAGATTATGTTGGATCAACAAGGCAATCTCCGAATAATCGTCAAAAAAATCAAACCTCTGCTTGGAATCGCAATCGAAGGCGGAATTAATACGAAACATCTACTACCAAGGATAATAAATATACACGTAAGTCGTAATATTTTTTAAAACAAATTATAATTTTCAGATTACAATACAAAAACCGAGAACTTTTAAATTGCCAAGTTACACAACTCGTTTAAAAAGGTCGCGTTTTAAATATTATTATTCTGTTAGTAAGGAGCCGGGACACTATCCAAGTTTTGGTTTTCTGTTTTTCTTATATATGAAAATCAAATTTCTTTTTCCTATTTTTGATTCTACTGCATTTATATTAAATGTATTTTTATTTTTGATTCGATTTTGTATTGTATAAAAATTGTGTATTTAATTAGTTTTAACTACAATTTTATAGAAACAATGATTGTAGCACTAAATAAATGCGACAAACGACTATGCAGAAAAATCAGAATTCTCTAATTTTAGCGAATTCGGATTAATCCCATCGCATGACAAATTATAGACGTTACCGTAACAGATTTCACCGAAAATAAATGAACAAAATCACAAAATTATAAATAGGAACGAGAAGTTTTAGGAGGTAAAATTGGAGAAATATACATACAAAAGTGCACCAAATGAATCGACAATATGCGTAAAAAAAAAAAAACTATATATGAAAAAAACCAAATTTTATTTTATTTCTCAATAATCTGAAAAAAAATTACATTAGAATGGACTCAGACATTATTAATTATCTTATAATAGGTACATAAAAAAAACATCTAAACATCTAAATATTTTCAATACTTAATAGGGGAAAACAAAATCGACGGGGAAATTCTTCTATAAATCTAAAAAAGTGATGGGTGCAGCTATTATTATAGGTAGGTAATTGGAAAGTTCGTAAGAAAATTGTGAAATGTTCAGTTACGTATAATAACTACTGAAATAAATACAATTTTAATTACTATTTCGATTATGGTGGCACAAGTAGTATAAACAGTTCATGATCGATTTTTAAATCTAACACCTTTTCTGAAAGGGAATCGATATGGGGAAATAATTTAACGAGTTCATTTCTCGATTTTCTCAAGAGTTTTTTCATCAAATGTGAAAATCCGAAAAATAAAACGAAGAAAAAATAGGAAAATGTACGAAATATATTAGTAAAATATTACGATTTTTTTTTCTGTGGACAACTTTTCTACCAGGAATTTTTCTCTAATTTACAATTATAACACTTTTTCTAAAAGGAAATCTGACTGAATAAACCGAAATATAACAAAGAAAAACCGGGAAAAACGTAGGAAAAACAAAAAATCTGTACATTAAAAAAATAATATTAAAGATAATATATAATGCCTATTTAATTATTTTACCATAATATGACATATATATTTTTGACAAATCATCACTATCGACTAAGCTCCGCTCAGAATCGTTTTTTCGTTAACAATAGTTTATCGTTGTTCACGGATATACATTAAATTATGTATCCTACCTTCCCAACTTTCCGCACATATACACACATACATATCCATATATATGAGAAATTTGTGCCATCGTGTATGTATTACAATGGTTATTAAAATATAAACGATTGCGCAAATTTTGCTGAACCATTCTTTACCGCTAAAAAAGATAGACATACTTCGCACGATGGGTGCAGCCACTGTTGTTGGTAAGAAGTTGGGATTGTAGGATATATAGGGCAAGTTAATTTGTATCTGTAAGCAACGATAAACCATTACTTAATAAAAACAATTCTGAGTAGAGTTTAGTTGATAGTGATACTTTGTCAACAATATACAGAGTGATTCACTAAGGGTGCACACCCCATTTTTTTAGGTAAATTCAAATTATGATTTTTGAAATTTTTAAGTGTAGTTAGAGACGATATTTTTTTCTATTTACATTTTTTACAACATTTAAAGAGTATTCTGTGGCAATACCAACTTTGGTTTTTGAAATAAGAACCTATATTGAAAATTATATCAGTAGACGGAGTATTACTTTTAGTAAATTTCGGTGTTCAAATTTTTTATTTACGTAAACGATATATTTCACATTTAAGTTTAGGTCGAGGATAATAGTGGCGCACTAATAAAATACTGCGCGCCGTATCGCCACACAAATGTTACTCATAAGTATTCAAAAATATCGTCTTAAACTACAATAAAAAATTCCAAAAATCAGTATTTGAATGAATGCAAAATTTAATCAAAAAAATGGGATGTGCACGCTTATGTAAACCATATATTTACCATATATATGCCATATTATAGTAAAATAATTAAATAGGAAATATACATCTTTTTTAATAATATTTGTTAAATATTGTACCCATTTTTCCGGTTTCCAGGTTTTCTTATGTTTTTCTAACTAAAATTACTAAAATGAAAAGATTTATTGATGATTATTTAAGAAAAATAGAAACTAATCCTCATTACCTTGAGGAACCGTGCCCAATTAGTATTTTTAATAAAAATTACCGATTTAAGTTCATCACTTACGGACGATTTTTCAAATGATTCAAACTCCTTCAATTATTATTTGTAAAACTATCTGTTATATCGTGTGAACGAGAAAAAAGTCCTTTCATATTAAAAATAATCAAGACATATCTTCGAAATTCTGTTGGGAGGAGATTTTTAGAGTGATGAGTAAAAAAAAAAAAAAAATAGACATAAATTCATATATATTATGACACCCCCTTGAAAATATCCTGCGTACGCCACTGGCATGATATACTGATTCTTATTAGGTACCCAACATATATTACATATAAACTTATGATACAAATACAAAGAAAAATTACTCACACCTTTCTTGTCAAATAATTTTCTATTCTCATTATATATTATGTGTCCACTATAGGAAATATTTTTTATTCTTAAAAACAAATCTATTTTAAACCGTTGTGTATATAATATACAATGTTCTATTTATCTTTAATAATTAGTATATTTGATTTGCTGCAAGTGTCCATGACTCTCTTCCGTAACTTAATTACTTTAAATCCTTGTATCTGTGTCCTAATTTGTTTAAAATAAATATTTCATCCTTGGATAGTATTTTTCACTCAAAGTTCCCTCCTATGACATTTATTGTCAAGCTATAATTTTATCTATTCTTACATTAATGTTTGGTCAACGTTCTCGTGTAATATAACATGTACCTTTATGTTGTTTTAATGATATTTTTTCTGAAAAACGACCGATATAACTGAGCAAAAAAAAAAAAATGTTTAAATTACAGCATTACGTTAATAATAATAAAATATAATACGAGTATATATTATCAAAATTTATACAATTATTATATATAAATGATTATCTATAGTAGAACTCTGGAGTTTACGATTGATTATTGTTATAGGAAAACGGTGCTGCGTATGAAGCCGGCGGTCTTGAAGTTGGACAATTAATTTTAGAAGTGGACGGACAAAAAGTTGAAGGTATTTTGATAAGAAATTCCATTGCTTTATATAATACGTAAATAACAATTGTTTTCAAAACCATGTTTATTTTGTAATACAGCGGTTCTCAAAATGTACTCCGCGAGAGTAGTCTAGACCGTTTATCCGTGGCTCCGTGGGCACAATACTATTAATAAAATTTAAATACAGTTATATTTATTAGTTACATTGTTGAATTCATATTCAATATTATTTGGACCGTACCAATGTATCATTTGAAAACTTTTAAACGTATAAACGTGTACGTGTGTTTATTTCTGTATACTATTTGACCATCAATTATTTTTATTGGTAAAAAATATTTCTTTTTTGAAAATAGAAATTTAAATGAAGCGTTGGCTGAATAAATCAAATATGACTGTATAAATAAATTTTCACGTACACTGGATACAAATCGGTAGAATTAGTACACCTTTTTTATTTAATTGCCATAAGTTGGTTACTGAACATTATTTATTAACGAAATTAATATAATACTAAAATAGCTATGTACTTACTAATTATGTGAGACGTAATGAAAATATTTATTGTTGGTAAATAAAATTTAAATTATTTATAATATATTATTTTGAGTTCGTGATAAGCAATTATTTAATACTAATAACAAATCTTTGGCGGATGACATAGGCGTGATACGTATCATCGAGTTGCTGACATACTTACTTAGTTAATCATGCCTGTGTGAATTTGAATTTTCATAATATGCTTCATCAAAAACAAAATTATCGCAATAAATTAGATGTTTAAGCAGACATGTGCATCCAATTCTCGTTTATCAAGCCAAATATTAAAATACTGGTCAACGAAAAAAGCCAACATTATGATTAATCACATTAAAACCATAAAATATTACAATTTACAAATTACTAAAATGATATGTTCTTTTTTTTCTATGAAATAAATTAAATATTTTGTGTATATATATGTATATATTTTAAAGAAAACAATTTTAAAATAATTTACATCATTTTTTTATGAATTATTGTTGTCAAATTAATTGATATTCCTGACTTTTGGGACTCCATACATTTTTTTAGGAATATAATGACTCCACGAACAAAAAAGTTTGAGAACCGCTATAATAAAATAGAATTTAATAGAATTAAAACTAAAAAAAATATAAGGTTAGGAACTTTATAAATTTACACGAATCTATACGAAACCTGTTAAAAACGTTAGTAAACCTTGAAAAAAATTCACTTAAAAATATTTAATAAAGCAAAAATGGTAGAGAGTTTTAAAAGTCCCCATCTTTTATAATGGTTCTAACTTATTGAATCATATTGTCTAAAAATATAAAAATGATTAACACACGCTTTGTGATCAATACGTTCAAATTACTTTTGAATAATATACACTTTTATAATACTTATTATTGTTGTATTTAAGAATAAATAATTGAATAACTCAAAATAAATTTTAAGTTCAATTAATTTTTTTATCATATATTGCTGCAGATAATAAGATGTAATATATAGAACACATTTTCCTATAAAATCTAAGGAAAAAGTTATTTTTCGAAACTAATTATTAATTAATAGGTATCGTTTTTCTTCGATTTGTGTTTATACATATTTTAGCCACTTTTCCTATACACTTTTTAATACTTTATAATCATTAACAAATTTAATTTTTTTCCTCGATCATAAATATAAATTATAATATGTTATTGTTTAAATAATATTTCAGGAATGCCACACCAAGAGGTAGCCAGACTAATTGCGGAATCCTTTGCACAAACTGATAAATCCGAAATCGAGTTTCTTGTGGTAGAAGCGAAGAAATCGAATTTGGAACCGAAACCTACGGCATTGATATTTTTGGAAAGTTAACCGTCTGAACAAAGAAAACAAAAAACAATATCGATAAGTTCCTCTTAACTCCAGATCCTGACACCCCTCCCCCATCCCAGTGCCCCACCCACCCTTGAGAACGAGGTGATCATTAATACATACAACTATAAAGAGTGTCTCAAGAAGATATGATCATTGCTGTATTCTGGAAAGTAAACAATTTTTTTGGTGAAGATTTAAGAACAAAGTAGCTCTATAATATTACATGACCATTTTTTTTTTTTTTTTTGTCATTCTTATTTTTGGGGATAAACCGATTACCTACTTTTGATTTTTAAATATTTGCTTGAATTTAAAATAGACAATTATTAGTTTAAATACATTTAGCTGTTAAAATTATTAATTACTGTCAACCCGTTGACGAGATATTCTAAGTTTTGGTTGGGAGAGAGTAGTGTAGTAGAGCATCGTTTTGTGGCGGCACAACGCATGGCGTTTGAATAGTTCTCCGCTACTTATCTCTACGCATTCTCAAAAGTGGAATATATTGCCAACAGGTAGAAAGAAATCAAAAATGTCAACATAGAAATATATTTAAACTAATACTCCGCCTATTATGAAATTTTATTTTAATAAAGAGTAGGTAATCTATCCCTACGAATAAGTGGACACAAAAAAAAAATATGATAATGTAACATTCTAGAGATACTTGTTTCTTAAATTTTCAAAATCAAAAAAATATAAAAAACGTTAATACTTTTCGCGATATTGCAATGATCATATATTCATGGAACACTCAGTATAATAGTTATAAGTACAAAATGTATTAATTATTACTGTCCAGGTACTATGATATTACGTGGTATAAAAATCTATTCGATTTAAAAAAAAATTAAAATAATATACCGCATTTAATTAGGCGTATTCTTTTTTTTTTTATTATTATTATTATTCGATTATTTATTTCATTAAACTTCTTGAGAATATATGTTTATTCCATTTGTTTGTTCGATACAAATCAAATTTTACTATTATTATATTATTCTATTTTTATTATTCAATTCCGCGTACAAACCGTGTACAATTATTATATCTTCTTTTCTAGTAAATCTATCATCAATATTAAAAAAAAAAAAAAAAAAAAAAAAAAAAAATGTTTTTAAAAATCGCCAGATGTATCAATATGTATAATATTTTAGTTTAAATATGGTTTACCCGACTATATAACATTATCTAAAGTATAATATGATAATATGGGTAGTTGGTAAATAAATTGTACCTTACATGTACGTGTCCAGTTTAAGCATATGCCATTGCATTTAGATGTATAGAATTATTGGATATAATAGGGACATATGGTAAGAGATATGAAGTTTGGAACCGTATACTAATCGGGCAAATTGTATAGATTTTATTGTATCGTAATTAATCCATGAAATTTTTGTTTATATTATGAATTATGTGACGATATGTTATATTGTGTAAAAACAACCCAGACAGACTTGATAAGAGACCTACTAGACAATCAAGATGGATACATATATCTTGTTTCAAATAGTTTTAATTTTATTTTTAATTCATGGCGTAATTCATGACATAAATGCATATTTTATGAGTTAATCGATATAATTTGGTAGGGTTTAAAATGGCACAAAATGACAAAATGTCCTGTGATCTCAATTTTATTTTGAGCGTTCCATGCAGTTTTCGAACCCGATACCATTTAAAGATTATATTAAAGAGGACGTTTGTTAAGCATAATCGGATGTAGGGGCCTGAGTCCCATTGTCCTCCCTCACTTTAACTCCCTTACTACACTGCGATGGCTTCCTATTGTTCACTTATAGTCAGCTATCTAGCTGATTTATATAATCAGTGGTGTTCCCATAAGGTATACTACATATACTTTACTGCGTATATTATAAAATAGTTTTAATAGTCAAAATAATTAAATAGTTAAAAATAAAATAAATTTGTCATGATATCATATTGTTTTAATTGCCCGTTCATATCATCTTATGCCACTAAATCCATAATACAAAGTTATTTTTTACCACTTTATCATTCAAAAATAGATATGCAATTTATTACTCTTCCTCATTGCTCCAGTCTAGAGTTTAAACTGTTATAACTTATAAACTGTGTATCTGATATTCGTGTTATGTTTATCAAAATGTCTAGAAAAATATTTTTTATTCTTATCTATGTTCAAAAAGGGGAGATCTTATTTCAAAAACAAAATTGTATACTTATTAAAGGTACATGGAATAGAGAAAAAAATTTAAATGGTTTTGAAATGAAGCTTAACCGATTCCGCAATGAAATCAAATTCACTTAAAATCCTCCGAGAAAATTGCTAATTCATGATAAAAAAAATCACTCTGTATAGTATTACAGTATTTTATTTATTTCAATAATTATAACTAAAAATTCACAATATTCTTATGGTTTGCAGTACATTTTTTTTTTTTATTTTAAAGTTTTATTTTGTTTATTGATATTTATTTTCCTTTACATAGTGTACGTAAATCATACGAAACATATAAAATACCTTATGTACAGCACGCAGAATGCTATTATTTTACTCTTGAAAAAATAGATGGGAATACCACTGTATATAATATTTAAGATGTACCTGCTATACTTAACGATTAATAATATTATTACTAAATCATTTTAAACGGTGGATAAAACACGACATTAAAGTAAATTTCTATACATAGTAATTGAAGTAAATTATTATAATTTTTGTATGCACCAGTGAGGAAATAATAAATAAATTATTTTCCGTCTGCAAACATAATTTCACCTGCTCTATTATTATTATAATAATATTAAGAACAAATTTATTCTGATTATTTTCATAATTTTTAAAATTTAATATAACATTATTATTATTACCGATTCAATAGGTATAACTCACTGCATAATAGTTTTAAAAAAAAAATTAACACTTATTGCCTTTATTTTTTCTTAATTTATAATAATTAAAAAAGACATTTAAAAAATGTCGATAGATATACCTACGAAAGTTGACCTCGTATGGTCATAAATTTATATTTAATAATATTCCCTAATTATATCTATTATTTAAATTTCAGTCTTCGTTAATAATATTAATTTTTATGTACCTAATAATATGGTGGTACACGCGAAATTAAATGTTCATCACGTCGTACAACCAGATTATAATATTTAAAAGATCTCTGACAAATTTTGAATAATAATATTATATACTAAAGAGAGTTGGATGAAAAGAAAGAGAAAAAGAGAGTGAAGAATAAAATCCAGTATACATACTCGTGGACCTCTTGCTATAAATGTATAGTAAGTTGAGACGCGCTCTGAAAAAAATATTATCTAACAGCTGATTTTAACAACTATATCCTATAACTATATCGATATGCAATACAACATGTTATTTAAGATAGTAACTATAATATGATAAGTAAATATTGTTTTTGTTTGTACAAATATTAATACCTACGTGATTATATGTTTGTTGTTTGTTGGATATTATAATATTATTATTACAATATATTTAAACGTATATTATATATTTTTAAATACCATGCCTATAAATATATTATATAATTATAACACATATAACGTTTATGCATTGATTATATCATAGACATAATAATGGATGGACTGCGTTCCAACCCCCTCACTATAAAAAACTCAGCCATCGTAACAAATCGGAGTAGGTAAAATAACCGGGACGAAAATATGTTTAGATTTTTATTCCGAGGTATTTTTATTAGGTGTTATCATTATTTTGATGAAATAACAGTGACTATTTAGTTGTGATATCAGATATTAAATCGTTTATACCAAGTGTAAATGTTAAATAATAAACATTAATTATGAATAATGAATGTTTAATATAATAAATTAATAAATACCTAAACTAAATTCGTGAATTATTAATTTATTTGTATATTTTATTATGAATTCATTTTTTTTTTTCGATAACAATGGTAGCAAGTGGGAACAGATTCCTATTATTCCCATTTTACAATATCATACAGTGTTAAATATTTTTCACAGTTAAACAAATTTCATTGGGGAAATTTAACCCAATTCCTTAGATTCTTAGCTATTTCCAAGGAAATATCTTTAACTATATTGCTGACAGTCGGTTGGTTTAATTCAAACGTTACTATTGACCAACTAAGTTAAATACAAATTTTATTAAAAATAATAATAATGTGATTGTATAAAAGAAAATTAAATTTAAAATTTTATGTCATACAATTACTTAGTAGAAACCTGTCCCATAAAATCTTAATACCATGAGAAGTTTCCATAAACTAGTTATGGATAATCCTCTCATATCTGTGTAAAGAAGCCTAGCTTATTGCTGAGATCATTTCGCCGCGAGACATATTTTTGTTTAAAAACTAGCGTCGTTAATTTTCAACATACGTTGACGGGATCATCACTATGTATCACAAATCTATTAGGGGCATTTTATATTAAATGTACTTTCCCTTCTGATTTTTAGATCAAGAATATCTCTGGGAGATTTTGTAATAGGATAGTGGTTTTAACGCTAAACACTTTGGCTTTATAGCCTACACAAGTCCCCTTCATAGTTTGATACAATAAAATTCATTCCAAAGGAACTAGCCTGAAATTCATCTGACCGTCGTCAAACTTTGGAAATGGTCCCTAGGTCCAGGGCTGGATTTAGACTTTCGGATGCCCGGAGAAAATCTCTTTTTGAGGCCCTTAACTGTAAAATAATTAAAAATATTCTGTTTATGTACCATAGATTACAAAATTTATTGTTAATTCATTGCGTATTTTTTAGAGCAGTCGATTACACATAATATATATTTGAAACCTTTATTTCATTTTAAATACGGAATCATTTTGACTAAGTATGTCTGCTATAAGTCGTTTTAATAATATAACAAAACACATTTTACAAAATTGAAAATAACAGTTATGTACGAAGCACACATAATAATTTTACTTATTTCGACTATTCAAATATTAATATATAATTTTTTTTTCTTATCTCATTTTTATTTTATTTCTATATTTTCTCCCCGCATTTATTATTTATTAATTTATAAATATTACACCCCTCAACATAAGAATACAAAATTTACGTCAGCTTGTACCCATTTTCCCCTTTTTATTATATTCAAAACACTACTATCAAACACACATTTCGTTTTGTAAAATTACAGGATCAAAACCATGTTTCTTTCCCTTAAAACCGTTAAACCCATTAAACCGACAAAACTCCCATCAGACCGCACATTGTACAATTCGGACACAACTGAAAAATAAATGTCGATATTAGTGGGGAAAAACAAGGAAATACATTACCTGTATACCGCTATGTACCACAATTCGCAACTAAAGGTATTCCGGGTGTCCGAAGGTGAATCAAAGTTGACTTATTCAACAAAAAAATCGTCCTATTTCCGACTCACGTCAATTAAAATCACTGGATTCCTATCGGCGTAGACATCGGAATAATATTATTTTCCAATACCAGAGTTTGAGAAATTACTATCGAACATCTAGTAACCTAATAGCGGGCTTGGTAGACGGAAAATCGCCCTTTACCTAAACTCTTCACCTTTTCCCCCATTAACCATTACATCATACCCCTTTATTTTACCCCTTGTCTATACATCTTCTCCGCCGTTTTGTTCCCTCTTTTCCTTTTTCTTTTCTATTACAGTTGTTAGTATTAAGTCTATTAAGTCTCAAGTATTTCTTATAATAAAGCTAAGTTTTCATGATGATTTTATATTTCTTTATAATTCCTTGAATGTGAGTAGAAAAAAGAGAAAGCTTGAAAATATAATTCCAAGATCTTTTATAGAGTAAACTTTGGGAAGGTGGTAATTATCGGAGTAATAGACAATATTAATCCCGGATTTATTTTGATAAAAAGAATTAGAATTGCATTTATTAATGTTAATTTGTAGACCATTTTCATAACACCGGGTTTTAAAATTATCGAAGTTTTCTTGTAATTTAGAGCCATCACCTAAATAATTAATATCGTAATATAACTTCAAGTCATCGGCGTACATGCTAAAATGCGCATGTTTAAAAATTAAACCAACGTCGTTCATGTACGAAATAAAAGTAGTGATGAAATATAGCCACCATGGGGGACATTCGAGAGGACTGTGATATTATTCGAAATATAACCTTTTAGCCTTATCTTTTGAGAATGACTAGAAATATATGAGCACAGCCAATTTAACATGAAATTATTAGCACCCATTAACTTTAATTTATGAATCAAAACAGCATGGTTAATTGTGTCAAATGCTTTCCTGATATCAGTTAATAAAACGTATTCTAAAATTCTAAACGAGATATAGCACTCGAGTTACACAAACCGATAAGAATAAATTATATTCAACAGACGGTTAATGTTTACGGGAAAAACGACTTATAGCAGACAGACTTAGTCAAAATGATTCCGTATTTAAAATGAAATAAAGACTTCAAATATATATTATGTATAATCGACTGTTTTACAAAATACGCGTGGATTATATATTTGAAATCAAAAACTGAAAAAGAAGTCGCGAAAACAATGTTCGATATATTAACTAATCGTTATTGCAAATAGTTTAATTAAATAATAATTCCAAAGTTATTGCAAATCGATAATAGAAAAGAATTTTACAATTTATCATTCGATACTTTAATACTAAATAAATATCATTAAAGAAAATATACAATGCTTATTTAATTATTTTACCATTATATGTCATATATATACATTGTTCACAAAGCAGCACTATCATCTAAACTCCGCTCCGAATTGGTTTTTTGTTAGCAATGGTTTAGCGTTGCTTACATTAAATTATTTATAACAGCGGCTGCACCCAACCAAATTATCCTGGGATATCTTTTTTTAATTATTAATTTGTTATGAAAAAGATAATAATAATGATACAGTTTTTTATAATTAGAAAAAATTAGTTTAAACAAAATGGTTCACCACACCCAGGATTATTTATTATTGATCCTAGTAATATGGCCTATGTTTCGCTTTTTCGTATCTTCTTCATCTCGTATTTTAACCAACCGAGACCACGGGTTTCTTTCGAGATACTGTCTGAAATTTTAATATTAAAAACATGTACTGAAAGTTTTAGTAAACTCGAGGGATACACACCAGTATGTTTGGTGGATTTATATTATAATATATTGGCTACCTGTAGTACTCTTTGCCTTGCTCGATTTTGTATTGTTTGTACGAATGGATGACTTTTGATAGTGATTCAAAAGATAACGAGAGGGCTGTTGACTTGTCATCATTGTAATTCATCTGAGGTTGAAGTGTCTCCTTGCACTTTTCGTTATACTGATCTGATTGTTTCAACTGGTTCACCCGATTTTGTAACATTTGACCCATTTTCTTCTCTTCGTCCGATTCAGTATCTAACTTTTCGACAGTGATCATCCTTATTTCTCCAGCAGAGTCCGCAAAGCAGATCAGTTCTTTATTTCTATAATCTGTCAGTGCTTCGCCTTGTTGTGCGTCCACGAAATGTACGGGGAGACACGGCGATGACATTGCTGAAATAAAACAGAGGGCTTAGAAAGATAAAAATTAGAACGTAAAATGACGTATAATTATTTAAAAAAAAAAAAAAAACATAAAATTCGAAGACCAAAAGCTGAAATTCAAATTTGCTAAATACAAATATGGAAAGCACAGTCATTAACCAATGAAAACAATAAATAAAAAAAATTAGTTGGGTTTATATCAAAACAACACTGTGCAACAGTAATAGTATTAGTGAGCATTAAGAAATAATAAAAAATAAAAATAAAAACTGTGTAGCATCATGAAGTACAATAACTTATTGATATTGTAACAGAAATAAATAGGTATGTAAGGAAAAAGTAGAAAAAATCTGGATGCGACACCGTGCAAATTGTGTACAAGACGTTCTTATGATCAATATTAAAGCTCATTTAATAACAAATATGTCTTATTACCTCTTTCCCCTTACAGGACTTCAAAGGTAATCACTGGTTCTATTACCTTTAGGTTCCGTCTTTTTTTTATAATTTGATATACCAATAAATTATCTTCTTTCGTAACATATATAATATACTAGCTATCCCGCCCGACCTTACCCGTACCAATTTTTTTTTTTTTCTATCCATATTCCTTTTTGGTATTGACCGCGTCAATAATGAATAGAAAAAATAGGTGAAAAGTAGGTAAACCGAAGGTGGGTAACGGAATAAAAGTATTCTGTTATGACATATATTTTTAAATTTTAAATTTCTATTTTTCCTCAAACATTTAATATTTCTGGATGTACCACGTATATAATATACTAGCTATCCCGCCCGACCTTACCCGTACCAATTTTTTTTTTTTTTTTGCATGTGACACATGACAGAGTCATATATAATTAGATTCCTCATAGGAGTATTTGGTACAACTATGTAAAAAAAAGTCCTTAAAATATTTAAATGATACGCTAAAAACAACAACTTCCCTCCCCTCAGACAAACAAAATGAAAAATCGGGTGACATGGTGACACTCCAGAGAGTATTTGGAACAACTCTGTGAAAAAAAAATTGAAAAAAAGACGTTTTAGTATAATGGGAATAAGTGTAGCCACTGATATAAATAATTTAATACATACATGTAAGCAACAATAAACCATTGCTTACGAAAAACCGATTCTGAGCGGAATTCAGTTGATAATGTTCCTATGTCAACAATATATATATATATGCCATATTATAGTAAAATAATTAAATTGGTTTTATATACTTTCTTTAATAATATTTGTATAATTATATACCGATTTTTTCGGTTTTCTTGGTTTCCCATGTTTTTTTCCCTGTTTTTAACATTTATTAAGAAAACTCCGGGAAAATTTAATAAATGACGTCTATAAAGTACCTGCTCTGTGAAATCTCCTTTTAGAAAAGTTGCTATGATTATAAGTTGGAGCAAAATTGTTGGTAGAAAAGTTATTCACAGTAAAAAATTTAACTAATACCTATACATTATTTAGATTTTCCCATTTTCCCTCCGTCTCGATTTCCCAATTTTCTTTCAGAAATAAGTGCTACACTTAAAAATCAAAGCAAGATTTCTCATAAAAAAGTTTCGCAAATAAAAAAAAAAAATTAAAAATAACATTTTTGTAAAACCATCAGCTTCTTCGCTCCTCTCAGAATCTAAAAGTTTAATAGTGCCTTCACAAAATTGGAACATAAAAAAGGTATGTTCTTTTATATATATATAAGAATTATGATCACAGCACTTACTGGCTATAAGCCCGCCGCCTAGGGTATAATTGAATATTTGATATGGTTGATGAGTGTATTTTTTAAAATCCCAAAATTGTAATTCACCGCCATTATTGAAAGACACTCGGAATTCTGCGGGGTGAACAGCAGACCATAAGACGCTATTTGTCAAATTGTTGAACTCTTTGTACCACAATGGAAGTTTCTATAAAACAAATATTTGTATTATTTTTTTTAAATTTCAAATTCCCTTTACTCATTCAAGTTAAATAACTATTTAAAACACAAAAATAGTAAAGATCTTAAAAGTTATAAATTATAATATATTTATATGAAAATTGTATTTATTATTTATGAATAGTTAGGCTTTTCTAAATGTACTTGGTAGTTCAAACTTGTTATGGATGCTACGCGTCCCCCGCATACCAAATAAATGTCTGGATAAAACATATTTCTTCTTATACAGGTAACTGGTCCATCGTGCACTTGTCCCCACCAATTAGGTTTGCATTCTGAAAATTTATATACAATTTGTAGGTAAATTTGTTCTTACTATACCGTTACTATTGCATACTTTCATTCAATTTTCCCTTGTAGTCTGCACCAAAACCATTCCAAGTGACAACGCCTACTTGACCCATAATGGTACCAATGACCAATAAACGGTCCGATTTATTTTGCGCCGTTGGAACTGTAATATAATATAACAGAATAAAATAATATTACGTTTTACTGAGTATGGAATATTGTATACCGTATTGAAACTGTGATTCACCAAATATCAATGGTTCGTTCGATGTAGTGTACTTCAACAGAGGTATATTGAAAGATAATGCTGTAATAGGAATTATTGGAGATGTGGGAGTTATAACGTTTTCAATGTCCGTTATTGTTATCTAAAGCAAAAAATTAATGTTTTTTATCCAAAAATAGATTTTTATTCGCAGTATTTTACCACAGACTTATTAGTTTATGTATAGTATGGCATTATCTACTGGCCTAAAACTAATTTTTTTTTATGTGTATTTTGGTCAGGAATATATCTGGATAAAGTAGTAAATGGTAGTTTACAGAAACATGACCCCATATTTATTTTGTTTTTTATAAATATATAAAAAGTAAGTCTAAATTATTAGTTTTTTTTTTAAAATAATTATTTAAGTTAACCAATGGTGGATTTTTAAATATTAATTCAAAATTCAAAAAGTTTAGATATACCTCACTTTTGTTGGTTTATTTGTGGCGTTCACCAAAATAAATAAATTGTTTTATTATAATCAATTGTTTCTACAGGGAGGCAGGTTATTATAATTTGTTTGTACAGCTAGTATATAATATCATAGGTATAAATTTATACGTGATCTATATTATTGATCACTTATATACATCAGTCATATAGTGTATATTTATAATAATTAATCAAAGTAAAAAATAACCGTATATAAAGGCTTTAGACGATTGTTGTAAACAGACAATGGCGAGTTGTATTTATTAAAGTTTTCTGTTTTTTTTTTATTTGTCTCCACCGGCAGTGTAGAATTCAAATCCCAAAGTTTCACGGTGCCGTCCAAGGATGCAGCAAAAAATTGCAAGGAGAAATTTCCCTCTTCTGTGTTCACTAATTTTCCGAATGGTGTTATCTAAATACAACAAATAGATTATTATTATTATTTTTTTTTTTTTTTGAACTTAACTAACTATAAAACTATAAATACTAATAACTAATAACTATAAATAAATACTTAACTAAATAACAAAAACTAAGTATAAAAGTAATAATACTTTGCGAGTATTATGAAAAACAAATAATTATGTAAGTCCTTAATTTATTTATAGTTGAAATATTCACTAGGGCGATAAGAAAAAAATGATTGTTATTTTCTGATGGTCTCACCTACTTAAATTATTCATCCATATAATAAATTTAACATAATTCAAACTGCGGCAAAACCGATAAGATACAAACTGCAGCAATTTATTTGATATACTTATTAGATATATAATATATATAAATAATATATAATATATTTATGTATCGATACGATAAACTAAAATCCATTAAATTGATAAGGTAAATCCAAATTTATTTTTACATAGGTACTAAAAATTGATTCTTTTACTTGTGATAGTACTATTTAGCACGAGGAGTTATATTCTAGCCAAAAATATTGTAGCCGACAGTATTTTAGCCAACAAATAAAAACTGTCAGCTATAATATTTTCGGTTTAAATTCAGCCACTTATAATAAGTAATAATATCACAAGTAAAAGAACCAATATTTAGTACTTGAGTAAAAAAAAATTTAGGTTCGTCTTACGAATTTAATCGATTTTAGTTCATCGTATCGATTTATAAATATATATATATTATAATATATAGTGTATATCTAATAAATATAGAAAATTAATTTCCGCAGTTTGTATCTTATCAGTTTTTCCGCAGTTTGTATTATGATAAATTTGTTTTTGCCACAGTTTACAAATCGACTTTTAGAAAAAGGGAAATTTTGTAGTACAAATTAAACATCTTTATGAGTAATAGCAAATAAATTTTCAAAGTCACTGAAAAATACTGCAGATTCTATCTCTAATTGTTTTGATGTTCGTCTTCAGCACTTTTTTAATATGTTGCTATTTCAGTGTAAATTTATCGATAACGTGGCATTCTGTTTTCGTAGGAGTTTCGGCTTTTTCCCAAAAAGCATTAACTTCCCTTGCAGTAATTGTAGCACTAGTTTATACAGGTTTTTTTATGCGAATGCAAATGACAAAAAACGTCAAAGTACTTATTGATTATAAAGGAGTTTATCGTGGTGGATTCAAGTGTTTCTTCAATCAACTTAATATCAAGATTTTTAATATAACTTTTAGTTGTAGTACTAGTGTCAGTGCATGTTATTTTAGTATTTGAAATTAACGGAGCAAAATACGAATAAAAACTTTAGCGTACGAACAATACAACTGGCATATTAACAGCACAACTTACACAATACGATAGGTATTGATATTCAGATAGAAGAAAATCCTCCGACCCAAACCTAAAAGTGTAATATCTCGTCAATGGATAGATGGAAATTTAAAATTTAAACATCAAAATTTATTTTAACTTCTACTCCATCTATATGCAATTTTCAATATAGATTGGTATTTAAAAATCAAAAGTAGATAATACTTTTACCACCAAAAATTAAGATGAAAAAATAACATAAATGTAAAATTGCAGAGCTACTTGTTTCTAAAATTATCTGTAAAATGAATGTCGAAACGCGTTAATACTTTCCGAGATACTAAATGTCTTATGATAGATTGATTGTCCTGTCGGATTTATTCGATTTTTAGTTTGAAGAAAAAAAAACGGTAAGTAATGCAATCCACAATTCATAAAATTATAATTTTGGTTGATCTCTGGCTTTTTTAATACCCTACTAGCTAATAAAATTATAAATAAAAATTGTATTTTACTGTTCAACATTTATATAGTTAACTAATTATTAAAGTTGTTTTGGGAGGTTTTTTGTGTATATTTTATGTTTATTATCAATTAGAACTAAAAATGCACCTAATGACCTACTTTATTTTCCAAACTTGTGACAAAACAACTGATTTATTATAAATGTTCAAGTTTTATACAGAAATATTATAATATAATTAATCAGTTAGATATTATTATACATAATAATAATAATAAATATGTATACTATATTATTTCATGTAAATTTACTTACTTCATTCAATGGATGAATCCACTGTATAGCAGTTACCATAGACGTATGCGATTCAATAATAGCACTCAATGCTGTCAGTTTGATTAAATGTTCACTTTTTAAGTCTGTTGTTAAATTTGTGGTATTTTCAAGTTGCATCTATAAAGAAAATGTATATTTATTTATTTTACTATAAAAGTTAAAAATACTAAATTTTAGACATCTACAATAATTGTTGTATTGAATAACGATGTAACAATAGGCTATTGATTTTATAAAACAATAAAACCCATTAAATTAATCTTATATTTAACTGGAAGTATACATTTAACACTGTTTTAAGTTTTAACTGACATAAATGCGTTTTTAGTTTGCGTCAACGGGTATTATAATCATTACCGAAATATTTTAGATAGTAATCATGATTCGGGCCCAGATGTTATGCCCTTAAAATGATCCAATGCTTGTTTTGAACAATATAGAATTAGCATAATTAACATAAATACAAAAATATTTTCCATCTAAGAAAAAACACCAAAATATAATTATAAAAAAAAAAAAACAGTATGTGTATTGAACAGTTTATATATATATATTGATGCATATGTCAAATTATTTTAGTGTAAATAGAGTACATGTCCATTTCATGTAAATGGATAATTTTAGCATCTAGACATTCTTAATTGTTCAACATCAATATTGTCTTACAACATAAATAGTTAATTTTTCTCTAAAAGGTAAGTTAAAAACTGAATTTATAGTTCAATTTTAACTTAAATGTTTGTTTCAAGGGCCACATTTTAGCTGAAAATATTATAGCCGATAGTACTTTAGCCGACAATATTTAATCCGACATTATTTAAGACGAACAATAAATAATCCTAACCATATTTTATCCGAACCGTATTTCAGCGGACACGTATTACTGTGGTTGAGAGCCAAAACATGATGTGTGCAAAAATGCGATTTTGAGATTATGTATGATAAGTGTTGTTCAAGTTCTATAATTAATGGTGTCAAAACATGATATTTGTAGCTCCAATATCCAAGAAGTTATAGCAAAAACTATAATTGATATCTTTCGTGAAAGGGCAAATTATTTTATGACAATATATGATATTTCACTTATTAAAATTGATGTATTTTTTTTTAGGTCAAAACCTGATAATTACTGATTTTGGACGATTATCATGTTTGTGCATTTTTATTAATAGCACTTATCATTGTTTGACATAATTTTTACACATTTATATTGGCAGTGCCATAAAGCGAATATATATATATTTAATCTGTCGCGGTACCTAACCAATATCACGCGTTTTAAAAAATATTATTCCTATGTAGGTACAGTAATAAAATTATATTTATTAATTATTATCAGTTATTTTAATATATAAACATAATATATTATTATTTAAAGTAATTGTTGCGTGTAAGTTTGTTATAAGACATGTTCACTGTTCATTGTTAATTATTTAAAATGAAATGTCGAGAAGTAAGATGTTATTGACTTTAGCTTTAGCTAAAGGTTCACAAAGTTTTCATGCAAATGAAGATAGGTATATTTTAATATTTTTTTATTGTATTTAGTTTCTCTCCTTTTGTGTTTTCATATACACATTTCAGGAATATAAACACTGATGTATTTAACAGTAAAGATTTGTCATTGCAAAATCCTTACCGAAACACCAATAACGAATGTAATATAATTATGTTAATCATATTATGTCTCAATATTTTAATTTATTATAACTCCATAAATATAATAAGATATTATAAAAAAATATGCAGTTATTAATTATTAAGTACATTATAGTTAACTATAATTTAATATAATAGAGTTGGTTGGCTAATGACTAGCGCTGAAAATTATAAAACTTTATATTTGAAGAGTTCTGTAAATTAGGAAACTTAGAAGCACAAGTTTAAACATTAATGGATGGTATTCAAATAGAAAAAAAAGGGGGGTAATTATATTTGTCAAAAAATCAGCACTTAGGACTACCTATAATAGGTTTATAACTGTCATGTATAACCTACAAGTAAATGGTAAAATGTTGAATGTGTGCAAAAAAAATGTTCCAAAATGTTTATGGTATAGTTAAAGTGACGAAGTGTCGACACGTCAGTTGAAATACGGTTCCGATAAAATATTTGTGACTAAATTTTTTGGTCTTCTAAATTACGATTTGGCTGAAAATTTCCGGTTTTTTTACACGAACCCGTTTATTTCATTATTAATATATTATATTATATTTTAGCTTGAATTGGGTATTTTCGTAACACTATATTATAAATTAGGTGCACTGCTGTATCATAATAAAGTAGTATGTATTAATGTATTGCAATTTAACTTATTATAATATAACATTAATGTGAAAAATGTTTAAAAATGTATCCTCTGATACTGATGACGGGTGTGGCCACTGTTGTAAGTAAGTAGTTGGAAGATGGGATTTATTTTAGTTTTTTTTTTTGGTTTTTTCAATTTATTGAGAAAACACATGGGAAAATTAAAAAATAACCTCTCTTAAGTAGCCAACCAGCCTGATTTTTTTTCAGAAAAAGTGGTATCGTTGTATATCGGAGCAAAATTGCTGATAGAAAAGTTGTTCACAAAGAAAAAAATAAACAACAGTATATGATCTATATATGCATACATATTGCCACTCCGGTAGAATAATGACATGACTGTGAAATTTTCAACTTCAATATGTTTAAATACAACGAACGCATGAGGTATGAAAAGGATGTAACTATATTTATGTTTTGGACTGCCAGAGGGTAGTTGCATCGTTGTGGAAATTCGTAAATTATCAACATTTTAGTGAAAATAATTTGGTATTTTAGATTTATCTTTAACTTAGTCATTTCCTAATGAAATTCAAAAGTAAAAGTCCTGAACCAAACCAAATTCACTATGAATTCATTCAAAATTTCGGAAGAAGAGCATTCAAATTACTAACAACACTGTACAATAAAATTCTTAGTGTGGGAGCGTAGCCTGAAACGTGGAATAGTGGGGTTGCTGTTTGAATCCCAAAATCTGGAAAATAAAAGTTTTATAACGAAGGATACAGACCAATTACGTTATTTAACACGATGTGCAAACTACTTGAAAAAATTATAGACTTAATGGTTTTATAAAAACCTGAAGTACAATAGATAATCTTATTGAAGTTAAAGAAAATATCTTTCAACCGTTCAAAAACATATAAATAATGGGAATAGTAAATCTAGATATTGTCAAAGCATATTACTGCACTTGGAGACATAACATTATTTCCAAGTTAAATACTATAGTTAGCAAAAGAAATTTCATCAATTTAATGAATCAATTTAGTATAAATTTTGCAATTTTGTATAAAACAGCATCGAATATTGAATTACAGAATTACAGAATTCAATACTGAACTGATTAGATAGTGTCAATAAAATCGGACTAAGATTTGCAATAGGAGCGTTCTGCAGTACAGTTTTTAGTATTTACAATTTAGCAGGGGAACCCATTTCTGAAATAAAAAGCATGAAAGTACAATTTATGTGTGATATGTGGCAACATTGCTTACCATGTAATGTTTATTTTTTTAAATTTTATTTTGCAATATTAAAGCTAACAGTGGTTTGTGGTGTAGTAGGCATGTTGATTGAATGTTTAGGATAGAGTCAATTATTGTTTGACTTATTGTATGAGGTAAATATCTCAAAAGATAAGATTAAAAGTCTCGACAAGACGGATGAAAACAGCAATAACAAATCGAACAGCTAAGAGAGGAAAAAAGGAGATGCCAAGATTAAAAGTATGGAAAATTGATCTCATTAAATATACTTCACATAATTAATATAAATCTAGGCACTATATGTACGGAAAAATATGTATTTATAATCACAAAACTATAAAATATACATTATGGAAAATAAAAACGGTATCATAAAATTAGTAGATTTTAACATAACCTAATCAATCAAATTTGTATTCAGGTAAGCATTAAATTGGATTTATAGAAAAAATATAAAAGCTTCAACGTTACAAGCGTTACAATCTACGTTTTTATTATTTTGATTAAAGTTATTTTAATATGTTACTATATTAGTTTTCAATTCTTACGCAGAGTTCCTCATGACAGCATTCACCTCCACGCAGTGTATTATTCAATTTTCCTTTAATATCCCATATGGATATCAGTCCATTGTTTAATCCTCCCACAACAATATTACCATCAATAGGACTAAATTCAACACAACATACTTCTTCAAAACTTTCCAATTTTAACTAAAAATTAATACAACATTTTGGGTAACTATAAATAGTTTATATGTAATAATTCTGCTACACACTATGTTACATAGTAATGCAAAATGTATATAAGTATTGACTCAATGGAATACCTTTGGAAAAATCATATCGCTAATTGACCAAATGACGACAAAGTTATTTTGGTCATCTATACATTTTAATTTATCTCGTTCTTTGATTGTTAATTTAGCCATTTTTTCAGCAGGGTTTTCTATGTTTATTCTCTTGTACAACCCATTACTACTCGTCATATAAGTAAGTGCAAAAATACCTAAAAATGATGCATTCTAAAATTATAATTTAAAATGTATTTATTTATAATAATTATTATACCTGGTATTGTAGGATGCCAAGTATAACTGGATACATATTTTTTTGGAAAGGCTACGTTATGATATGCTCCAGGCAGAAGTTTTATGTCTTTAGTGCATCTAATATATGATTTGTCATTTTTATTCTTTAATAGTTTATAATCATCCCGGTACAGATCGTACAACTGATTTTGATGTAATTCATTCTCAAAACTGAAAATAAAATAACAAGTAGGTAACCATTAATAACAAGATAATTCATAACATAGCTGACATATATGTTCAATATGTGTTCTGTAGCTATAATAAACACAGCACGTATAATAAACGTGGGGTTTCAGTTTAGTTAATTTTTTGTAAATATTTTAATTTATTTATTTAATTATATTATTAGTATTAGTTAAAATAAATTTTAGACGAAATATTTCACTTTTAATTTTAGGTTTGAGGAGAGTAGTGGTGCATTATTAACACGCCATGCACTGTACTGCCACACAAATGATACTCCACTAATGTTCTCTAACCCAAACTTAAAAGTAGAATATTTCGTCAACGGATTGACAGAAATAAAATATTTGAACACTAAAATTTATTTTAAAATAATACATCATCTATTTATGGAATTTTTAATATAGGTTGCCATTTGAAAATTAAAAATACAGGTTTTATACCCAAAAATAAGGGTGACAAAAAAAAAAACAAATGTAAAATTGTAGAGCTACTTATTTCTTATTTCTTATTTCTTATTAATTGGTAGATAAGTTAGTCTATCTTGATAGTTTGGGTATTAGGTTTGGAAAGGAAATGATCTACTAGTCACAGGTTCAAATATGATCAGAACGATAGAATTTGTTTGCATTCCTCCCACACTCAATTTGCTATACCAGATATCATCTAGCGTCTCTCGATATACACATGTGTGTAATATCATATTAGTTAGGTATTTTAGAACCTCGCTCACAATAACATTTTAAATCTCTTATTTCAAGTATCACATATTTTGACATAAAAGATCTCAGACATATCGCATACACACTAATTTATGTAAAATAGAACCCCACATAATATCTCAATACAATTCATATACAATATAACAGGTACTACTTTTTGCATACCAGATTATGGATAGGTTTATGTTTAATTTCATATAGTAGGTGCCTATTATTTTATGTAATCAATGCAATTAGTAATTAGTTGATACAAATTACGAGTATACTAAGTTATAAATTTGATTTTATACTAAGGTACGTGTTTTTCAAAAAAACTCTTCAAATAGATATCTGATTCAATAAGAAGTTGTGGTTGAAACATATCTTCTTCTACGGCAATAAACTGAATAGATTTATTTTGGTAGATTTTTGAAACTGTTTGTGTTTCTTTGTGGTTTAAAAGGGTTGTCTATACAATTAATATAAATATATCATGAAATTATAAATCATTTTATCATGGAAAACATATATAGATTGTTAGATTACTTGAACACTTGAATCCTTTAATAATCTATCGCTAATTTCAAATATTTCATTTGATCGAGGTATCAATTCTACATATTGATTTCGTATTGATTTTGAATTTGAGTCTTCAAAATTTGCTTTAGCTTGGAGTCGGTCTGTTGGAACTTTCCATTTAAATGTTAACTGAAAATCAAAAAGACGTCCTAGGATAATGGGGTCAGATGCAGCGACTGTTAAAAGTAATTTTATGTACAACTGCAAGCAACAATAAACTATTGCAAAGGAAAAAACTATTCTGAGTGGAGTTCAGTTGATAGTGCTACTTTTTTAACAATATATATGTCATATTATGGTAAAATTCAAATTATTCCAATTCCAAAATTAAAATGGATCCCATTTTTCCTACGTTTTCCCGTTTTTCAGTAGTTTTTTTTTTTTTTTTTGATTCATCACATTTATTGAGAAAACTCCTTAGAAAATTGAAAAATTACCTCTTTAAAGTACCTTTCCAAACCGATTTCATTTTAGAAAAGGTACTACGCTTAAAAATTTGAAGAAGATATCTAATAGAAAAGTTGTCCACAGAAAAAAAATAAACATCTTTGTAAAACCATAAGCTTCTTCGTTCCACTCAGAATCTAAAATTAGTATGTTTAAAGCCCACATAGATATATTTATGGTTTGGATTTTCATTTAACTTGACTGATGTCATACCTTTTCACGTATTCGGACAGGTATCATTTCTTCGATTTCATTTTCGGTACCTCCTGATTCCCAAGCACCTGAAAATTTAACCATGGATTTTTCGACTCTCTCTTTCAATCCATTTTCTAATTGAGTTTGTTGAGTTTCTATAAATTCTATAGCTTGATCCGTGAGGCAAATTACAAATTCTTCATCTGTATAATTGCTAGACTTATAACTAACTAAAATATGTTCTTTTTTTATTTTCTGAATAGATAAAAACATTAATACAATTATTTTATTTTTTCCACTAAAACAAAAATTATCGTTGCAATTTGTTTTTACCCGAAGTTCCTCACGAAATTCCCAGAAACATGATTTTTTATTTTGTGACGTTATATTTTCAATAATTTTTGCACGAGAAATTTTCTTCCATGGATTGTCAATAAAAACATGTTTATCCACTACACATTCGAATTGTTCTTGTAGACTGTGTGGTATGATTATTGTTTTTAAAGCATTAATAGGATTTGCTATTAAAAATGGTTCATTAATTAATTATTATACCTTTCTATTATAATGGTCAAATTAACAAATTCTCTAAAATATTTTTTAAAGAATATGAATCTTACCGTTGTATAATACATTTTTCTGAAGAGTAGGAGTATTTTGTTCTTCTTTTATATCTTGTATATTTTGCTTTTTCCCGAGCTTTTTACCTAAATGTACACATAGTATTTCACATGAGTGTTCAAATATATTATATTCTACCATGGTTTATGAATACTAATTAATAAAGAAATCGTTTTATACTTTAAATGCCTACCCAAACAATGTAATCAAATTAAGATAATGTTAGGTATATTAATTGATTATAGTAGTACCAAAAAAAAAAAAAAACAAACACGTTTTATTTAATAATTTAGGTACTCACGATTCATATTAATGGTTTATTATCTTTTCGTTTTCTATGAATGGTACTACGGTAGGCACATACATAAAAATCGCGATCTAAAATCATAGAAAAGAACACTTAAAGTTGAAACAATAAAACACTTACCATCCAATAAATACCTATGGTCCTGTACTGGAAATTTTAACAAATCTATATATATAATCAAACTTTGTTCGTAAAACAAAAATCAATAATCATTTATCACACATTCCATTTTACTTTTTATTCGTGTTTATAGTATATAATAGTAAATAATATACTATAAAAAATGATTATTCTTTTATAGTATAATAATTGATGAAATAAAACATCGATAACTGCATTATTAAAGAAACTAGTTTATAAAAAACATTTTATAAACCACTCTGGGTATGAAGTATGCAATTTTAATTTAACTGGAGTAAAATTTTCAACAGTCTTATATAAATAACCATAAAAGGTACTAAACACAGCTATTCAAATCGATATTATGAAAACAATTTATCCAATTAATTGAGGCTAAATATTTGTGTACATTATAAAATCACATGAACTCCAATTGAATAAATATTATTTAGCAGATAATTTCGATGTTTTGTGTATTTTGAAATTTACTTCAACTGGTGGGTGATAGTTGTTTACAATAGGAAGATTTGCTTCTTGGATAGAAAACCATTATTAGGATTAGATAACAAAACATCAACAAAAATCACTATTTACGTTATTTACAATTTTACTAAATTGAAAAACGTTAGAAAATGATAATTTATTTTCAAAATAACCAGCATTTGAAAAACTGACAGATGGTAAATTAAAATCGCCAAATAAAAAAAAAACTGCCGTAGTATATTTCTTTGTAAGTTCATCAATAACACAAAAGTTAAAATTATAAACAAATTTGCTAGAATTATTGGGAATATACACAGAACCAACAATAATAATATTATGGTTTATCTTTATGTTCACAAATAATATTTCAAGATTAAAATTGCGTACAGAAATAACATTGGACATTTTTTTCTTCTTAGCTTACCGGTCCGTTAAGAACCATTGCTACCTTCAACAGGTTTCTCCATCTCTCTCTATTGTAAGTCGACTCATATGTCACATTCTAGTCTATAGCTTTCAAATCTTTAGCATCTACATCGATCCACCGGATTAGATAGATCTCCCTGGATCTTCCTGGGGGGGTCTTTTTTTGTTCATTTTTTCCACGAGTACTTTTTTTATTAGTTGACCATCCACTCTCTAAGTGTGTCTAAACCACTCTAGTCGTTTATTCCTGATAAACACTAGAATTTTTGGTCTGTTGTATAATTTCTGTAGCTCTTCGTTTTTTTTTTTTCTGTCATACGTATTTATTTCTTAGTTAAAACGTGGTCCAAATATGTTCCGGTGTATTTTTCTTTCAAATATTATATTTTATAACGCAAAATTAAACCAAGATCAAATGAATTTGAAAAAGTATCTTTTAAGGCACGAGGCCTAGCTGGTAGGTCGGTTTTAGCAGTACCTAGATGGGATATATTAATAAGACTTACTTTTACGTCCATAACATCAAATAATTGTTTAACAGAATTATTATCAAGTTTAATTGAATTTGAATCAGCACTGATAGGCTGCTCTGGTAAATTGAATAGAATTATTAGTTAGGACGAAGTTATTGAGTCAAGATTGTCGATCCATAATTTCCATAACAATATCGTTTTCGATAAACGTATTATCATACCAGGAAGATATTTTTTTTGAAGATTCAACAGCTTTTCGCTTAATTGGTTATTGTTTTCTAATAACTTGATAACAGTATTTGCAAGTGATTTATAATTATTCGTTAATGTCGTTTTAAATTTTCAATGAAACTATAATTTTAGACTATTTGATTTTAATTGTAACTGATTAATTTAATTTTTAAAATGTTATCAAGTTGTTCCTCCATGATACGAATACAAACCCGCTGAACTTTGTAAAATACAACGATAAAAACTAAAAAACTAATAGGTATACGATACTTTTATAACATGATTAAAATTAGAAATTTGAAAGTATAACGGGAAATAACTTGTGCACCCAACTAAACGCTTCAACGGTCGGAACGAGTACATCGTCCTCTTAATGATAATAAATTAATAGATTTATAATAACATATAACCTTTAATAAAATCAAAATTATCGCACGTTTTTGTTCTCGTCATTCGTGTAAAATATTTCTCATTTATACATACACTATACAAGGTGTGCCCCGAAGATATGATCATTGCGATATGTTGGAATGTAAATTAATTTTTTTGGAAATTCTTTTTTAACAATGTTCGCGCCGCAACCGACACGCGTCACAACTCGAATAGCATTGTATATTTTTGTGCACATTATACATTTAATTTTAATATTTATCAATGTTATGATAATATAGACCGACCTCCGAAGTTCATTGTTTAAGGACACAACTAGTCCGTTATGTAACTTTTACCGCAAAGCAGACCACATGTGTGTAAAATCGTTGTTCGATCGTCATTATTGTAATATTTGTGTCGTTGCACGATCAGTTGCGAGATTTATATATTTTTGTTTTGTATACAAAACGCCCATGCGTGAAAGTGTAGCTGTCTAGACATAAGGCGTTGAGAGTAGTAAGTCGAGCCCCTGATGACAGATCGACAGTAGCCAAACTTGGAAGGTAGTGTGTTAGTATAATTGCCTATCTTCAAGATGCTAAAATAAGTAAACTGAGTGAACAATATCAACATCGATATTCAGCTCCGTAGTGCTTTGAATTAATATCCTCCGAGGATATTAAATATGCATAGGGAAAGTAGTGGTTCACATGCCATGCGCTGAGATGCCAAAATATAGGTAACAAAAAATAATAGTAATACAACATTTTTAAGCTGCTTGTTTCTTAAACTATCAAAAAATAAAGTTAATACTTTCAAAGGTATCGAAATAATCATATCTTCGTGGGACACCCACACTCTATACATACATAATAAAACAATGATATGACAAGTAGTGGCACGGACCACGTGTAATCACAATGAGTCTGTCAGAAAAAGATAGCGGACGAGGTGTAATGGGTGTATCAGCCTTCAGGCCGTAACTGGAATTAAAACTTACAGGGAATCACGTGGAATAATTTAAAAAATGAATTCAAAGGTACGATTTATACGTTGTAATGACATCCACTAACACTCTACCGAACGAACTACAAATGGTAATATTTCTAAACTCGATGGCCATTGGGCAATCAAGGTATTGAATTGTATAATACGTTCAACCTATCAGACACAGCAACAATAAAGGAGGTAGTGGAAAAGTTCGAAATATAATGTACTCCTCGTAAAAAAATAATTTACAAGAAATTTAAATTTTTTAATGCAAAACAAAAACAAGATTTAAGTGTTAATACTTGTATATTATCGAATTGCAAATGTTGGAACTAGCATGTGAATTTTTAGAAAAAAATAAGTAATAAGTGATCTCTCTAAAGTACCTCCCTAGTGAAATTTCCGTTTAGAAATATTGCTATCATTAAAAGTTGAAGCAAAATTGCTGGTAGAAAAGTCACGCACAGATAAAAATAAAAAAAAAAGAAACAACTTTGTAAAACCATAAGCTTCTTTGCTCCACTCAGAATCTAAAATAAGTTAGGCTGTGTTAGTGTCATACATAACAGTTTGAGTGATGTCTCATTCTATTGTTTTATTAAGGTTGTTATTCTTGTTTGTATTATATTATCTTATATATCTTATCTTATCAGTATCTGTATTCTTAGTATCTTATCTAAATATTAAACTGCAATGTGTATTGTAATAAGTAATTTGTTTTAAATTTGTAAAAGACTCTATACTCGAAGCTTGTAAGTGGTAAGTTGAATTTAAATAAATAAATAAATTCTTATTCATTTTTCAGATATACGTACGTTATTTTCAGTACCATCTACCGTACAGTGAGGTCTTTTGCAGTTTGTACAGCCAATACGCTATCCACATAGTAAGCTACTGAATAGTACAATGAATCGATCAGTCTAATGAATTAAATTTAAATAATTAATTAAATGCATAATATGAACAAGAAATGATTTATCACACTAAATCAAAATAGATGGATTTTTTTATAGCTAGAAATAAATAGGTAAGTGTTTACTAAATTGTCCAAAAAAATGTAGTGAATGTTTTTTCGATCATCGCTACCATACATTTTTCCGTTCACGTATCCATGAATCAACAACGTAACATGTTGTTTATTTATTTGGCTAACAGTATTTCCGATATTAATTGTTGTTACATTACTATTATTTTTTGTTTTCCTATTGGCATCACAGCGCCCCACATAGCAAAATTATATGTTTAAAACATTTTCAAAATGTCTTTTAGAAAACGTAAAATATTTTCATATGGTTTTCCAATCATTTTTGCACGTTTTAAAACTATTTTTATAAACGTTGTTTTAAACATTTTTTATCGCAAAAAAAATCACCAATCATTTCAATAATATTTTCTATTATATTTTGAAAATATTTCTTGTGTATATCTCGAAAATATAATATTCAAAATGTATTCTCATTACTATTAGTCCATTTAAACCGCTCATCAAATAAATAAATATGACAATATAATTTTACTTTATCTGTATCAGTATATATTTTGAATGAACAATAATGGGTAGAATATGGCAGGTAACTTGCCTACGTTGTAGGTACCAACTAGGTTAGGTTAGGCTAGGTTACGGATAACCTACACTATAATAATTAATAGGTATAGGGTAATAGTTTTTTTTCATTAGTGTTATATACCAAGGTAACCCATAAATCAACAAAAATAATTAGATTTTCATACTAAAAATACCGAAAAACCAAATTTTAGGTGGTAGGTTTTAATATTGAGGGGTGGATTTTATTAGCTATAAATCTCCTCCGGGTAACATAAAACATTTTGCAAAAATCGCGTTAAAATCGTTCCAGTAACTTTTGAGTCTATTAATCTCCAACAGATAAACTGCAAGTCAAATATTGATTGACATCTAATTTTATATACCTACATGTACAGATTATTATTGTATAAGTATTCAAAATAAATCAAGAATTAAAATTTTCTTCAATACATATATGTGTACAAATATCTAAATATGAAATTAAATAAAAATACTTATTAGTTATTAGTGTCTATAAAATAGAACTATGTTATACTAATTTACTCGCTGTTTAATATACTTTTTGGTAAATATAAAAACAAATACAAATAAGGATATTCTATACAGATACATATAAATAGTGTACATTAATAAATATTATACAAATCTTTTTCATTACTTCAGTGAAATAATTTTTATTTAAATTTAAATAGACAATGTTGATCGTTATAATAATACATTTAAAACAGTACAGTATGTGTAAGTGTAGTATTTTAATTATACATTTATATTATTTATATGAGAGTGTACCACCTATATAATTTATTTAAGTTAAAATTATAGATTTAGTAATTAATAATAAATTTAGATGAGGTATAATATTGTAACATTTGTGAAATAAAAATAAAAATTTTATTAGACGAACTAACAACATTTGTTTAGTTGATACCTTCCGAGATATTGAGTGTATCCACTTAAATGATTCACCCGGTATACATTTTAATTTTTCATAAAATATCAACTAGAGATATAATTATTTTAACACATTTTTTTGCTAAAAGTTCTGCGATATCTTGAGAAAATTAATATAGCTATTTAAATCCACCCTCAGATTGAAAACCACACGCCGGGCCGGACAGCTATAGTAATAATTAAAATTACAAATAATAGGTAAATATCTATGTATTTAATATATGTTTATGGGGAGGTTGAACTCCCTAAACCTCCTCCCCCATGTCTACATCTCTATCGGCCGCCCTGACTTGTCTCTCAACTCCACAAAGCTCAGTCATTACAAATAGTATTTTAAAAATATTTTAGACAAAATCTTATAAAAATAAAAAATATTTATTTTTAAAATATATATGTTATTGTATGATAACCACAAAATAATTCAAATAAATGGTTTTTAAAATATCTACGAAATAATTTACTTAAAATATTTTATAATATATATTTGTATACTATTTTTAAGATATCTATTTAGAAATATTTTCGTTATGACGTTAAAAAAGTATTTTATAAATATAATCATCATCCGAAATGCTATGTTGGGCACGTGGCGTAGGAACCGCTACTTTTCCCCGTATGCATACTTGAAAATGAAATATTTCGTCAACGGGTTGATTTAACTCAAATATTTCTACACAAAAATGTTTTAATAACATTAAATTGTTGAAAAAAAAATTTCGAGAGAAGTTAATACGGTGTGTCCCACTGTGTTCGGCGGATTTTTCTTAAAATCTTCTTTTTTATTAAATTTGTTTCGATTTTTTTTTTTTTTTCAAACAGTTTATCTTCGAAAGGGACATCGATGTAGAGAAAAATTACATTTTTATTTTTATCTCCTAAACACAAAAAAAATATATAACTTTATTTATTCACTTTAAAAAAATTTCAAAATAGTCATTTTCTACTAAATATTATTCTTAAAATTTTAATATATCATACATTCATATCCAATTAATACTTATAGCCGTTTCAATTTCTAAACAAATAGGCGTGAAAACAATTCATATTGTCAATAAAATAACACGTTATGCGATAAGGAATAACAGTCAGCGTGGTGATTCTTTACTTCTATTGAATATTAATTGTTTTCACGCTTATTTTCTAGAAATTGAAACGGCATCTTCTCCACACCAATGTACCCGTTTGAAAAAAATCGAAAAAAATTTCATATTAGCGCGTTTGGTTTCTAGTGCACTGTCGAGAAGACCTTTGCTGACTCGGCGGGCCTTGTCGGGCGCTGTCCTTCACTTCGGCTGCTGCGGACGGTCTGAACTGCCTGGAACGTTATCCGTATACTAGAAGGCCGCTGTCGATTACCACGTCCCGTTATTAGTCTTGAAAAAGACTGGTTTAGCCGTAGTCGTGCAGCGGTCGCGTTGTCGGTTACTGCAAGTGCTCGGTGTTGCGGTGTTGACTTCGGTTTGTTCAGGTACCAAATCTTCTGTGTCTGTTGTAGATGTTGAAGGTTTTGATGGTACGGAAGAAAAAGTAACTTGTCGGCCGTCGCCGCTCCGGTATATATACCCTCTGGCGGTGTGGGCGGCCACCTCTCGTTGGTCATTCCTTCTACAGGTGTATGGCACCGTATGTGTTGTTTTATACCATCGGACTGTTTCGATGTGTTCAAATCTGTTGTGTTTATTATGTCCTATGTTAATCAACTTCAGCGATTGTGTTTATTAACCTAATTCTAGATATCTGCATATCTATATACAGAACTAATTTCTCGAACATTACCTGTTCTATTTTTTTTTTACGATCGGTACTCGGGAATTACATTTTTTTGAGGGGGAGGATTTTGGAAATACATAAATTAATTAATTAGCCTTGTACCTACTATCAGAAATCATTACACAAAAACACACTTCGTAATACATCCATCATAGTAGAATCTAAAATAAATGTATACTTATGTAAGCAAATCTTAGCAGCCTGCAGTGGTGTATACAGTATGATTTTTTTTTTTTTTTTGGAAATTAATGATCACTGAATTATCTTTAAAAATAGATGTAAGGTAGGTGTGACGATGAGTTTTGGTTTTTTTTTAATCTAGTCCAGTTCACAAATCGATTACCTACTCGTTTTAACGAATATTAAAATACTTTTTGAGTCAATTTCTTGACCAATTCTAAATTAAACATAAATAGACACTATTTTTTTAATTACCAAGAGGAAGAATTATAAAAAAAAAAACTGTTACTTTTTTCCGGGACGAGGAAACCCCTCGCAATATTTTATGGTATAATACAATTTTTAAACCGCCTCCTTCTTGATTGAGCTTCAGATACACCACTGTTTTACAAAGATGTTTATTTTTTTATTTTATTTTTTTTCATACTGTGTACAAAAATTATACCAGAAATTTTGCTCCGATATTTACGCGTGACACCATTTCATATGTGATAACATAACATAAAAAGGTAAAATAAAATAAAAATACACCAGATTATATAACATATATTTGAATATCAATAACAAATAATTCCAAATATACAAAAATTATTCACGATTCATATTACATTTACATTTTTATGCTAAGTGAAATATGTTTTGAATTAAGTACAAACAACTTTAAAACTACCCTGTTTGGCAATTTTCAACCCTTTTGTGGCACGTAAAGGGGTGAATTACTATCACCAAATTTAACACAATTTAGTTTTAGAAGGGTGAGAAATTTAGAATAATTAATTTTTTTCCCCCCTCTACAACTAAGGGCCACCCCAATATATTTATAATATAGAGAGTCGTTATATTTGCATCAATATCAATGAGATAAAAATAAAAAAAATTTTTTTTAAATTTAGCAATACATTTTCAGAATTTGATTAGGATCATCTTGTATACATGTTAAACAAAAATTAATTTAAATTAAGAATTCAACGAACTTATCTAATCATAATGTTATACTTAATTAATGTTGTTGTAGTTTATTTAGTTACAAATGTTTAAATGTACCTAATTTGTATACATTTTATTACGTTTGAAATGTTTATGTTTTTACATATTGTTACAATTTGTTACATATTATGTGCAGGCATATGAGAGTAATAATTGTGGACGATTTATTCATTAAAGAGTTCACAGAACAACATTTTTTTACATATTCAAAACTATTTCATGGGGTTATTGAATATTTATAATTTTAAGCATATGCAGTGCGTCCCATAAGTTTTGAGACAACCATTCTAAAATTAATACTAGTATGTAGATAATTATGAAATTCTGGGAAATTATTACAATAACACTCATAATCATTCGTACAAAGTTTCACGTGTATAGGATAATCTCTGGCCATATAATCGTATCTGTCGTGAATATATATTTGTGATCGCGATTATAATTTTAATATGGAAAAGATCTTGAACTACGAATTGCGATAAAATTTTTTGTTAAGTTAGAAAAAAATGCTACAGGAACGTTCCAAATGATGACCAAAGCTTATGGTGAGTTAGTTATGTCCCGAACCACTGTATTTCGGTGGCATAGTCAGTTTCATCCGGCAGGGAGTCGTTTGATGACGAGCAGAGATGTGGAAGATCAAGCACAACGAAAACAGACGGAAACATTGTTCGCGTCTCAGTTGTTTTGAACGAACATCGAAACGGTAGTTGTAAGTTAGTGGACGAGTTAACTAGCATCCCAAAAACGATTGTTCAACGAATTATTAGAGAAGATTTAGGGAAAAGAAAACTTTTCGCGCGCTTTGTTCCTCGTGCGCTAACTACGGAACATTGACAGAGACGTGTTTCTCACGCAAAAGATTTGCTTCAAATGGTCACAAACACTCCAAATTTTTTAAAAAATATTATTACGGGTGACGAGAGCTGGTGTTTTGCCTATGACCCGGAAACCAAACAGCAAAGTGCACAGTGGGTTAGGGAAAATTCGCCACGACCAAAAAAACTTTTCTTTCAGAAACCCAAAGTCAAGACCATGTTAATTGTTTTTTTTGATTCCCAANAAAAATTGGGTGATTGTGCAAGGTGTATAGAATTTAATGGCGACTATTTTTAATAGTATTATAATAGAACTATTTTAATTTTTTCTGTAACATCAGTAACCTTAGTCTCAAAACTTATGGGACGCACTGTGTATTTGTGTTAAATTCAATTTTTGTAAATAGGTACAGAAATATTTTTTTGAACAATAGCGATAGATTTTTAAAAGTTAGATAAATAGACAAACTGAGAAATTACAATACAATTTTTAGGAGCTTGATAGGCAACATAGATACAAAATTGAACGTTAGTAATAGAATTTTAAGAATGGATTACAAAATTAATTTTTAGGAGTTATGTAGGCAACTTATTAAAAAAGGAGAAATACAATTACAGGGGTTGAACAACATTATTTACAAATTTGGGAACCAATGGGCTCTTTTTTATAAAATATTGCTATACGCAGATAAATAAAAATTGAATTATGTATCATATTGTTTTATATATCTATGAGTATATTATCTTAAATCGTGGTAACTACCATACACGAATATAGATATCCGTACTACTATTAATGACCGTATATATGTTCATGTCTATGACCATAGCAGCATTATGGATATTACAATTATCTAGTTTTTACCAGAACATATTTTGATAATGATTAAAATTTAATTTGTTCGTTTTTAAGTTTATTAATCATGTTTAACTTGAGTGTGTTATAATTTGTAGTTTATCGTATTTAAATTAAATTAAAAATTACATTTAAATCTGTACAATATTAAATTGCAGTCTGAGAGAGTGAGTTTATATTTAATTTTGATTAAAACCAATGTTGATATTAAAAATTAAATAACTTTATTTTTATATTTAAATTGAGGTAAATTAATAAAATTGCTATAAAGATTTTGAGTATTTTTAAACAAATATTTAATCAATATTATATGATATTGTAATTTTATAATCATATGCTTTTAGGAAACTCAGATAGAATTATTGTTCTCAAAATTAATGAAAAACAACAAAGTGTGTGGAATATAAATTATATTACTACAATACATAATATGGATAAGATGTTCAATAATAAAATGTACAAGTGTGAAAAGTCCTATGAATTAATATCTTCTTTGAATAAACATAAAAAGAAGATCCACAGTTTAGAAACAGGTATGTATTAAATTACTATTTCATTAGTGTCATTCATAGGAGGGAAGTAGTATTGCGTTATTAAAAAAATAATTTGTGTGACATACCAGGCGATTTATCTAAATAGGTATACTCATGATCTTGGAAAGTATTAACTTTTTCTGAAATTTGTTTTTTAGAACATTTAAGAAACAAGCTGCTCTACAATGTTATATTTATGTTGATTTTTGTCACCCTTATTTTTGGAGGTAAAACCAATACTTACTTTTGATTTTTAAATGGCAATCTATATAAAAAAATTCCATAATTAAATCGAATATTAGTAAAAATAAATTTTAGTGTTGAAATGTTTGATTTCCATTAATCCGTTGATGAGATATTCCACTTTTAAGTTTGGGTTAGAGAACATTAGTGGAGTATCATTTGTGTGGCAGTACGGCGCATGGCGTGTTAAAAATGCACCACTACTCTCCTCAAGCTTAAAATTAAATGCGAAATATTTCGTCTAAAATTTATTTTAACTAATACTCCATCTATTTATGGAAGTTTTTATATAGGTTGCCATTTAAAAATCAAAAATAGGTAGTGGTTTTACCCCCAAAAATAAGGGTGACAAAAAATATAACAAATACAAAATTGTAGAGCAACTTGTTTCTTAAATTTCCTAGAAAATTAATTCCGGGAAAAAGTTTATACTTTCTTATGGATAAGATTTGCAATAATAGAACCTACAAGTGTAATTTGTGTGAAAAGTTGTTTGATATTATTTTATCTTTGAATAAACACAAAAAGAAGACTCATCATATTGAAAATGATTTGTATTTATAAGAATAAATTAAACTTCTATAGAATTATTTTTATTAATTTTATTGGTGTCCTTTTGAATCAGTGTTTATGACTTAACGCCATAAGAATTGGTTACTTATTTAAATCAATAATCTATTTATTGTATAAATATATTTATTAATTTCAATTGATTATTTTTTACTAATATCATTTATTTTGAATATCTAGATGAAAGTGCTATTAACTGTAACATGTTTAATACTTTAGAAGATGAAGAATATACACTATTGTGAGTATAGGTATTAAGCAAATTAATACAAAGTATATATTATACTTAGCTGATTTTGAATTTCGGTATTATATTTGTAATAGACCTTATTTGATAACATTTTATTTTATTGAAGTATTATTTTTTTTTAATCTAAATATATTCATCAACATTAGAATCTGTAGGTATTTTATAATATGCCATCTATATTCTGTGATACATATTATTTATTTGATAGTATCTTCCATGACAAATTAATGGTTTTTTTTTTTGTTTATAGATTAAAAAATCAATTAAAACAGACAACGACAATAACTAATAAGGTAAATAGATTAATATTTCTTAATTATTTTTATTTTTTTAAATTATGTTTTAAAAAAAATTCATAGTTTTATATATTTTTCACTATAAAATGTTTTATTTTTGTTATTTGTTAGATGAATTATATCTGTAGTGTTAGCTAATAGAGATGAAAATTGCATTAGTTCATAGACCAATTAAATCCATATTTCAAATAAACTGTTCTAATATTCACATAGTTTACTGATTCTTATGGTATTGTTTGGCAATGATATTAGTATAGTACTAATTTCAATAAAGAGGTCTATGATTACAACAAATCCACAAGACACAGATATATATTATTATTTTATGATATATCTGTGAACAAATCACAAGTTATTAATACCCTCACATTAGGTAGGTACCTAATTGCTATTCAGTGATTTTCGAACTATGAACTGTCAAAAAGATAGGTATATGGTATATGATTAGAATCTAACAGTTAAAATTACAGTTCATAAATGCCTGGGGCATAGCTAGAATTTTTATATTTTAACACTTTTGATTAAATCATAGGCAGGTTAGGTAATATAGGATTTGAGAATTCTCCCATTACCTTCCCCCACCAATTTTATAAAAAAATTCCCATCAATATGTTTATGGGATTCATATAGGGTAGACAAGGAGTTCAAAAGAACATACACACCCCCTAAAACAAAGTTATCTTTGCCAATAGATAAGCGAACAAAAATGTGTTTAGGAACAATAATTGCATAATGTTGATAGAGTCAGAATAACTTTTTGAAATATTTATGTAATGCAAATATTATAATATCTATTATGTTAAATAAAAATTGTTGAAGCGTTTTTATATTGCCCTTTTTAATAAGTTATATTCCTTAAAACTAAATTTAGGATACAGGTATTAGAATAAGAACACAATATAAAAAAGTTATTAGTTCATTTAATGACTTGTATCTATAATTTTTTAAATATGTCACTGACTGCATAGCCGATAAAGAAGAAACATACATATTACAAAATATTTAAACAGTTTTTATTTTGTTTCTAGGTGGATTCGCAAGATATTATGTCATTGCCATTTAACGAAACAACACTAGAAACAACATACTATGAACCTTGTAACCAACAGTTATTGAAAAATGCACATAAGTGTAATGTTTGTACTAAATCATTTACTTGTAAATCAAAGTTAGATCAACACAATAGAATCCATACAGGGGAAAAACCTTTTTCTTGTAATGTTTGTGGGCTGATGTTTTCTCATCAAAGCAATTTGACTTCTCACAGTAGAATCCATACAGGAGAAAAACCTTTTGCTTGTAAAATTTGCGGGATGAAATTTACTCAGCAATGTCATTTGATTCGTCACATTAGAATCCACACTGGGGAAAAACCATTTAAATGTACTCTATGTGATATGTCATTTAGACGTAGTTGTACTCGGTTACGTCATACACGAAGAATACACAATTGTTCATTCTAAGTTCATTTTGTATAAGCAATCAATTATTGTAAACAATTTTTCAATGGCCAACCAATCATTAAACATTTACTTTATGCACCTATTAAATTTTATTACAAAATGATTATGATTATTATGATTTTAATAAATATTTTTACTTTATGCTATTAGACATTTGATAATTTATTTGTGCTTATAAAAAGAAATTTTTATAGATAATTGTGTAATCCCGGTAATGTATCAAATAAATATGGTACAATAATAAACCTAACTGAATATTGAACCAGGTTTTAGACCCTGCACATTGTGAGAAATGTATTTGTTTTACTGTGTTTTTTTTTTTATTTTCATGTTTTCATTGAATCTTCCCTGGAAGTAGAGATTTTTCAACAAAGATTTAAAACTTTTTAAACCATTTAAATAATTTTCTAGTATATAAAATAGTAAAAAACTACTATACACTAAAAAAAATACAAACTTAAAATTATCATAATATTTTTATGTGGTCACACTATTTATCTATCCAAAATAACTTAATATTATTACCTTGTAAATTATTAATAAATAACAATATTTACATGTATAGTAAATAAATACATGAATAAAAAATGTATAAATAAATGAAGAAATGCATTGTCTGGAGTATTATGATATTTATTGCTAAATATTTAGACTTAAATAAAAAAATTAAACATAATACTGATACTTCTATAAAAAAAAAAACACTAAAATAAAATAAATATCAAGCCAAGTTACAAAATGATTTCTCTTGAAGTCAACAATTTATACTTATATACATACATTCCTAAGATGTTAAAAATGTATATACATCCATTGCACTAAACAGTAAATTTTTTAAAAAATTAACTTATACATAGTAATCAATTCAATACAAAGAAAGTACAAGAAATTATTCATCAATTAATAAATGTTATTAATCAAAACTATTTCCAATATAATAATAAATTATAATCGCATAAAGAATTGTTAGGTATGGGTGGTCCTTTAAGTGCCTTTTTATCTGAAATGTATATGCAAAATTATGAAACAAATAAAATTATTAACAACAAAATGCACAGTCCATGTATTATAAAATCATATAGATATATTGATGACACAATCATTTTATTTAGAGGTTCAAATAAGATAAGCAGAAAATTTAGTTAGTCCATAAAAATAATTTAAATTTAAATTCTATTAAAGAAATTCATAAAGTATCAAAGAAAAAAAAATACAATTTACCAAATAATGTTAACTATTTTAGTATGAAATATCTAAATAATATGTATAACAAATTATCTAAAATTCTGAACAATAATACAAATAATGTAAAAATCCTTTTTAAGACTAATAATAACTTAATCAAACATTTAACTTAATAAATGGTATACAGGTAAGACAAAAAAAAATTTCAAAATAAATAATAAAGAACATATTTTTTAAATAAAATTTAAAAATACTGCCTCTAATTAAATTTTCACTAAACATGTTTTAGAAAATAACCATAATATATGCTTTCATAATAATACAGACTGAGATATTAAATACCCAAATAACATTTATATTAATGTAGTTTTAGAATAATTATATGCTTATATACAATAAAATAAGGAAAAATAATTTTAATAATATTTTATGTGTGCAAATAGATTTTAAAAATAATATCTTATATCAATACATTTTAGATAATAAATATTAACTAAATAATTTATATTTCTTAACATTTCTATGTCTAATAATAACCCATTTTAAATAATCTATCCTATTGAAATAAATTATTTATATGTAAAATGACCAATTTGTAATATTTTTTTTTTTTTTTTTGTATTCATTCACTTAATTTGTTTATATTCAGTCACATTTTACATTTTGACTGTAATATACCTGAATCATAATCAGTGATAATGAATTTTTAATTTGAAACCAGTTGTAGAACACACTTGTCATTATACTCCAGGCAACTCATTCATTCATTTATTTTTTTTTTCTAATTTTTATTTGTATATTTATTTACGATTATTAACCATTTTAAAAATTTTGTTTTTATTTTTTTATTTATATTTGTATAAAATATTTTGTTTTATTGGTTAATTCACAATTTAAATGAAAATTTTTTTTTATAAAAACTATACATTTATATGCCAAATAAAAACAGAGTCGGTTAGGGAGTATCTAATGGTACTAAATTTCTTTAATTTCAATTATTAAGGCTAATTTGATTTTATAGTTTTTATTGCTTCAAATCTACAAGCCTCCCTGATAATAGAGAAAATTTTTAACTTACATGCTTAATATTTATTTGTCTAGCTAGTATTTTTAGTGCCTACAGTATGCCTAATACCTACCTTCAATAATGGCAAAAATAAATTAATTGTTCCAAAACACTCAAGTACTACACAATTATTTTTACCGATAAATTGACAAAACCCAAATTTAAGCAATATGCATAGTAGTGGATGTATATTGAAGAATTATTTTGTTACTTGCATTTTGCTTGTCTGCCATTGTTATACATAGTTTCCGCACCATCAAAGCACACTGAAATACCTAACAGAAGACTAACTCAAATGAAAATTATCTATTAAATATAATGGTCTTTATTTGAGAGAAAATCAACACAGAAGAGTGAGTATTCGGTGGCTAACATTTTAAAAACTGAACTTTAGAGTAAACAAAAGTTAATTTACCATTTTAAAAGCAATATACCCTGTAATTGAGCAATATCAATGGTTCTTATGTTTGAAACCCCTTTTTCGAATGGAAATTTGTCGCCTTTTTTGATGAATATATATATATATATACTTCAGAAATACTAACAAAATTTTTCTAGATAATAAAACATGTATAGATGAGATACCATACCAGTGGTGTGCTGAAATAGGTTGTTTGAAACAATTATCTTATGACTATAATGGGTGGCTGACCAAATATGTTGAATTTTGATTGAGATTGACTACCTAGTTCAGAGATCAGAGATGCCTTTAGTTTTGGTACTATACTATTAATATCCGTACTAACCAATAAGATAGCCTATAAGAAGTACCTAGTCTATACAGCTAAATAAAGTTTTTGGCGTAATTATTTATAGGACATCCATAAAAATCCATGTTTTCATTGGGTGGGTCCTAATTTGTTTTTTTTCTTCGAGTATGTATAATGTTCAGCTCACCACTACAATGGTTTATTGTTGCTTACAGTTATAAATTAAACTTCCCAAATTCTCACCTATGACTATAAATTCTCACCTGCACTCATTCCAATTACCTTAAGACATCTTTTTAAATTTATTTTCCCGGTGTTTTGGCATGTATTCTTTTTGTCATTAATTGTCGGAGAACGCTCCGAGGGCGGAATTAACTATCAATACATGGTAAGTGTTTTGGAAGACCCTGGGTTTTTATCAATTTCTCTTAAAATATTTCTAATGTAATTTTCGTAAATAAATATTATATTATATCGTTTCTTAAGTCTATTATTCCTATACTATTACACTATACCAATTCTAATGCCTTAACTTCTAATTTCACAAATAATCGAAAATCGTAGGTATTTAACGTTGCTAACAGAAATACAATAATATGTAAATATAGTTATCACACGATTGTACTTGTGTTATCAACTTTATTATACTTAATGGAAATACATGTGTAATAATTTAAACCAAACGAACATGAAATATCGCTTTGCCCTTGATCAACCAATGCGCTCTTCTGACGTTTCGCTTAAATTCGACGTCTTATGCATAATAACAAATACATTACTGAACGTTAATAATTAACATAATTTTAACGTCCAATATTAAAAGTAATTATCATAAAATAAAAAATAAATAGTTAGTGTTCAGTGTTATGGCGACATTGTCAATACATTTACACATTTCCGACGATTAGTTTTTTATGAATATTACCCAATAGATTTTCATTGTTTCACTCGTAGTAAACATCATGTCAATACAAGACAAATTTAACGCTGCCATAAACGTGATCAGGAGTTTACCGAAAAACGGTGAGTATTAAACAACATACCTATCTATTTAATATAAGTACCTACTTGCGATTCAATTTTATTTCAAATTATTATTCTATAATATGTACCTAGTGGGGTAGATTAAAATATAGGTGCCTTTTACAATAATTTTTTGGCTACCAACTATTCCATTTATCAAAAATGTGTTTGATTTTCTCTTATAAAGTTGATACATATATTATGTGGTACCTATCTAGTAATTATTTTTAAATATTCATGAAAAATTATCATATTGCAGTAACCTCTTTAGTAAATTGACTATTCAATTGACTATAAATTCAAACTATTTAAAAAATTATCAAATCACTTATGTAGACATTTTCACCAATTATTCATTAGGTGTACTACCTAGTATTTTAAAAGATGATAATATGATTTTTGACAAAAATGCCACTATTTTTAGTGATATCTAAATTGTGTAGAACTCATCACCATGGAAGTATGATAATACTTTTAGGCATAATAATATTATAATATTCAAGTAGGTATCATCTGGATTTCATTCATAGCAGTTGACCTAAATAATTTGGTACTTACTTAACTTTTTTAGAAAACTGCGACAGGGACATTTCAATACTGTTTAAATACTCGTGATCTGTAATATTTGAGATAATACTGATTTAATATTAACAATTCGAAACATCTGTGTTAAATTTTATAATAATAGAGGTTACTATTTAAATTAAAATTTATACATGACTGTATGTTATACTCATTAATCTATAAAATTTAAAAATTGATAAAAAGACTTTGTTGTTAATAAAATAAAATCATACAGATAGGTAGAAAATTATTTTATTTTTATAGTTTAGATTAAACCAAAAGTTAATTATGATCTTAAATTATCTAGTCGATATATATAAGCTATAGAAGTGAGAATGAATCAAACCATAGTATTTTTGAACTATCTATCCAAGTACACATATTTTTGCTGCGTGCAAAAGTGACCAAGTATAAAAAAATAACAATTTAATGTATTTAAATGCCTCATTGTATCCCCGTATATGAAAAATGTGCACAAGTGATATCACAAACAGTTCAGTTCAGAAACCACTTTACACGTAATTCTTGATTAATATCAAAATTGAATGCAATTTAAATATGAATTTAAAATTTAAAAATAAATGTTTAACATGTTCAAATCATTTATGATTTAATCACTTTCTTCACAACGGTGATGATATATACTAAAAAAAGTGTACAGCTGTATCAATACTATTAATATTATTGTAACATTAACATAGAGTTTTTAATTTATTTTGAGTGATGATAATATGATTGATGTTATGTACTAAAAAGCATAAGTTTAAATTATTTATTTTTGTCAAAGTAAAACTAAGGAAAATGATATATATATATATATATTTACCTTTTTAAGATTTATGTGGTTTGTTATAATCATAATTCAGTACATATCCACAAGCGCTTAAATGTCTTATAATTACATATCATAAAACATAATTTGAATAACTATTGTGGAATTAAGATTTGAACAGGTTACTTGATACTTCGATAGATAACAAATTGCATACATAACAAATTTTGCATTGTAAATTAAAGTCTGTCATTCAGAAATATGCACTAGTAGCAAATATTTTATTATCAATTGAGTATAATATTTCGTCAGCATGATGCAAATCAAAATAAATAGGTATTTAAAAATAAATAATAAAATAACAAAATAAATAGGATTTTTGTCAGGTTGTTTATTTTATATTATGTATGCTGTTGAAATCCATATCAGTAATTTAGTAAAATTATTTTGTATTTTCAGACTAGTTATTTAAATAACAATTTCAATAAATACTAAAATAGAAAATTATTATTTTTTTATTTAATATATACCACATATTTAGTTTTTAAAAATTGTATATAATATTATTTTTTATTTTTTATTTTACAAATATATACAGACTAATGTCCTATTACATAACATGATTAAATTATGGTATAAGGTATAGTTTACAGTAGCATACAATTAACATAGTTAAGGCTTATAATAAAATTATATCATGTTTATAGGTTCGTACCAACCATCTAATGAACTCCTGCTTCGGTTTTATGCGTATTTCAAACAGGGTACGATAGGACGAAACTATCAGCCTAAACCTAGTTTTTGGGATGTCGTTAATAAAGCAAAATGGCAAGCTTGGGCAGATTTGGGAGACATGCCGAAGGAACAAGCAATGCAAGAATATGTCAATGAATTAAAAAAGGTAATATTATAAAATTAATTCATTTATAATATTTGTAGGTTTATGTAGTTTATTATACAAAAGTTTTTATAGGTAAATAATGTATGAAAAGCTATTTAAAATTGTATAACACTGTATTTGATCATTCTACTTGCACCTTTAACTTTCCTAATAATATTATTATTTTGCATACCCCCTTATTGGTGTTAAAATTTTTCTATACTATTATAAAAATAACACGTATCTGCTTTTTCTTTTATTTATTATTATATATACAATTTACATTACACACATTAATACTATGATTAGATGATTAGATTTAGTTTTTTATTAATTTGATTTAAAAATAAAATAAAAACACTCATCAGTTAATATAGTTATCATAGAACATTTAATTATTTGGCAACAAAAAGAAATAATTGAAACATTGTAAATTTTACTATCTTTTGGAAAAATAATTAATTTTTTTAGATATATAATATATTTCATAATATTGATTGAAAAGTTACAAACCTACATTTTGCAAATCTTATTATGAATACATTTCTAGATAATAATTTACTGTGCCCTGGATTTAGGGAATGATTAGTTGGTTTATAAAAATGATGTGTGCATTTGTGTACAAGAGAAATTTTAAAATTACTATTTTATTATTTTATTTTTATATAATAATGTAATTAAATGTATTAAAAACGAAACTTTGTATGATATTAAAACAAAAATAAGGTAATATGTTCGCTGTATGATATTCATTATAATTAATACCAATTATTAGTTACTTATTTCTATTATTTATCATTTTATTTTTTTTTTTTTGTATCTTAATTACGAGAATAAAACTTTCAGATTGTAGAAACCATGGCATATACGAATCCTGTAGCTGACTTTGTGTCAAGATTAGATTCATTTTATGAATCAGTTTCCATTGATGATTTAGAAATGGTTGTTGGTCCAATCGAGCGTAAAAATTCAATAGGTACAGTAATTTAACTAATCTATTTTTTAATTTTTTACAAGCTAATGTTATAAGTGGATGAAATAAAACAAAATCTAGGTAATAATCCAAAATTGTCCAAAATTATAAAAAAACCTTTTTCATTGATTGAAACAAGATTTTTAATAAATTAGTTGTTCACCGATACACAAAATATCTGATCTTATTGATATTACTAATGGGTGTGCCACTGTTGTAGGTGGGGTATTAATAGGTTTGGGTACATAGTTATTTGACTTAAATCTATACACAAATCTGCAAAATTTGGTTAACTAGGTTTTTTTGTGATTCTATCAAAATTTGAACTTAAAATGCTAATATAAAAAACTACTACTTTGCATTAAAAATTTTTTTTCTTGTCATCTTATAATAAATCTTGTGTTAAATTTTCAAATATTTATACTAGACTAAAACAATTGTATCCACATAAAACCAAATAATAACTGAAAAAAAAACTTGATAGTGTAAAATGCCTAAAAATAGCCATAAATCAACAAAATGTCTTGAATAAGTATTCTGGGAAAATGTCAGATCTCTACAATTTTTTTTAATCAAATTACAAAAAGGAAAAAATCACCTATTAATTCCTTAGTGCATTCAGAATCTAAAAGCTAACAATCATTTATACTGCATTGGTAATGTATAGAATGGTCTAAATATTATTATGAGCTATATAGTTATAATATGTCATTTTTGGATTACAGACAACAATAAATAATACAAGTTTTATACAATAACTACCTATTTGTTTTTTAAAAAAAAAAAATTTTTTTTAGAAAATGTGGATGCTTCTAGTACAGTTTCAATAAATGAACATCAGAGTACAGGAGATACAGACATAGATGATGAAGAGTGTTTTCATGATGTCATGGAGGTAAAACATTTGGTTAATTTAATTTAATAAGTATTTTATTTTTTTATTTTTTAATGAGACCAATTTAATTTTAAGTAGACTTTATTCATAACGAAATTCTTAAGTATTAGAGATATTTGATCAATTTCAGAACTTTTACTATTGCCTACTTATAGTGATAAGAAAGTTCTTTTTGAAAAGTAAACTACTTCAGGTTCTAGATCATAGTTTTTAAAATGAACCAGTTTCATCAAATTAAAATAAGAGTAAACTATTTATATATAATATTGTTTTTTATTTTAATAACTCAGTTTACCGAATATAGTGAGTTTGTGTAAAAAGAATATATAATGTATTTATGAAGTAAATAATTGTTTTTCCTTAAGTTCAGATGCACATTCACACATCAGTAAAGTTTCTGAATTTAATATTAATCTACAAAATATTGTTCACATGAAATCACTACTAACTAAATTTAAACTATTGGGCCAATAACTAATGACTACTAATTAATAAATAATACCTAACTAACAAATTATAATTTGTATAATAATAATTAAAAACTGAAATAATTGGATAGAGTATATTAGTGTATTGTATATAAAATAAATAAATAATTTAAAGTTTGTCACACTGACAAAATATAGATAGAATAGTTATTTATTTATATAAGCTATAAACAGACCAGGCCCAATTACATGTAATTTAATATAATTAATATAATACTAATAGCTATGTACTAATAAGTATGAAACTACAATGCATTTTGAAAAAGTTATAGTTAGGTGATAATGAACAAATTGATTTTTCATTAATTTATAGTTTTTATAATTCTATTGGGGGAGGCGTATTAATTTCATCTAATTAATTGTATCTAATAACCTTAAACAAATCAATTTTGCTGAATATGTGAAATATTTTGTATTTTAAAACTTTTCTTTGTAAAAACAGAGTTTACAGTAAATTGTATAATAATAAATTATATACAGAAGTACCAAGAAGAAGAGATACCAAAAAGTTTTATTTCATTTTATGATCAGTGATTTAATTATTTGCAAAAAACCACAAAAATACCCAATTTTTTCATTTTCAACCCTCTTGGAGCACAGGGAAGGGGTGAGTTATCATGACCAAATCTCACACAGATTACTTTTACATGGTAATGAAAAAATAGAAGGGGGTCAGTCATCAAAAATAATTATGTTCAAAAATAAGAACTATCCCAATAAATAATACTATATAACAAATTAATAATTTCTAAAATCTGGTGGATTGATATTTTATTTCTTTTTGAATATAATTTAGGTAATTTCGGTAATCTAATTTAGAGATAGTTTTGCATTGAGATTATAAATTTAAGAATGTATTATAATCATTAGGTGAACCTAGTCTTAAAAATTGTATGAGATATTATCTTATATCTATTACCATAAACTACAAATTAATGAAAATACATATAAAGCAACCATTTATTTTTTTATTATTTAAATTACATTATTCAATTTATTTCAGTCTACAGGAGATCTAAAAAAAATCAATTCACAGAAAGTCAACCAATACTTGAAGCCTAGTGATTATATTGATCATTCGGTGACAGCTAATGACAGTCACATTCCAGTGTCTCAACAAAATGGTACTAGTTTAATTCAGACAAAATATTCAAAGGAATGTAAGTCAAATTAAATTAATATCAAAATATCTCTATTTTATACATATTTTTTTTCCACAGTGGTAGATGACTTTCGTTTACAAATAAGAAATACATTATCAATTATGAGACGTGATATGGAAGTTTTAAATTCCAGAATTAGTAGAGTAGAACTAAAATTAAACGAGGTAATATAAATTTATCTTATACAAAGTTACATTTTATTTTATATATATTAATAGGTATATTTCTCTATATTAAAATTAATGCAATTTTTAAATAATTCAAAATAAAAATTTCTTGTACAAACAGTTTTGTAGATTAGGGTGTATCAATTTTTTTTCCAAATTTTAATAGTGATAAAAAGTTAGTACTGATTCATACTCAAATAGATATATAAAAAAAAATGGATATGATATGATCAATTTAAGAGTGGTAACTCATTTATTTGATTTTACTTATATTATATTTTAACTTTTAAAAAAAAAAAAAAAACATTGAATTTAAATTGTTTAAGTTTTTTTTCAATTTTATTTTTGAAGTTTATAATTGTAAAAACTTTATGTAAACTCTAGAACTAACTAAATCTAAAATATTTGTTTGAACAAAAATAAGGCATTAGAACATGAATATATTTTATAATACTTGTTTAAGTGTTTCTTGGCAGTATTATTGATATTATTGGAGATTCTGTTATTTTATTTCTCTCCAATCAATTAGATTGATGTATTCATTAGCATATAAATTTAATCTAAGAACTACTTCATTCATTTTTAATTGTCGAGAAAGCTTTTTTTACGATATCTTTATGTGTATCAAATGGCATATATATAAATATATTTTTAGGTGTCCAAAATACACATTTTGTTGAATAACAGGATCAATATTTTCTGTAAGTTATTAGATAGATACCACAAAATCTGTATTGTCACCCAAAGGTATTTTAAATCATACAGGACCACAAACTTTTACATAATATAAATTCAGTTTTAAATATTTAAATTGGACATTCAATACAAACATATTAATGTAGAATTTTATTAGGGATTGAAAGCCATCTAAAGAGTACTTGCTTACCTAGATTTCTTCTGTATTATTCCATATTATCTTTTTTATTTCTAAAGTAAATCCATTTATTGGTCTTGCATGACCTATGTATTTAGATCCTAGTTCTTGAATAATTGATTTATGTTCCTCAGTAATTAGTTCCCGTAATATTTAACCCCTTTTCAATGATTTACCATAGTTTTATCTATTTATCCATAAAAATCTAATCCCAACACTATTAATTCGTTTTTGTAGATCATTTTTTTCTTCTTTCAAACTTTCATTATATTTATTGCTTTAATTGTAGCAGCAGATCTGTCTGATATTCTCACTCTATCATAAACCAATGCTAAAGTCAGTAAGTCTCATCTGCGAGTTTTTTACATTACTGTATAATTTTCAATGGAATCACTAATTTGAGTACTTAATCAAAATTGAATTTCTTCTCGGAGGAGAACTGTCAATATATTGCTTTGCATTAGTTCCCTTTGGTTTAGGTTCTGTTTGGAGCAAAAGATGTATTGGTTTTACAATGATATTTATTTTTATATATATACTGTGTACAAAATGTCTACCAGAAATCTCGATCCGAAATATCAAGTATAGCACCTTTTTTGAAAGAGAATTTTCTTTGAATGGTACCTTAAAGAGGTCATTTTTTGAGTTTTTCCTGGAGTTTTTCAAATAATTGGAAAAAACCAAATGGAAATTAATATTAGGTAAAACTGCAAAAATTTACAAAATGTATTATTTTTAATTTTGTTTTTTTATTGTAATTCAGTGGAAAATATTTATAAACTTGAAATTTTGATAGAACCTATATATTTGACATTTATATATGTGGTAAAATTTTCAAAACATTTAACCCATTTTTGAGCTATTCATAGACATTCCAATTTTGAGTTTTTTACATAATTTTTATTCAATAGGTACTCTGTAAATAAAATTGTTTGACCAAACAGATGCTTGGCAATTTAACAGGAGGTTCATTATTATAGTTGTACTTAATGGTCAATAGGAAAAAGTTGAATTTAATGTAATTTTTTTTTTCATATCAAATTTTGAGAAAAATCTTAAATCCCAGGATCATTTTTCATTAGCAAAGATTAATTGTTGCACAAAGATGTACATTAAATTCTCTTCTGTATCCTAAATTCTAACTTCTAACCTACAACAGTGGTAAAATATGTCAGTCTTTTTTTTTAATAGTAATTTAGATGCTGAATCTTTTTGAGATTTTTCTCTATTTCGCCTACTCAATATACATATTTACATGTCGAAATATCAAAATCTGCTTTTTGTTCCATTTTGGAATTTTTCCAACTTGTTTTTAAATGTCTCATTGGTTCTAGATTTGGCCAACCTTACATATGTTTGTGACATTACTGGAATTGATTCTTCAAACTGTACTTTTTCTACATTAAACGCTATAATTTTTGCTATTAAGTTTACACTTGATTCTTTAGAAGTAGTTTCTGATTTAAGTACATGATTCACATGCAAATAATATTGTAAAACTTCAATCTTCATATATTGGTAGTACAATAAATTGCACTAATTTCTTTTATTTCCGAAAACTAACTATTTTAATTAACTCCTTGTTTTAACTATAGAGATTTACTATACTTAGATATACTAGATATACTTTGAATCTAACATTAAATTTATGAAAATGTATGCACAGTATATGGCAACTACACACATTTCCCTCACTGTTAAAAAATTAAAATATAAAAATAATTTTTTCGATCCACCTGTTGATGTTTATTGACTATAATAATTTGTTTCCAGATAACCACCAGAGATCAAACAAATCGAAAAACTTCAAAACAGTATTTATACCAAATGTTGTTTCTAATGGGATGGCCTATAGTTTTTCAGTTACTGTTTGTTTGGTTTCAAAAGCGAAGAAAACCAAAAGGTGAAACATTTAAAATGTTGTCATTCTAATTATAGAATTAAAATTGGATTTCTACATACCATTTACTGATTTACTGGTACTTAGAGTTAAATTATAATGTTGATAAACTCTTTTAATCTTACAGAATAGCTATTGGCCCAATAGTAATGAATTTTGAAATGCATTATTTTTATTGTATTTAATACCACATATAGATAAAAAAAAAAATAATAATAATGTTCATTTTTAAACGAATGACATTATGTTTTTAGATTTTATATATCTGAGTTATTTTTAAAATTTACTTTATAAATTTGTATGAATGTTTACACGCAACTGATTTTTTAGTTTGTAGATAAAATTTGTAGTAATATTGTACATTAATTTTGTTGGAATAACTTTGTAAAAATCAAATTAGGAATAATGTGTTGAATCAGCCTATCTCAAATATTTTGTTTTAATGCTTGCTAAATAGTATTATGTTTAGAACTAAAGAAACTAACTGATGAATACTTAAAAATTAAAATCTTGAAGGCGGATGTATTGAAAAAATAACCAATATTGTACCAAACATTTATTTTATAGGTTTGACATTATTGTTTAGTAATTTATATTATTATAATTAATACAAAAGAAAAAATGTCAATTAATTTATAACATTTACAATTTTTTTTAAAAAAAAGTTTTATTTTATTTATACGTGCTTAGAATTTTTTTATAATTGATATTTGAAAATAAGTTAAAATAAGATTTGTGATATTTAGTAGTGTGAACCCACATTTATGTGTAAATAGTGTAGACAGGGAAAAAATGTCATCTGATTAGATTTTTAAGCCCAAAATATCACAATGATGTGTCATAACAAATTATTTCCTCTATAAATATTGATTTTTTTATATTATTTATTTTATATACATACATCACAGTTTTATTTTTAAAATCTCAATTTTATATTTATATTTAAGTACATACTATTAAGCCACATAGATTTAATAACATCTATATTAACAAGTAACACCATTATTTTTGTCTTAAAAATAGAAATTTACTATTTTTGTATTATTATATGAAATATTAAAAATAATGTAATGCATTTCACATTTATTCCTAATATTAAGAAATACAAAAAACATTCATTGCTTTACATTTTTGTTTTAAACTTTCTTGGTAACATAATATTATAACTATGGTGTTTTTTGTTCGACATAATGTATATTTTAAATTATTTATTTGTTAAGATAAGTATTTTTTCTTCAATTATTATAAAGCAAATTAATTTTTATGGAGAAGGTAATATCATTAGTAATTATTTGTTTATAATATGTAGTAGTCACGTGGTGAGGGTAATTCTCTTCTAGTCATAAAGATTTTATTTAATGTCATAATATTATATTGAACTAATACATTTTTATCAAAGTGTATTGTGGAATATTACAAATAAATAATATGGTTTTATCCGTGAAAAAATATATGTATTCTCGTCCACATCTGACCTATGTCCTATTTCTATACTATAATCTAATATGTCAACATGAAGTGGAGAACTATGGTATTAGGTGACGTGAATAAATATTTGAGAGGATCTACATACCAAATATTTATTTTGTCAGGATTTTATCTAGATACCTTTCATTTTTTATAATTTTGTTATTGGTGTGTAATTTAACATGATATGTGTACTTTAAATTGTAAAAATGTATTTATTATTTCAATGCAGGTTTAAAGTTGTATTCATTAATATTATAATTCAATATCAAATTTCATTTAATATTGATATATTTCAACATACATGTACTAAAGTGCATGCATGTTGAATTGGTATATATACATACACATACAGGTATAGTATAGTAGGTAGCATAAATAGGTACATTGAGAAAATTAACATATATTCAAACGCATATGGTGTTTGAGAATATATTATTCTGTGCTTATATATCCACTGCCTATTATAAATATTGAACAATATGTTTACTATATGGACGTAAAAATATACTTAGGGACAGTCACAAGTGTGCTTATGACTTTTGAGAGACTTGTCTTAATAATTTACTTATTATTAAATTGTTTTAGAATAAAATCGGTTTTAGTATTAAACCATTTTATTAACATCATACAAACACATTATTGAACACACGTATTGTACTAATATATCTATATTATTATTATATATAAGTAATACAAAATAATACCTCATTCTGTCTTCTGATGTCAATGAATAATTTATATTTTACACTGAATTGAAATTATTTGCAATAGTTCAAGATTGAATATGAAAACACAACAAATTTGTATGATGAACGCAAATTTTACCATTATCTTATTTTAATTCACGGTATTGTGGTAAATTGTAATATTAAGTATGATAAATTATTTTTGTATCCAGTGCTTAGAGTATTATTACTCTATGATCCGGTGTGACAATATTGTCCATAATATTTATGCAGTATAATAATAATAATGGTAATCAATGGCTTTGGTTATCATGCATAAATAAACCACGGTTTTAGATGATTTAAATATTTACATTTTTTACCTATCCATAGTATATTCTTTATACTATAATATACCAAAATGGGCTATACGTTATTTATACATTTTGTCATATGCTTTGTGTATAATATTATGTATGTGTACGGGCTACTTGTTATAGTACGTAAATTTTATATATGGGATATTTTTATGATATATGTAAAATAATATAACTACATATTATATAATATGATGTATCCCATACACGTCTCCGGAACATTTGTGTTTACTGGGAAAGAATGGAAACGACCATCCTGTCAGGGTACGATACTACCAAAATTCCTAAAAAGCCAACACAGACCAATAATAATAGAAATATGTCTTCTTAGAGTGGACAAGCCTCCTATTCCGAAATGGAACTTTCAGAGAGCTAATTGTGGGGAGGCTACTCCAGATACGTGGAAGAGAATATAAAACTCATTGAACTCGTTCCGGAAAACTATATCCAAGATTCATTAAACTTATCAAGACGGTAGTGAGCAAGTATATTCCAAGTATCTTTATTAAAAGAATTCAACCAAGTTGGAAATGAAGCCACCGCAGACTGTCTAATTGCATTGCTATAAGAAGAAAGAAGGAGAAGATGGATGCCGTGTATGGAAGAATTTAATTTCACACACTCTAGTAGGAAATGTTGGGATCGTTTCAGAAAATTAGGAACGATAAACTCTACCTGGCATCCCGGCTGCGTAACAGCGAATGAAATCTCCGATGCCCTTTTCAAAACTCCAAATATCAAGCCAAATGTGCTCGAAAAAGCAGATATCAAATTGAAATTTAGCCAAGAACTAACAAAATGTGTAGAGAAACAATACCAAAATTGAAAATAATGAAACGTATACCGTAAAATTTCCCAAGTTGAATGTGTTGATAATGTTGCTTCGTCCACAATATATATTTCATATTATGGTAAAATTCCAATTATTCCAATTCCAAAATTAAAACGGAACCCGTATTTCCTACGTTTTTTTCGGTTTTTCAAATTTTTTGAGAAAATCGAAAAACGTCCTCTCTAAAGTATCTCTCCGGTGAAATTTCCTTTTAGAAAAATTGTCCGCAGGAAAAAAAATGCCATAAGCTAATACCTGCATTTCTAACATTTTCCCGCTTTTCCTCAATTTTTTTCGGTTTTACGCATTTGATAAGAAAATTCTTGGGAAAATCGATAAATGATCTCCTTAGAACACCTCCCCACACTGATTTCCTTTCAGAAAGGACGTGACGTTACACATGAAAATCGGAGCAAGATCTCCGGTAGAAAAGTTGTCCACAGACCAGAAGAAAAAAACAAACATCTCAGTAAAACCATAAGCTTATTCGCTCCGCTCGGAATCTAAAAGTACACAAACCATTGCACGCACTACGCTCAGAATCTCAAATGAAGCAAAAACCTTACCTTCGGTTTCGTGTTATGCGTGCAGCATTCCGGTTTCCGGTGTACGTCGATTTCGTCTACCGTTTACTGTACCTACCATCTGCACAGCTACCTATCGTGTACCGCGTGTTGTTTCGTCTCTAAAATACCGCCTATGCAAATGAAACGGTTATAATTTATTCCGTGTACGAATGTGTATAATAAATAATAACGCACATCGTATGCGTTCGTTACGTAAACATTTTCTAAAGATTCCGCGTCGGCGAGTCCTCGTAATAACTAACAATACGTGTAACTTGTGATTATTAATACTGTTGCATGTAGGTAAATGATGCATCTGCGTACTATTATACACCTGTACGGCTGTATATACATATATATATATATGTGTGTGTCTGTCTATTATGTACGCTCACGTGTCGTGTAAAATTCGGTATAATCGATAAGGTTGTGTGTATCATCGTTAAGGTCCTGTTGACGACAACCTGTAAATAACAGCAATAAACACCGGACCGGATTTGTAATTTTTATAAAAAAAAAAAAAAACTAAATTGTTTTATTCGACATTTCCAACCGTTATTCTTTTTCTTGGTTTTTTTTCTTCTCCAAACGCGTATTCCGAGTGATTCATCCGTTCACGCGTTATTTAGATATATACCTATCCCGTTTTATAAACTAGAAGATAAACCGTAAGCCCGTTATAACAACTAATAAAATTATAATCGATAATGTGCTTTCATTTCCTATCGAGGCTGATATTCTGGTGTGTCGGTATAATGTAATACGTAGTCGTTTACATATTATTATAATATTCTATTACGAAACGTCTCGTCGTCGCCTCAAACAGGTATGACTAGGACGTATGTGCGGGGCACAGACATATTATTATTTTCCCAATAAATCGCGATTGGACTAATGATTTTCGATAATATTGCTATGTTTTTAGACTTAAAAAGTCTATAATATTGTTCTAATACACCTTTTTCGTCTCGTTAATTAAAAATTACTGATGTGAAAACTCTTTGGGAACCTATAATACTTATTTATATATATATAAATATACATATAAGGCATTGCCATTTCTAATTTAATTCCGTTTTTTTTTTTTTTTTAACTATTTTTTTGACTATACATTTTTTCAAAACCCGAAATCATTAAAACAAATTCGATTTACTATATCTTCCAGATTCCACCCGGACCTCTCTATCACAGCTTATCGGGGTCATTTACAAAAATCATTTGCATATCAAAAATACCAACAACCNTCCAGATTCCACCCGGACCTCTCTATCACAGCTTATCGGGGTCGTTTACAAAAATCATTTGCATATCAAAAATACCAACAACCCTGTGTTAGGCACCTTATAGAGGTTGAGTTTCGAAAATCCGTTCTTACACTACAGACATTTTCAAACCCCTGATTCGACTGCGGATTTCACTCGCACACATATATATATAAAATATACCTATTCAGAAATGGACAAAAATACAAAATACAATACTTTGTGTATTCCAAGCACAAAGTCTATCACGTTTTGGATACTGAAAATGTCTACATTATACTTTTATAAATTTTTTATTTGTTTAATAAATAGTAAGTAATTCATGTTTTGATTTTTCTTGTAGTTTTTTTAATAATATTGTGCAAAAACCTAATTCTTTTATTATTTTATTTTAATTTTTTTTTTTATATAATCCAGTTAAAGATATTCGTAGAGACATGAAATGTCGACAGAAAACTTATATTTGCTTTTTCTAAACGTAGTAAAATGTTAAAACCTTTTAACCATTTTTGAGCTATTTATAAATATTTTAATTTTGCGAGTTTTTTATGAAATTTGTATTCGGTAGGTACTCTATGGATAAAATTGTTATACTAAACAGAAATGCTTTAAAATTTGACAGGAAGTTCATTATAAGTCGTATTTAGTAGTAAAAAAAAAAAAATTAGTTTAATGTAGTATTTTTTTATAAGTTTTAAAATCAAGTTTTGATGAAAACTGTAAATATTATACAGCCTTTCAAAGAACAGAACTCCACTCTGAATCGTTTTTCGTTGGCAATGTTTTATCAACTTATCGTTTGTTACAGGGATAAATTAAATAACTGTATGTATCCAACTTTTCTAACTACCTTGCACCTAAAACATTGACCGTACTGGTTCCCAGTATCAGCTCTTTTTTTTTTAAAAAATTCTCGCATTATACATATGAACTGTATTTATTAATTTATTGCCTTACTCATTTATGAAAATTCTAGATATGCTACTCATTATGTATGTATTATAAAACTGTTTTTTTATTTAATCGTGTTCAAAATATTATCCATATAAGTCGGACATCGAACCGCAATAGCGAAAGTCCTTTGTATCTAAAACGATTTCATTATAGTTGTACTTAATAAAAAAAATAGTATTACAGGAAGCAGAAATGCCGTGTACGTGATTGTAAGATACGCCCTAATAAATTAGTTCGCTTTGTACGGCAGACTTGAAAATTGTCTATAAATTAATGATAATAATTATTATTGCCAAAGCGATAATATAAATATTATAATATTATAATTAGGGCAGAGGTCTTCTAGAATTTGCATATTTATTTCGCGCAGTCGTAAAAAAAGACCAGTTTTACATAAATGTGTTTACGTTACACCAAAGCCAAATAGTCTATAGTTTTATGTTACGTACATATTTTTGCATATTTAAAACTTTGATTTT